TGGTTCCGTTTTCAAATTGGTCTAGATAAAGGTCCAAAGGGTCCAAAATTAAACTTAGTTTGATTTCAACAAAAATTGAATATATGGGTTCTTTGATATGCTGAATATAACCATGCATTTAGATTTTTGATTATGGGCCCAGTTTTCAAGTTGGTCCAAATCGGGGTCCAAAATTAAACTTTATTTGATTTCAACAAAAATTGAATATATGGGGTTCTTTGATATGCTGAATCTAACCATGTATTTAGATTTTTGATTATGGGCCGAGTTTTCAAGTTGGTCCAAATCGGGGTCCAAAAAAAGTTTGTTTGATTTCAACAAAAATTGAATATATATGGGGTTCTTTCATATGCTGAATCTAACCGTGTATTAAGTTTTTGGATTTTGGGCCCCGTTTTTAAATTGGTCCACATTGAGGTCCAAAGGGTCCAAAATTAAACTTTGTTAGATTTCATCAAAAATTGAATTATTGGGGTTCTTTGATATGCCGAATCTAACCGTGTATTTAGATTCTTAATTTTTTGTTCCGTTTTCAAATTGGTCTACATAAAGGTCCAAAGGGTCGAAAATTAAACTTAGTTGGATTTTAACAAAAATTGAATTTTTAGGGTTCTTTGATATGCTGAATCTAAACATGTGTTTAGATTTTTGATTATGGGCCCAGTTTTCAAGTTGGTCTACATTAAGGTCCAAAATTAAACTTTGTTTGATTTCTACAAAAATTGAATATATGGGGTTCTTTGATATGCTGAATCTAACCATGTATTTAGATTTTTGATTTTTGGGCCCCATTATCAACTTTGTCCACATTGAGGTCAAAAGGGTCCAAAATTAAACTTTGTTTGATTTCATCAAAACTTGAATTCTTGGGGTTCTTTGATATGCTGAATCTAACCATGTATTTAGATTTTGGATATTGGACCATAATAGGTGAATGTCCAATTTAAAATTTTTAAGTTCTTAGACCACATTCATTCTGTGTCAGAAACCTATGCTGTGTCAAATATTTAATCACAATCCAAATTCAGAGCTGTATCAAGCTTGAATGTTGTGTCCATACTTGCCCCAACTGTTCAGGGTTCGACCTCTGCGGTCGTATCAAGCTGCGCCCTGCGGAGCATTTTATTGCGATTGTTGAAGACTGAACAAAAATGTGAGATTAATTATTGCAATTTCAAGAAAGTCTTCATTTACTTATATGCATCAGCTATCAGAATGAGAGTTATTATTGCAATACTCAACCAGTCACATTATTCCCATTAATAAATACCTCGCAATAATTTCTGAATTTTCAGTATTCAAATTGAATATATTCACTATTTCACAATGTTGTCATATTGTAGCATAACGACTGGGTCCTTAGTTTTCCTCTTAATCCTGGAAATTTTTATAAAATTTGGTCAAACCAATCAATTTTACTTACCTTTCTGTGCAATTATGGTATGCAATAATTTCCACTAAGTCTCTAAATTCTTAAAATAACCATATTTCCATAAGATGGCAACAATCAAGGGGATAATTACAAAAGTATCCAATCAGGTGAAAATGTTAATTTGTGTAGCTGTTGAGACGTGTATTTATACTTTTTTTAAGTGGCTGTAATAAATAAGGAAGCATTTCACATTATGACAGTCTTGCATAAGCTGAATTTCATGTTTATGAAAGTTTCCGCAATGCAGAAATTCTTAAATAGGTTACATTCTGTTGTAGGTAGCAAATTTCAAGCACTTGTGTTTAAAATTATCAGATGATAAATTTTGCCAATATGCATTTCCTTTATATTTATGTTCAATGTCATTAAAAAAGTAACTTTTTAGTCCCCTACCGGCAAAGCCGATGGGACTTTAGGTTTGCCCTCCATCCCTCTTTCCGGTGCTTGAAGATATTGATTCAATATTTGGTATATAGTTTTATCATGACCAGTTACAGATCAAGGTTGAAGTTTGTTCCGGTCTGATGATTTTGTGCTTTTATGGACCCTGGACTTATAAAATTCATGCAAGTAATCAGTTTTCCACACATTTTTTTGTCATGCTTGAAGGTATTGATTTGATATTTGGTATATAGTTTTATCATGACCAGTTACAGATCAAGGTTGAATTTTGTTCCCGTCTGATGATTTTGTGCAGAGTTATGGTTCTTAGATTTAGAAAATTCACACAAGTAATCAGTTTGCCACACTATTTTAGTCATTTTAAACCAGAACAATGAATTTTCAACATGTTGTACTATGTATTGCTATGCAATAATCTATGGAATGCTTGTTGGTTTAAGAAAATGTTAAATATTCTGTATTTAGTTGTAAATGCCCTATTATAATACATTTGATTTTCTGTCTGACAAATGTCAGTGAGCTCTACGAGTTCAGTGAAGTAGAATAGATGAGGCCCAAACATAATTGCTTCTTTCTAAAATGTACATTTTTAAAACTAGGCAAAGGGTATTTTCTCTTAATGATCTGCAATTTATCATGTTGAACACATGACAAATGCTTATGGAGTCAGTATTCCACCTGTTATCATTTTCTGTGAATTGCAGATTTTAATGATCCCACTATTATGGAATCTAGCCAACATGAAGCCTTCCTGCCACAACTTTGATGTCCATGAATTGTAAACAAATAACTACAATGATCGTGTTCAATAATTTGTGTACTATATTTTTCTTAATTTTAGTATGATGGATTGATTGGTTGATATTAGTCTACCTAATGTCCAATGGATGAGAAATCGTCAAGATGAACATTTTATTCTATACATTGAAAATTGGATTCTAGTTGAAATTGTTCACAAAATGAAGATAAACAGTTTGCAAAATTTCATTATGATTGGTTGAGCAGTTATCTATATATTAGCTGTTGTCTGAGATATGTCCCAGGGGGCAGGGCCAAATAATCTCCATAGAAATGATATGTGCCAATGCTTATACAACAGCATCCTAATGTCATTGACTTTTCATAAGTGATTCCCTTTAAACTGACCTAATCACAAACTTTAACAAATTGTTAACGCTGCTGACACAGCATACCTAAGTCTGGCTTATTTACTGTCGAGGAGAGACAAAAGCATCATTTTAATAGATGTGTTTTAGCAGTATATTGTGGTCATCTTTTATCAATGCTGTATGCCATGCAAGGCTTCCAAAATGGTCATATATGCCGGACATTTGTATAATGTCCGGTTAAAGTCCAGCTGGGCAAAGCATGAAACGGTCATCTACGTTTTAGTTTTCAAGGCTTTAAGAGACGGTCATTTTAACATAATTCGCAATCTTTTTGACCCAACGTTTTTCCTTTAACAGCCACACATTTCCGGTTATAAAAGTGACATGATCATTAAGTACTATCAAAACAACCCCTACTTTAATGCCTTCTCATTTTAATCAAGGCTAATTAGTTGTCAAACAGCTGAAATTTACCTGTTCACGTCACAGGTAAACTATTTTGAACTGGACATTGATCGGTCTTTTCAAAGTTATTTTCTTACATTTCAGCGGTTTGCATCTAATTAATTTAGCCAAAAAGATATAAATTATCAGAAATACGTTTACAAATATGATTTGATGAAAAAATTCAAAAGGTGAAAATGAAAAATCGTCATAACCACGTTGTTTGAACCTAGAGACATGTCTCTGTTTGAACTAGTACACGTGTGCGCATGTGTGAAATTTGATTATGCATCCTAATTTCTTCAAAAAATGCTTAAATTGTCATTGATACCTTTATCTCACGTTTATTTCGAATATTTTCTTGAAGAAATAACGTAGAAAGAGCTACTTCCACTCATTCACGCTTTGCAAACGTACACGGAATTTACGTATCCGTCTCTGGTCCATGTTTTACCATTGTCAAGATAACATCCGGTATAAAAACGAAAGAAAAGTTTTTGACAATGTTATTTTGCACATATAAAGAGTCTTAGGCAGATATAAGTACGCTGATGTTGCACACTTCGAATGATGCACTGCCAATTTAACAGTTTCTGTCAGAACTTCGAATTTGAATCAAAGAAAGTTAAATATCGTTTTTTTTAATGTCAATCATTGGGATGGCCAACTCAGCAACTGATTACCATAAAAGGCATAATTGCCTTTTGTTTATTTAGTCTTAAGGGATTAAAATCGGGATAATATATAAAATGTCCGGCTGGCTAAAAATAATTTTGGAAGCCCTGATGCCATGTCAAATATTTTTGTTTATACTAGTATGTCCTGTTCTTTTCTATTCTACAGTTCCAAGAAACTTGAAATTAAGTATTAGCAAGGTATGTTTTCCAGTGAAATACCTTGTCATCAAATACAATTTTAAATGATCCCAATATAAGAATTCAGGCCAAGATACATGTAGATTTCAACTGGCAAAGTCATGACAGTACAGCGTAGTAGTAGATTTTTTATGTACAATTCAATAAATCTTTGAATACCTATTCACAAAGGATACTGGTGGGGTCAGAAGATGTATTATGAAAGTTAACAATCAAAGCAAAACATCCTGCACAATGTAGTTGAAACAGACAAATATTATTTTATAATTTTTTTTTGTATACAAGTTTTAAATTTGTTATTCATAGCTGCCTGACAGCGAAATGCTTGAATAGTGCAACAATTCATACACCAAAGCACCATAGCACTTGTATATGGACCAAAAATTGTTCAACTTAAATTAACAAATGCTTTTTGCTAGTCAGAAGCATCAATGCATATAATTTTAAAGCCTACACCCTTTTGTAGCTAAATTAATTCTACTAGGCCCACTGAATTCTAAACTTCGTTAGAAACTTTGATAGGCAAACACAAAGTACATAAACAAAGAGAAATGCCCAACACATGACTAAAGAACTAGAAAATGTTGTCAAAAGTGAGCAATTAAAATTTTAACCTAGATCCTATTAATCAAGGCTGACAGAACTTGACAATAATTGCACTTTTACAGGATTATTTCCATCGTCAGTATGAGACAGCTTAATATTAACATGTAATTCCACTAATAAATGACTAACATATTTTATTTCAATATTTATTTTGAATTGTTATCATGATTCAGATCTTTAATTACAGATGTGGTATGATACCCTGAGATTGAAGTAATAATACCCAAATAAGTGTACATGAAGTATGTTAAACACATGTTTGCAAACTATATTAATCATATGGAAACAAATTGAGAATCAGTTACACACTTCATTACAAAATTTAAAACAGATTTTCATCTTAAATATATATATAGGTGTATTTTTTTTTAGATCTTCAGAATTTTTTCTTACTACAATTTTTATCTGGTTCTAGAACTATAAAAATGTTTAGTTAATTTTTTTCTTCTTTTAAGTACTATTCAATATGTTTAAGTCTTTCAACCTTTATATGGACATCTTTCATACAAAAATTTCTCATGGGGAAAACTGCAACTATAAATCACTTCTTCATTTCTTTCATCATCTACACATTTGTCACAACTCACATTTATACACTTTTTACATACATCATTGCATTATCAAAACAACCATAACAAATACAACACTATCCCCTTGCAGTCTCTTTACACTTGCACATGTTTTCCATATCACACAATGCTCTTTTGCACACAAGTATTGATCCCTTTCAACATAAAATAATTTTCAATGTACATATTAAAATAAATATCTACAGCACTTTAATATCAATCTTCACAATGATTCAATTGATTCTTACAAATAAATTCCACATAAGAAAGACATAGTTTAATATATTCAATTCTTTACAATTTTGCACCATTATCACAGATTTGAAGAAACAATAATTATCGACGGTATCTATCATATCGTTCAGGGGAAGAGCTGCGGTGACCATTCCTATGCCTTTTGACGTACCTAGAGTCAGGCGAGTACTCATACCGATCTTTATCCTTGTAATCATTCCTGTCTTTATAGTCATTGTAGTGATCCTTGTGATCATATTTGTCTTTGTAATACTTTTTATAATGACTAGATTTATTATACAGTCTTTCTGGTGACCTACTCAAAGATCTACTAAAAGACCTTGACATTTGTTTCTTTCTTTTGTGAGAGAGTTTTGAACCTTTATAATAATCAGCATTTTCCTTCTTAATTCTACGAGAGTCAATGTCTTTATGCTTCTTCTTTTTAGAAATAGGACTCCTGGGTGGACTAAGGCTACTACCAGATGACCTTAAATATAATAAGTTTGGTTAAATAATCTGAAGATTAAGCTATTCAGAAGTAAAGTTCAGCAATTTTACAAATTCAAGAACATTATGAAAAACATATCTTAGTATTTTTTAAAGCTAGACTGACTTTGTTTGCCAACGGTATGGGTTTTGCTCATTGTTAGAACAGTATGGTGACCTATAATTGCTTACATCTTAGGCATATGAACTCTGGGATAGTTGTCTTATTGGTGATCTTATTTTTTGTATATCAAATGATAAATCTAACATCTGCATTGGCAGATCACCAAAAAAATCCCTCATTTTTTTTTTATTCCCCTGACCTTTTTCTATTACAGACTGCTAATATCTGTGAGGAAACCAGCTGTGTTATGTGCAGTTTAATTTTGCATTTAGAAATATGAGAAAAATATTAAGTCACAGAAATAAACCAAACTTAAAATATCACAAAATACCAATAAATACATATAAATACCTCTTATCCGGTGAAAATGAATGACTTCTTCTCCTTTTGTTGCCATTTTTACTGAAAGAAGAAATATAAATCAATACCAACCTTGTTCACATTTGTAATTTAAAGTTATAATGTTATTATTCACTTTCAATTTGACAATTGATCCAAAACCAAAAGCACATTGAAAAGGTCATTGTTTCCACTTACTGCTGATGTAGCTGTATTAATGTTACAATCTTAACTAGCTATCAATTAAATTTTTTCCTAACAAAAAAGTTTTTTTCCATGAAAGTACAGGCTTATTTGAAATTGTTTATAACTGGAAGTTTGACTTTCTCTTGTTTGGCTTGACATATGCTGACTTCATAGGTAATGGAATGACTCGATTTTGATTCCAACTTTAAATCTCTCTATTGAACAAATGTTACAAGTTCCTGAAAATCAAAAGACAACGTTTTTCAGTCAATTAGACTTACATAAGGCCTCCATCAGGTTTCCTTGTATTATCATCTTTTTCTTTCTTTAACTTCAACTGTTTGATACTCCCTAGTAACGTGGGGTTTGGACTAACATTCTTTGGTGAATCTGTAACAGAACAAATATGTTTCTACAGAAAGGGAAATATTCATAATCAAAATATTACACTTTGCAAAGCATTATTTTTTGACTGCTTAAAGAGAATTATTTCAGACTTAAGATGTTGTATATATTTGAAGTGCAATATTTTATTGGAGCTATGACTCAAATTTGACCATCTTATTCTCTAACTTTCAAACTACTGATCCAGAAAAATTGCTCATATTATCCTTAACTTAATTGTAAATTATTTGATCTTTTCTCCAATTTCCATTTCATATTGGACTATACCAGTTGTAAGCAAGGTAGATTTAATAAAGTATTTTTTTATTATTCTTGAACTGGTTATCCAAGATTTCACCTTTGTAATCAACATCATAAATGTTGCCCCTTGAACAAGTTACAATGTAAATACCTTACAAATACATATGTCCACCCTTTTCTCTGTTGATCCTCTTTACTATAATTTTTATTGTTGAGTCAATCATTACTTTTAACAACATTGTTCAGTACCAGCCTATATGATACTTTGTATGAAACCAAACTGGGTTTAATTAGATAAGTAGACTTACTAGCTCTAGATGTTGAGTTTGGAGTTCCATAATCTGATGTCATTCCTTTTGATTTTTTCTTGTTTTCCATCTGTATTCTTTTGGCTTCCATTACTTTGGCCCCAAGTTCTTCTACATTTGGCTACAAAATTGAAAAATGTATATTTTAAACTTAAAATATTATAAAAGCTTAATGGATTGATTGGTTTTTAATGTCACTTTTCAGCACTAATGTGCTATTTCGCAGCGGTCAGTTTTTAATGAGGGAGGAAGTTGGAGTGCTCTTCTTTAAAAACTCTAAACAAACAATGAAATTATGATAGCTATGCCCAATTCTTAAATAGTTTCAAAGAAAATAGAGATTGACTTCAAATTTTTTTTATAATAAAGGAAATTTTTATATATCAGGGAAATATTATGTATATCATAGGTTAACATTGCAGACAGGGAGACTATTGTATGAGCAGGGAAAACCATTACCTTGTAACAATTTTTTATATGTTTTAGTTTCTTAATTTAAATACTTACTCTTTGACGAGCATAGAGACGTAATATTGTAAGACATATTTCCTGAATGTCATCTTCTCGTACATTAAATATGGAATACCACGACGGTCTATCTGGAAGAGCAATCTGTAATACCAAGGAAAACATGTAGGTCAATATTTCTTATCACCATTTTTAGTACTTTGAGCTTACATCATGCATACTTTACATAGTGTAAATTGTTATTTTGTGTTTTTGTTGTCTATTATACTGTTAATTTAGAGTGGAGCGCTTTTCCTGTACTTGTTTTTATTGTATATTTTTTTTAGAAATTTATGATTGAAAAATGTTGAGATTAGAGAGATTTTAGGTATTTTAACCAGCCAATTTTTGTGCATATGTCATATGTTATATCTTTACGTTTTGGATTATTTTGTGTTTTAGGTGATTATGGTGTCGGTCAAATTTATTCATCACTTTTGTAGACTCTGAACTATTCAATAGTTCCACATATCTATGTACAGTAAGACACCTGTCTATTGGTGGGAGACTATGTTGCCTACTAGATGTCCTGGTATTTGTGTCATTGTCTACTAGAAGTATTGTATACCTCAAATCTCAATATATTCATATGAAAGTATATATTCCTAATTGAGATTTTAATCACTTTATCAATGATCTAATTCTGCTTTTGATTCAAATGTAAATGCTCAAAATTTATTACCATTTCTCATATACACCAACATACAAAATCATTGAGCAAAATAAAGATCCTACCTGCAATTGTCTAGCAGCTAAGTATATACAGGCACAAGCTATACTTTCTGGAAGAAATCTTACAAAAACATTAGTCCTAAAACTGTCATTCATGTAGTTCCTGTGAAGAAAAGATAACATCATAAATATTTATAAAGTCTCAACTTTTTATCACACATAAATTTAAATATAATATGGTGAAATTGTAAAGCATATCTTTTTCTATCATCATGGTTAAAACCAGTATACATAACTATAGTTTTGAATACATACATATTGATTTTATAAAACGGTCAATCATTGATTCCATGTACATGCAAGATCATATTTTTCGGACAGTTTTATCCTTGTTATTCCATGAAAATATTATCCACAAAGTTCACTGAAAGTTTTCAATACTGTTTAAATCATTGTCTGTGTTTCTGGTTGTGTTGAATATAACAGCTATAAATATGATGTAATTCCAAGATATCCACATCTGTAGCATCCTATAGCGTCTTCTGAATCCACTAATGGCACTATGTTTTAAGTGTTCATGATTGTTTTCAATACAAGTTCTGTTTGTCTATCACCCATCCACCAAAAACAGTACTGGCTATAAATTTGAGATTTTTTTACCAGCAGTTTTATGTTGGATTTTGCTTATATGGAAGTGAAAAATTGAAGAGAGACAGTCAAGGTTAAAGCAAACAGAAATATAATTTAATCTAGCTTCACATACAAATATATCAAACAAAGTACCATTATAAAACATGTTTTTGTATATATACATGTATAAGTTCTGTATATATACAAATATTTTACTGTATATCCATCGTGTCATGATTTTTGTACATTTAAGTTCCCTTACATTACACCAATCTCAAAAAGAAGTTAAAATAAAAACTTTTCTCTTTTGAACGAATTCTATCAATTTATAGTTAAGCATCAATTGAAAAAAAAGATAAAATAAAAGGTCAAACATGACTTCAATGTGTATGTATAATAATTTTATAAATGGTAGAGAAAAACACAACACAATGAATATGTTCAACTATCTTGTGTTAACACGATTCTAAATAATGAATTACTTGATATTTTTTAAATCTTGAACAATACAATACAAAACGAACCAATGTATGGCTAAATATTTCTACAACTATTTATATACCAACCATTTTGATACTGGATCCAGCTATTAGTACTGCACTGGAAATTTGAAAATTAAATAATAATTATATAAAACATAAAAATGCACAACATATTCCTCTGTCCTTTCGATCTTATGAATTCAATTGCCTCTTCTGCCTCCTGTATTGTATTGTTTGTTGTTTACAAGTATTGCATTGTCATTCCAAACTTTCCTCCTAAGAATTCACTGCTGTAAAACAATCTTATATAGTTAGCAAGTTCAGAACTTCATCAAAATATTTGAACAAGTCAACTTATTTTCTATTATTACATAATTTGCTTTCCATGTTCATGCAGTTTACTTTATTAAACTGTTTATTTTGCTACATTTTTTTTCTATCATTTTCACCGTTCATTCATAATATCTGAGTTACAAAGTTTTCAAATCTTTTCATTAACAAAACAACAAGTTCATTTTTTAAAACCAACTCTTTTGAAACATGAATTTATTGAGTGCCCATTACTGGTAAACCTTTAGACACTCTCAAAACACAACTCCATATTTGTCACTGGTTCCCAATGATGCTGGTTCCATGCTGTTCGTTGTTTCATCGTCGTTGAGTCAGATGGGTTCTGTTGCCAGAGGATGGTGCATTCATTTCAAGACACAGACTTTACCCACCTAATCTGGGGTAGGCAAAAAGGAAAAATACAGAATTAATACAAAATTCTTTACACTGTATGCTTCATTCCCAAAATGAAGCTCTTTACAACAAAAACAAAATAAAAAGACGAAGACGATAATAAAACATATTTCATTTTGTAATGTATAAAAAACAGAAAAGTATTCAATAAATATGCCTTGCAAAGGTCGAGTGACAATATTGGAACTTACAAAGACTAACACCAGCAAGGAATTTTCTATCCATTCAGAAATTGATAATGAAAAGTTGTGAAACACACCAATGGCCATAACACAGCATGACCTGCTTTCCCGTAGAATGTAATTCTGAACTTCTAGAAAATCCATGACTTAAATGTCAAAATGTGGAGCTTATTTTCAATAGAGAAAACAATTATCCTGTCTGTGCAATTACAGCAAATGCATTGTTTGGGATATGTCTATTTTTCATACCAAAAAACATAACCATTTTTCCCAAAACATGTGTCAAGTTTAACAAATTTAGCTTCTGTGTATATTGTGATATCTAAACTGAAAACAAGTTCCATACTGTCACATGAAAGTCCTGATGAAGACTAATCCATTTTTAATTCTAAATCTTTAAAACATTGTTATTAAAAAAAGTCTGCTTGTTTTCAAGAATTCAGAGATTCTGTATGAAAGGCAGAAATTTCAGAAGAAAACAGGACCACAGGGTCAATTGGTTTCACACAATTTAATCCATATAAAATTTATTTTTGTCTTTAAAATAAAGAATTAGAAATGGAAAGCCCTTACAATTTAAAAATTTCAAATATGATATTTTGCAGATGAATAGATTAGAATTTTCAATCAAGAAAATGGATAAGGGAAAGGTTAAATGGAATCATGGATTTGAAATCATATTTCATGTGATTATTTTTAGTTAATTCTAAAGTTGAGGTACACCAAATCCAATTTCTTGAAGGAAAATATAAAATCTTAACAATTTCATCATGAAAACTTACAAATACAAAAATGTACAATGAATGAAAAATAATATATCTTTGTATACTGTTAAACATGATGATAGTATTATGATGTGCCTTACAAGAAAGAGATTCTAACTTACCCTAATTTGAATATGAACTCCCTTTGTTAGGTTCCGAATATTCTATATCATTTGAATTTTGGTGATCCCATTTTTTTAAATGGACCAAAATGATACATTTTGTTTTGCTGGACATTTCTTTAGGGCTATGGACCATCTAAGCTGGTGATTCATGTAGTTTGTAATTACACATGTTTCTCTCATATTTCCATGAACAAATGAGACTAGGGTAAATTATTACTTTTTCAAGGAGATATTTTGAAGAATTATGTGCATTTAATCATGGGCTAAATAAATTTAAAATAAGAATTTACAATTTTCAAACATTTTAAACAGCAATTAAATGACACAGGGTCAGTATGCTTAAATGTGTAATACAAGCAATACAATTTTTCGTTTATAAGGATCTCTGAAACTTACTTAATGTACAATATAAAAATAAGACTTGAGGTATTAATTCTGTTTTTCCAGTTATAAATTATTTGTACTATGTTTACATTCAAAATTTCTGAAATAGATAACTTTTCAGCATGGACGTCAGGATGTGTTTATTAACCATGATAAACTATTGTAAAGGTCAAACAACTTACAGATATTATGAGAAAATAACTGTTGATTGATGGTAGTGCCAAACTAATAATGTAAATGGGGAAATCAAATCAGATAAATGGGGAATGTGTCCATGGGACACAGATGATGCCCCTGCTTGCATATCATATAAAGTTATAAAGGGACAAAACTGAAGAACGGTAAAAGTGACGCTACCCAAATTTGTACTTGATCAGTGTTTTGTGGTAATAAGCATTTTGTTTAACTTTCATAACATTTGGTTGAAGCAAACTAAAGTTAGAGAATGGAAACCAACTTTGGGACGTACTCAGACGGATAAGGGTAAAACTTAATGCCCCCTCTGCTACGGCGGGGGCATAAAAAAAGGAAAGTGGGATAGACAAACATCTATATTAGTTAATATTTGGTCTGAGAATTAGCGAGACTCATATAGAACTAAAGGCAGATCCCAATGACTATATGGGAAATCACGTTATGATAAGTTTTTACATTGTGAAACATTGCATCACATATCTGAAAACGCTTTTCATTGAAATTAAATTTTGACTGAAAGAGATAGTATACAACAAGTGGAAGATATCAGAACTATAATCAGAAATGGTAATCCAGAGAACAATCATGAAGACAAAACCAGAGACAATAGACAAGTAAATACATATAAAAATTGAGGATTCTTAATATTGAGAGCTCTAAATATTGGGCAGGAGAATTCTTAAGAATTGCATGACCACTTTCAACCTACATAAACATTTTGGTTAAACTTCAAATATAAACTATAGGAAGGCAAGATTTTTTACATCATACAAACTTAAAAAAAAAAAGAGACTCCCCAAAAATATTTCTTAAGGCTTTTGGTATAGAAAACCATATTTTAAATATCAAATTATTCTTCACTAGACTCAGTGATACCTAGAATGCATGAAGAATGAGTTAGCAGTAGTTTGTTTGTGTATTTCTGACACTACCATCAAAAACTGTTCGTTAGATAATCTTACAATTCTAATAAAGATACCTACCATGCACACTGCACCAGTTTTTGGTTTTGTTCACACTCCAACACTTGGAGATAGACCACAATCACCTGAAAAATAAAAGTTAGACAATACAATAAATGAGACAACGGTTACTATTGGCTACAACCTGATTTGGCCATTCTACTTTCCTCCAATGTTGTGGCAACTGTTTTGATGTCTAGTCTGAAAGTTGTAAGTTATTAGTGAAAAATTCATGTTTTGTTTTCTGAAAGGTAAAAGGATTAAATCGACAACTAAGTAAACTCATTTTTATGACAAAGGCAACAATTTTCAATTCAAAATGAAATTTCAAACAATATTCAAATGTTTACTGTTGTTGCCAATGCATAATTAATACATTATAGCAGAATAAAGAATGATAAATTTATATTTACCTTGTGTGGATGCTTGACATGGACACTGAACCCTAACTCTTTCAATACACGGCGTTCTGCTTTGATGACTTGATTCTTTAGATTGATGTAATTTTGGTCCAATATCAAAGGAACAATAGTTCTGAAAGAAAACAATAGCATTCGACATATGATATCTTCTCTTTGTTTTTTTCTATAGGTTGTTGAACCGCAGCTTTTCAAAAGGGACTGAAGTAAATTCAAACTGAATGTTCATTATTTAATAACTTTCTCTAATGAATAACAATTGAAATGAAATATTCTGTTGGAAAACATTTATCTTGAAATGGAAAATGTTCAAAAGTAACTTCAGGAATACAATTCTTAGTGAAAGGAAAATCTGCAATTGAGAGTGTATGTTGCCAAATTCATTTTTTTTTAGATCAAATGATTAAATTCTGGACCAGAATTAACATTTCCAGGAGGCATGTTCATGTCGAACTATTTTGAGCACTGACTCCAGCACTTCTTGGAAAGATTCTACATACTTTTGCTTTCTCATCTGCTTGACATGATGAAACACATTGATTACATCTCTGATTCTCCTGGGAGATTCTTCTATTTTAGCTGCCAGGTTTATACATGCCATTGCAAGTACCTGCAAAAGATATAAATTCAAAATAAACAAACCAAACAACAAACAATCTTGGTTTCCATACAAATTTTTTATTAAAGTTTGTTGTATTGAAATTGGTATTAACAAACACAAGAGTACTCAAATTCTTATGTTTTTTAATGTTTCCAACTCATTTTATTGTCACCATCAGCAAAAGATGTAACAACAAAGAACAAATAAACATATATTATTTACAAGCTTATAACTACTGTAACATCATCCTCACGTCTCAGGTGAAAAGCTTCCAAAAAGACCAACAAGCTTACCTCCATATTGTGCTTGACAAAAGATTTAGAGTAGTAGAATCTCTGGAATAAAACTTGACCAGTAGCCATTGCAACCTAAAATATAATACAGATATAAACATAAGAAATATTGTTTGTTAAAATGTAGAAGTATTTCGACTAAAAAATCTGACAAATCAAATTACCACAGGACCTTTCAAACATCAAACGACAAGATTCAAAATAACTTCAAACAAAATAGGAGACAAACAAAAGGATATCAATAGATGAAAATGTAAAGGAAATGAATATTAAAACATAAAACAGTATGCATTATCCTAAAAATTTGGAGAGCTATGCACAGGTGAAAAACAAGGAGTAATTACTAATATTTGGAAATAAGTGCGACCTGAACCTGGGTTGCAATTCTTACATTTTAACATAGGAATAATCTGTAGCTAATAGACTAGTAAAAATATATCTTAGGAACCATCCACATAAGAGCTACAGTTTAGTAGCCTATGTCACCAATGAGTACTCAGCAAAGCTTAAGTTCAAATAGATGGGTATATGCATTATAATGTGCACGATTTCATTTATATCTATATGGTTTTACTACAATGGGGAAGGAGAAGCAATTAGTACAAATAAATTTGCAGCTCAAATTGTAGGGGAATATAGTCCAAATAACGTCTTGGAAGGCTATTTTAAATTTTTGCTTCAACGCCTTCCTGCGACGTCATAATGCTGAAGCCACCATTTTCGGTTCGACTTTGAGAGCATATTTTGCTCTCAACTTTGAGACCCAATTTAGCCATAAAATTTTCATTGAAGGCTAAAAATTTTTGCATTTATAAAATTTCTTTCCTTTTACGTGTTTGTTTGTGCAAAATATTTCCAATAAATCCCTACAGTAATAATAAAATAAGTTAGAATTCCATCCGAGGTGGACAATCATCTACTGCTTTTTTTTAAAACGTTTATCTGATTTCTTTTTAGGAGAGTATAAAATAAATTTTTGCACCTAACTTGGTAAAATTTGACAGACCCGAATTTCCGGAACCTTTGTTTTATATTATCTGGAAATTTAGGTCCGTCAAATTTTACCAAGTTTACTCAAAAATATATTTTATACTCCTAAAATGAAGCATCTCAAGGAGAATTCAGCTAAACGTTTTAATAAAGCAGTAAATTCCCTCTCAAAGTCCAACTGAAAATATGAGTTCGGCGTTATGACGTCGATGTAAGGCGTCAAAGAAAAAAAATATAATAGCCTTTCAAGATGACATAATTATTTGGACTAAGGGGAATATAGATCCTCAAATGGCTCAATTCTGAATCTACGCCAAAACAAATACGGTATTCTAAAGTACCGCAAAATTACAGTGAACAACGTCATACCATAAGAAGAAAATACCAGTACTAAGCGACAAGTTGTACCAATTTTGACTTTAGGATCAGGAACTTCATTTGATATTATTCAAGATTGATTGTGAATTCTGAAGAAATGTTATTGTATCCAACTGGTCTTTTCGGAGACAAATTATTTGTGGCAACAGGCCTCAAGATTGAGTATTGAAAGGGATAAGACTGAGCTCTATCTCAGTATGGTGGATTAAATGACCAATACGGTATAATCCACTAGTTAAAACTTATTCCTATCATGTTAAAGGCATAAATCTTTGTCTTTTTAGTGTTCAAAATGGCGACGAACCTGTGGAAGTTTGAGAAGAACTCCCGATGACTGTATGAGCTCACAACCTAGGATACGCAAGTCCATTTCTGTATCTGAATCAAGGCCATCTTGGAGGGATGGTGTAGGTGAAAGTTTGTCGTCTGGAATTAGAACAGTTTCTAGTGTGAGAATGACTTTACTAAAATCTCTAATTGTGAGAGGATTTGGCTTCTCTTCCGCCATCTTGAACGTGTTTTCTTCGTATGCGCAATAATAAAAATGAGGTCATAATGTAAATAATCCATTAACAATTATTTTCAAAATTGCAGTATTAAATTTTCTGTATTTCATTCAAAAGTCTTTTTCTATCTATTTGACTCAAATGATTGTTTTTTGTAGTTCAAATTTAATGGAAATTAATTTTATTTAAATATATATAGTAAATACCAAGCGCATCAATATTTTTTTTCCGGTGATTGGGCGATGACGAAAACTGTGTTCATTGTCACTGATAGAGGCCGCTGTAGTCGTTTTGTGAACACAACAAATATTTTCAGCCACATCTCTGAAGCTATCAAATCAGATTTACTGTACAGAAGATATGCAAGGATGTCCATAGCCAACCTTGCATTATTAACAATTGATATAAAAATGCATTAATTACATGTAAACCTCCCACATTTACAGTCCACTTTAAAAATAAGAAATTACATGCACAATAAGTTTATCTGCTCTATTAAACAAGTAACAGGATAAAAATAAGCATTGAACATATTTTTGTTAAAGATTTTAAATTTGCACTTAATAATTAGTAAGAAATATGAAAGGAAAGCGATTATGCATCGTCATTACGATATTTTTGGTGCATATTGTAAATGGTCGCCCTAAAATACCATTGAATGAGGTTGATGTTGAGAAACCTTTATCACTTGATAAACTTGAGCCACCTGATCATTTGGAGGCAGTACGATTTGAACAAGATGGAATGCTGAACAAAGATTTCCATAAAGAGGCTTTCATTGGGAATCATGAAGAAATCGATGATGACCCTGTTGATATTGCAGATTCAAAACTTAAAGATATCTTCAACAAGTTAGTTTCATCATGGACATATTATAGTACATGAAGTATATACATATTCTAAATGGTTTCATCATGAATAATAATTTGAATGCTTTACCGATTTCAACAGAATTTAAATTTCCCATAAGTATGATTGATTGTTAAATAAATTGTGTCAGTTGTCTTGATTAAGAAGCTGTAGTGTTTTATCAAGAATTGCATGGAAAAGGTCATGATATTAACTTTTTTTTAAGTGAAAAGGGCATTTCTTAGAACAATTGTATTTTCTATTGAATCAGCTCACATTTTCGATATCTTGTTTATTTCTCAACTTATAATAAAAAATTTGAAAAAACCCATTTCAGTGTAGTGTACACATACATGTATGTGTAAATAGGCCAGACGCTTAGCTTTTCATGAATCCAGGACTTGTGGACTAGATGTAAATTTGGATTTATTATATTCTTGGGTTGAGGTTTTATGCCCCACCTACGATAGTAGAGGGGCATTTTGTTTTTTGGTCTGTGCTTTCGTCTGTTCGTCCATCTGTCCCACTTCAGGTTTAAGTTTTTGGTCAAGTTAAATTTTGATGAAGTTGAAGTCCAATCAACTTGAAACTTAGTACACATGTTCCCTATGATATGATCTTTCTAATTTTAATGTCAAATTAGAGCTTTAACCCGAATTTCACGGTCCACTGAACATAGAAAATGGTAGTGCGAGTGGGGCATCTGTGTATTATGGACACCGTGTACTCTTGTTATTCATACATTTTTTTCCTTTTTTATCAGAGTGGATACAGATTCAGATAGGCATATGAATCTAATTGAAATAGAATCCTGGATCCAGGACAAGATAAGACAACATTTTGATGAAGCCTTAGAAGAAAATGCACACATATTTACACATATGGATCCTGATGGAGATGGTATATTGTTATAAGTTACTCAATAGCATGCAAAAGATGACGGGAATTGTTAAAGATATAAAACATTGCAGAAAAATGTACCAGCGACAAGACAAAAAAGTTAAACACATGAACAAATAAGTCACAGAAAGCTCTACATAGGGATAGTTATCTGGCGGCTAAGGCATTAGCTAACTTCTTAAAAGCTTTACATTTTAGAAGGTGAAAGTCCTGGATGCTTCATACTTTGTTCATAGTCTTTGTATATAGATGCCTTCTGTTTCGAAGTTTCCATCTGTCCCATGTCCATTGTCCTTGACCTCATTTTCATGGTTCAGTGACTACTTGAAAAAAAGGTTAAGATTTTTTGTAATGTTAATTTCTCTCTTATTATGAGTAATATGATAACTATATTTTGTATGTGCGTACCTTGCCAGGTCCTCATGCCTGTCAGACAGTTTTCACTTGACCTTGACCTCATTTCATGGATCAGTAAACAAGGTTAAATTTTGGTGGTCAAGTCCATATCTCAGATACTAGAAGCAATAGGTCTAGCATATTCAGTGTATGGAAGGACTGTAAGGTGTACATGTCCAACTGGCAGGTGTCATTTGACCTTGACCCCATTTTCATGGTTCAGTTGTTATAGTTAAGGTTTTGTGTTTTGGTCTGTTTTTCTTATACTGTATGTAATAGGTCTACTATATTTTGTGTATGGAATGATTGTAAGGTGTAAGTGTCTAGCTGGCAGGTGCCTTCTGACCTTGACCTCATTTTCATGGTTCAGTGGTCAAAGTTAAGTTTTTGAGTTTTGGTCTTTTTTTCTAATACTATAAGCTATAGGTCAACTATATTTGGTGTATGGAAATATTTTATGATGTGCTTGTCAGTCTTGCAGGTATTAATTGACCATGACCTCATTTTCACATTTCATTGCTCAGTGTTAAGTTTTTGTGTTTTGGTCTGTTTTTCTTATACTATAAGCATAAGTCAACTATATTTGTTGTATGGAAGGATTGAAAGCTGTGCATGTCTGCCTGGCATGGTTCATCTGACCTTGACCTCATTTTCATGGTTCATTGGTCAATGTTTAGTTTTCTTGGTTAAGTCTTTATCTTAGAAACTATAAGCAATAGGTTAACTATATTTAGTGTAATAAATGATTGTATGGTGTACATGTATTTCTTGTTTGGTTTATATGACCTTGACCTCATTTTCTTGGAGCATGTTAAGTTCATGTGATAGTTGTAGTAAAGCTTTATATTTAGGACTATCAACATAATATCAATGATTAGTAGAGAAGGCGAGACATTTCATTGTGTGCACTCTTGTGTTTATTTAGACATGTACATGTATTGAAATAACTGCATTCACATCTTTTACATTTTAAGACAATTACATGAATGCTGTAAAGCACACTTTAATGTACCAGCACATTATCTCATATAGGTTGCACTTTGTAAATACAGCTGTTTCACAAACCACGCCTTTTTTGGGGAGATATATAATATTCATAGATATTTTGTTTTGTTTAACTACTGGTTCTCAGAGATGATTTTTATGCTTTATCTCAAAGAGACACAACGTGAGAATGTTACCAGTATAAATACACATAGATAGCGGCCAAATTGAATTCTGAGGAAGTTTGAGGCATATAGATATTGAAAATATGCCGCACAGCCCTATGTTTTGACCTTTGTAAAAAATAAAAGTGCATATAAACTTTCCATTCTAGGATATAGTTTTTTACGAAATTTCTAAGTAAAGGTGGCACAATTTTAGCTGTTAAAGGAGTTTCTTTGGGAAATTGCATTGTCTTTATTTACAGAAGTGCAACATATACAACTCATTTGGTTCATTTAGCATGAAATGTGTTGAGATTGAAACACCCCACCTGTCTAGTACATCTAGATGCCGCCACACATCTAAATTAAGCAAAAGCATGTCTATCACTAAAAGACATCAATAATTACATAGGTTTCTACAAATATGATCTTGTTTAAAAATATTATAAGTTCTCAACTTGTTCCGCCCATTTCTTTGTTTGGAAGAGGATGAATAAGTTATGCTTATCCATTCATCAATATATTTACCAAACATTCTTGACATGACTGAATTATCCAAATGAGGGCTTATAAAGTGTAATAAAAAATTTTAAATTTTAAAGGATGGGGTCTAAATTAATAAATGTAAGCACCACTATGCACAAATCCTCTAGGGAAAACATTGGGCATAATTACTATTGGAACAATATCTCACCTGAAGAAAGTGAATGTATCTATTCACAAGGTAACAGACAGTAGTTTCCGTCTTATCCCAACTCAATTCTAGTTGAGAGAAATTGAACACATCACCTTCTTCAGGTTGATATTTATTAAATATCACTTCTTTTAAAAACTACCATTATGACTCATAAATTTGCTAGTCTAAAATATTTATAACATTCATTGTAAATTGTACTTTATTTGGTCGTAAATGAACTTATCATGAACTTATTCAGTTTTCTAACTATATTCCTTGAACTTTGGGAAACTCATTCCTGTTACAAAAAACAATTGCTGATTTACAATGATAGTAATTAACATCATATCAAATTTTAATGTACTATTTTATGATTGGTCTGTCATTTTCATTTTATAGGTTTAGTCGATTGGAAGGATTACTATAAACATTTCCTACTGGCTAAAAAGTATGATGTTGATAAGATTGACAGTTTTCTTAAAGATTATGGTGATCAGGCATTAGAAATGAAGGAAACTGGTGAGTCTATAAAGGAAGGGAAGATAAAGTTGAGAGAAAGTGGTGAGTGTATCACATAGTATGGGTATGCACATCCCTATATTTGTTAGAGGATGTAATGGCACCATTTATTTTTCTCTCTTGTTTTTAGTATATAACAATAAGAAGATGTGGTATGATTGCCAATGAGACAACTCTCTACCAGAATCCAAATGAAGAAGTTTTAACAACTATAGGTCACCGTATGGCCTTCAACAATGAGCAAAACCCATACCGCATAGTAAGCTATAAAAAGCCTCTAAAAGACAAATTTAGGTAAAACAATTCAAAAGAGAGAAAACTAACAGTCTGATTTATGTACCAGGGGTTAAAGAATCCAATAGTCCGACGCCTGGGACTATAACATTTACACCTCAGGCTATCAAAAAATACCCGACAGACTAGTAAAAAAAATTCTTGTCGTTAACAAAATAGATGGTGGAAAATCCCTTCCTCACTATTCTTATCTTAGTTAATTTGATTCAATTACTTCATCCATGATTCCAGGAATTTGACCTGATTTTTTACATGTTTTAAAGATAGAACAAATAACTGGGTGGTCCGGTATCATGTATTGAACGCAATTCCCGTACTTTCAATATCGATTTCTCAGTACTGGGGGGGTATTGTATATTGCTCAAAATGAGACTTTGAATTAAAGGTACTGGGGGTATGATGCATTGATTGATATGAACTTTTGCATCTAATCAATTTAGTAAAAAAAAATTAGCCTATCGGAAATACATAAATATTTTTTAAGTGAGAAAAACAACAGAACCAAGTTGTTAACAAGTACATGTGTGCCAGTATGTGACATTTAATCATCCGAATTCTTCAAAAATGCTAAAAATATTATTACAGCTCTTCTATAAAAGCATGCAAAGCAAACCTTTGATCAACTTGCTTGCTATGTTTGCTTGGATGTTTGTAAACAAAAGGTAGGTAGTCTGTTTCAGTCTGTTTACTATATACTGGATTTTGATTGGACAATAAAGATTAACCTCATTGCATGTCAATTTTTATTGTCTAATCAAATTCCAGTATATACAAAACAGACTGAAACTCCGCCTACCTATTGTTTGCAAACATCCAAGCAAACATAGCAAGCAAGTTGATCAAAGGTTTGCTTTGCATGCTTTTATAGAAGAGCTGTAATACCTTTATCTTGCTTTCATTTCAAGTATTTTTTTTTGAAGAAATAACTGTGGAATGAACTAATTAAACTCAATTGTGCTTTGTAAATGTACACAGATTTTAAGTGTCCCTCTCTGGACCCGTGTTCTACCATTGTCAAGTCAGCATCTGGTATTAAGAAAAAGTGCTTTTTAAAAACAAATGTAAAGTTCTGACAGCGCGATATTGCATTAATAAAGAGTCAAAGGCAGATTTTTATACACTTCTGTTGAACATTTCATATGATGCACTGTCAATGTAACAGTTTACTTTAGAACATCAAATTTAAAAAGTCTGAAGTTTAATATCGTTTTTATGTCAATCATTGTTATGATACTCAAATTATTACTTTGTCATGATTGCCTTTTGTTACTAAGTCTTATGACATTGAAATCGGAATAAGAAAAAAATGTCTGGCTGGCTTTAATATTTTTTGAAAGCCGAGGCTAGCAGGTCTGTTTTTCTAGGCTAGTAGCTCTTCCAACAGGACCAGTAAAATCTTCCTACCACGAAGTCCTGGGAAAGTGAGCTGTAACAAAATTGTTTATCCCCTGTGTACAAAAAAATAAATGAAAAACAAATATGATGTACAACAACAAACAACAACAACCACTGAATTACAGGCTCCTGGCTACATATTCACAATTTATTTTTGGAAAGTGGATTAACACTGAACAATTTGAGAGAACTTCATGCATACAAGTAAAGTTTGCTTGTTCCTTATGTGAACCTCAAATTTTTATCTTCTATTGTAAAAATAGACACCAACTGGTCCAAAAGGTAGTTGTCTCGCCTGCAACGAAAGTCTTGGAAAGTGAAACAAAGGGATTGCTTTTCCCTCTGCCGCGACTGCGTCAACAATTGTTAAGTTTTCTGCTTAAGTTAGTTTGATTGGAACTACTTGTATTAGATCATTGATATTTAATATAAAGTTGCATCACTATCAATACATATCAGTTTGATGACTATTTCGAGGCCCTGCCCCTTAGGTCATGATCCAGTGACTTTGAATTAATTAGCAATTTTCAATGTAAAGTTTTCTGCTTAAGTTAGTTTAATAGGAACTACTTGCGATAGATCATTGATATTTAATAAAAAGTTGCATTACCATTGGTACTTATCAGTTTGACGACTATTTAGAGGCCCTGCATCCTAGGTCATGGTCCAGCGATTTTTAATTAATAAGCAATTTTCAATGTTAAGTTTACTGCTTAAGTTACTTTGATAGGATCTACTTGTGATAGATCAATGATATTTTGTATGAAGTCGCATTACCATCGGTACATACCAGTTTGACGACTATTTTGAGGCCCTGCCCCCTAGGTCATGGTTCAGTGACTTTGAATTATTTAACAATTTTCAATGTTAAGTTATCTGCTTATAAAAAGTCAGTTTGATAGGATCTACTTGTGATAGATAAATGATATTTTGTATGAAGTCGCATTACTATCTGTACATATCAGTTTGACGACTATTTTGAGGCCCAGCCCACTAGGACATGGTCTAGTGCAAGGATCCAGAAATTTTTTCACCTGTTTCGGTCATTTTGAGAAAACTTAAAAGTTGGTGTCCTTTTTTCAAAAAAAGATTGTCAAAATCACATTACCACTGATTACTGAGTACTCATAGCATCAACGAACTTGTTTTGGCTGTTGCATCGCATTTACTTCATGAATTTTCTTACCATTTTTCTAAAATCATTTAAGAGCAGTAAAGGGAAGGCAACAGTTTAAAAATGAAATGATTTTAATGACTCAAAATGATAAATTTCTCAGACATCACTTACGTTTCTTTCGATTTTGAAGACAATACTAAAATACGAGTAATTCCGGACTCATTTCCTGGATTAGTTTTGCTTATCAAATTGACAGGAAATCATCGGCTTTTTAATTTTTTACCTTCGAAAGTGTTTGAATGTTAATGATAATAGTTGCACTTTTTTATTTAGCATGGAATCATTTTTCATTTTACGTTTTAGTGTCTAATCTGCGGAAGAGAATTTCATGCATGTGTATTACATAGTAAACAAAGCATGTGTGTTAGTCGTGAAAAATCACTTTTTCTACGTAAATTAAATCAAGTTTTATTTTTTAAATCAGAATTGACAATTGTCTTAGCTAAAAAGTAATTAAATATTGAAGACAGTTGTTATGGAATTTTTATTTCTTTATAATATTAGTTCTGAGCTTGTGATCAATGTCAGGGGTGAATTAAAAACATAGGTAAAGAGATTAGCGATCATTAGCCAATATTTTCCCTGAGGCATTAATATAGATATTAGGAGGGCCCTCAGGATTATAACTCTATACTGGAGTGGCAGTTTCATTACAGGAAAGAGATAACAAAACAAAAACAAGTTCAAATGGCGATTAAGAAACCCGATCTCAAGGAAATAACCCAAATCATTTCTGTAAAAAAATAAAATTTGTCCCAAATCCCAATCTGTCGTTTAGGACATATAGATTTCAGATTCTGTCATGTCTGGCAAATATGACCGTTTCCGGACCCTTGGTCTAGTGACTTTGAATTAATTAGCAATTTTCAATGTTAAGTTTCCTGCTTAAGTAAGTTTGATAGGATCTACTTGTGATAGATCAATAATATTTCGTAGCAAGTTGCATTACTATCAGTACATATCAGTTGGACAATTATTTAAAGGCCTTGTCCACTAGATAATGGTCCAGTGACTGAATTAATAAACCATGTTGCTATCCATCAGATTGTCTTTTTCTGAATTTTATGCCAACAAGTGAGACATATCTCTGTGTCAACAGTTGATTTAGTCATCCATTTTTTGTTGTGATTGCAAAATTTTGTCATGGAAGTGAGACATAGTGGTCCTACATTATGGTGCTCAGTCTATGACCAAAAAATAGAACATAATCACTGATATCATGTTCCAAAATATGATTTTGTATAAAATTAAGTCATTTTAATAATAATATTATGGTTATAAAACGTAGATTTCATGCAGTTTTTCCTTTGGTGAACCTACTTTAATTAGTAATTATATATGAAGTTTACAAACATTCATGTGAACGTATATATATACACATGTATATATACGGAAATGCATAAACCAGAAACTGGGTAAAACAAAGGACATAATTTTATGTTAAAGTTGTTGGACTGACATAAGAGTGACATCTAGACACATAGCTAATTGTTACTAATTTATTTGTTAAAGCTCTTTATAAGCATTATAGTTTGTCAAATGTTATTCTTGTAAAGAATGTGTTTACGATATATATTTTTAAAATATGTTTGGCAATGTTTATCTTTTAGACAGAGACCAGTTAGTCAGGTACAAGTTTAAGTGGACAGACGTTGAACAAATGCCAATGGACAATAAACTGAACAAAGAAGAGTTTTTAGCATTCCGTCATCCAGAGCAGAGTAGACTTGCCATGAAAAAAATGATTGAGTCAATTTTGAATTCACTAGGTAATCTATTCCTTTCCCTATTTGTAAATCAAATGGTTTCCACATTGTTGTCAAGATTTAATCCACCATTTTCTACATAAGGAAATGCCTGTACCAAGTCAGTAATATAGTCGTTGTCCTCTGAAGACACATTGGTTTTCGCACTCTAACTTTAGTTTAAGTGAATGGATCTCTATGAAACTTTACCATAAGTCTCAATACCACAAAAAGAAGGTTGGGATTGATTTTGGGGGTTATGGTACCAACAGTTAAGGAATTAGGGGCCAAAAAGGGGCCAACAATAAACATTTTTGTAACTTCCAGACATAACTTGTGTGTTAGTGTATGGATCTCTCTGACATTGTACCACAAGGTTTTCACAATGTTCCATATCACGAAGGGAATGCTGGGATTGATTTTGGGGGTAATTGCCTCAAAATTTTAGGAATTGGGGGCCAAAAAAGGGGCAAAAAACAAGCATTTTTCTAGTTTCATGATAATAACTTGTGTGTAAGTGTATGGTTCTTTCTGAATTTGAAGTACAAGGTTCCATATCTTAAAGGGAAAGCTGGAATTGAGTTTGGGGGTAATTGCCCAAAACGTTTAGATATAAGGGGCCAAAAATAAGCATTTTTCTAGTTTCCAGACAATAACTTGTGTTCAAGTGTATGGATCTCTCTGAAATTGTACTGCAAGGTACCATACCACAAAGGGAAGGCTGGGATTGATTTTGGGGGTAGTTGCCTCAAAATTTTAGGAATTAGGGGCCAAAAAGGGGCAAAAAACAAGCATTTTTCTAGTTTCAGGACAATAACTTGTGTGTAAGAGTATGGATCTTTATGAAATTGTACTACAAGGTTCCATATCACAAAGGGAAAGCTGGTTTGAGTTTGGGGGTAATTGCCCTAAATGTTTAGGAATTTGGGGCCAAAAAGGGGCCTAAAAACAAGCATTTTTCTAGTTTCCAGACAATAACTTGTGTTGAAGTGTATGGATCTCTCTGAAATTGTACTGCAAGGTACCATACCACAAAGGGAAGGCTGGGATTGAGTTTGGAGGTGATGAATCATAAGGGGGTTCAAAAAATTTGGGGGGGGATTTTTTTTTCTTTAAAATTTTCCATTTTAAATTGGTTATTTCTGATTTATATATAAAAGCAAATAATAATGATATGGTTTGAATAGGTAAATTAAAATTTTTTAAGTTCTTAGACCACATTCATTCTGTGTCAGAAACCGATGCTGTGTCAAATATTTAATCACAATCAAAATTCAGTGCTGTATCAAGCTTGAATGTTGTGTCCATACTTGCCCCAACTGTTCAGGGTTCGACCTCTGCGGTCGTATCAAGCTGCACCCAGCGGAGCATTTTATTATTTTTATTTTACTTTTTTCCACAAGATGTGTATGTTTGCTTTGACTAATATTTTTCTACCAGCAATAAAAACTGTTAAACTGTCAATCACAGAGTAATTTCTGTTTTCACTTCACAGTTTCATATGAGCTTAAAAGATCAGTGATATATTCATTTTTGTCTCGCCTGCGACGAAAGTCGCAGAAAGTGAGACATAGGTATTACTATCCGCGGCGGCAGCGACGGCGGCGTAAACTATTTGTATAAAGCTTTATATTTCAGAAGGTAGAAGACCTGGATGCAGATACCTTATGTTACGAACTTTCTGTCTGTCATATGTCCAATGTCCTTGACCTTATTTTCATGGTTCAGCGACTGCTTGAAAAAAAAGTTTTAGTTTTTTTGTTATGTAAATTTCTCACTTATTATGAGTAATAGGATAACTATATTTGGTATATGGGTTCCTTGCAACGTCTACATGTCCATCAGACAGGGTTCACCTGACCTCAGCCTCATTTCATGGATCAGTGATCAAGGTTAAAGTTACGTGATTAGGTCCGTTTCTCAGATACTACAAGCAGTAGGTCAGCTATATGTGGTGTATGGAATGATTATAAGGGATACTTGTCAGTCTGGCCGGTTTCATCTGACCTTGACCTCATTTTCATGGTTCATTGGTCAATGTTAAGTTTTTGTGTTTTGGTCTGTTTTTCTAATACTATAAGCCATTGGTCAACTATATTTGGTGTATGGAATGATTGTAAGGTGTACATGTCTGTCTGGCAGGTGTCATTTGTCCTTGACCTATTTTCATGGTTCATTGGTCAATGTTAAGTTTTTGTGTTTTGGTCTGTTTTTCAAATACTATAAGCAATAGGTCAACTATATTTGGTGTATGGAATGATTGTAAGGTGTACATGTCTGACTGGCAGGTGTCATTTGTCCTTGACCTCATTTTCATGGTTCATTGGTCAATGTTAAGTTTTTGTGTTTTGGTCTGTTTTTCTAATACTATAAGCAATAGGTCAACTCTATTTGATGTATGGAATGATTGTGAGGTGTACATGTCTGTCTGGCAGGTGTAATTTGTCCTTGACCTCATTTTCATGGTTCATTGGTCAATGTTAAGTTGCTCTTGTTTGGTCCTCTTCTCAGATACTATAAGTTATAGGTCAACTATATGTGGTGTATGGAATGATTGTAAGGTGTGCACGTCTGTCTGACAGGTTTCATCTGACCTTGAGCTTATTTTCATGGTTCATTGGTCAATGTTAAGTTTCTGTTGTTTGGTCTTCTTCTTAGATGCTATAAGTAATAGGTCAACTATATTTGGTGTATGGAATGTATTTTATTATTTAACTGCTGATTACTTACATTGAAATAGATTATTTTATAAAAATCTTTAAATAACATTAATAATGATAATAAATAATAAAAACTTTTAAGGGATCATTACTAAACCGTGATTAACAAAAACATTGGAAGGTGTGAAAATGTTAAAATAAGGTCACTGATGCATGAATGTTTAACATAGAATACAGTTCACTCCAGTCCCTTCATAAAGATTAATTGGCTGAATATGTACAGATTGAAGAACTTTTGAAATTTTGTTTGCACAACAGAATCACATTTACTGATTTTTGATACATATGAAATGAGATAAGTAAAAAATATTTTAGCATAGCAACATAAATAGATAAATAGATAATATGAAAATATGACTTTTTACAATATTTTGATCAAAGATTGAAGATAATTTTAGTTTTTTTTTTTTTTTTTTTTTTGGGGTGGGGGGGTCTTTCAGGTTCATCTCAAGGAATTGACAAATATTTATCCAGTTTCTGCAATGCCTTAAAACTTTTCCTTGTGCACAGGTTTGTCTGTACTCAAGAGGAAATAAAAAAAAATTGCCATATTTGTCAATCCCTTCTGATGAACCTTAAATCTAGATGAAAAATTATTTCATAAGAAATTTCAAAGTTTGCTTTTAGTAGTCATTTGACTTAATGTTTCAAAAAAAAAATTTGTATAATGCGATTTTATTTACTCAAATGTTGTTGCTATATTTGCCTGTGATTTATTAGCCAAAAGTGTATCCCATGTGATTTTATGATGCTGTTTTTTCTAAAAACATGTTACTCAACATGAATGTAAAAGCATTACAGACCTATATTTAAGCCTAAGGTCAAGGTAACTAAAAAAGACTAAAATTTGAACATAGGTTTCAGGATGTATTCAATGGGATTGCAACTTAACTTGGATATGTGGCTACATAAATTAACAGAAAGAAGAGGAAAATCCCTGGCTATTGTTTTTCAAGTCGCTATGTCTTAGTTCGAGGTCCTATTTACTAACAATAGATTTGCAGAAGACCATATTACTGTCTTAAATCAAGATTTATATGGGGGCCATGGTAATGTGAGCTTGCTCACTAAAGGTCTATTATATTTCGTTAAGAATGTCAAGAACTGTAAAACAAAATCTACAAATATGCAAATATTACTCAAATCATCAGATCACTTATTCAAAGATGTATTTCCCTTTCATGCTTTTAATGCTAAGTAGTCACTTCCTTTTTAAGCTTACCTGGCCAAAATTGCCATTGTGAGCTTTTGCCATCAATTGGCATCCATCGTCTGTCTTCATTGCATACGTAGGCCGATAATTTTTACAAAAATCTTCTCCTGTTTGAAGATACAATAACGAGAATTTTTCATCAAAGTCTAATCAAGGAGTGGAGGTATACTCTGCAGGACATAGCGGACAACTTCTCGTTGCAATTAGCAAATGTGTCATTTTTATATTGTGTTTCACAGATATGTATACATGCAATGAGTGCCGCAAAGCTTACAAGACTAGAAAAGGTCTTCAAAACCATGCATGTAATATATGCAAATTATGCCAAAAAACTTTCGCATCTGCACAGAATTTAAAAAGACATTGTTGTAAACAACAGACATTAAGCAGAGAAATTCATAAATGCAGATTTTGTCATAAGGAATATTCTACTGAGAATCTACTGGGATCTCATAAATGCTCATATTGCCAGATTTGCAAAGTACTTTTCTCAAGCTACCAAAAATTATGTAGTCATATCTGCAAACATTCAGGAAAGCTCTTGCCTACAGAAAATAGAATAAACAATTTCAATAAGTCAGTAATAAAAGATAACTCTCAGAAGAAAGCAGACATAAAAGAAGAAACAATGCAAAAGGAAAATACTGCAGTGCCAACCAAAACAAACATCAAACAGACATCAAATACAGAAAGTATAAGTAGTATCAATTCACCTCATCAAGATCTTGTTACAGGAGACATTATTCATGAAATATTCCAATTTAAACCAATTAACTTAACATGGCAAATGAATCAGTGCACAAAGTTAAGGCTTAGGTTTGAAGAAGCATCATATCCATTGTATGATTTAACTACTGCAATCACAATTGGAACTCCTAAAAATTTAAAGAAAATTATAGGTGATGGAAACTGCTTTTATAGAGCCATTTCTTATGCTATTACAGGATTTATTATTATAAATTCAATTGTGAACACTAAAACAGGCGAGACATTTCAGTGTGTCCACTCTTGTTTCTTTTTTGGAAAATGCTTAATAACTTATAAAAATAAGTAAAACATTGTTAAGTTTTTAGCATAACAGTTTTTAAGGTTCTACAGTTTTGCCCCATCAAAAATTGTACCATGGTATTTTACTACATTCTGCTTACCTAAGAATCATGTAACCAAAAAGCCTTGTTGATATAACACCCATAACAATTAAAATATTCAAGTTTGATTTTCAACCTTGCAGGTTAAATGTACATGGGTTAAACATGTAGAAAATCTTTTTCAATTTGTCTAATGCTTATCCATACCATATCCCATTGTTTCTAATACAAAAATTACCAGCTACAAATATTCATTATGTTATTAAACTTTATTTCACTTTGTACTTTTTACTTTTCATGGTCATCATCTTAAGTAGAAATAAGTATTCCTCAACTTTATATATTTTTTGTTATTAGATACTGATAATGATGGTAAGCTTACACTAGCTGAATTTGTTGCCTTGCCACCTGGTGACGTGGAAGACCAGGAACAAAAGAAACTTGATGATCGATATCAGGACGAAAGGAAAAAGGAATTTGTACATTCTATAGATAGTGATAAAAATGGCGTTGCTACTCAGAAAGAATTAGAGGTAAGGAATAAGACAATTAGTTTTTAGTGAGTTGTTAAAGTGGATCCATTAGATAGAATTTTTTTATACTTTGCCAAAATGTAGATCTGACCATTATAAAAATAAGGAGATGTGGTATGATTGCCAATGAGATAACTATCCACCAAAGTTCAATGCTTTTTTTCAAAAATATGATAAAAAGTATGGGTTATTAATATTGTGGTATTTTTCAAGCTACAAGTCGTGCAAAATTGCATAATTTTGCATAGATCATTCATGAAAAAAATGTTTTTTGTAAATAAAAAGAAATCTATGATGTAGAATTTTGAAATGCAATACAAGAAGATAGGTTTTATAGTATGCTTTAAGAAAATATAAAGAAAAATTTGTGTCATTTAACTTGTTTTCTTGCTACAATTAAAAAAACGAAAATTTCATTAACATTTCTTTATAAAATTTTTACTATTAAGAGTTATCTTCCCCTTATAAGGTGTTGTTTAACAATTTATTTGAACAAAAAACAAATATTTAGCATTTGTTAAAACAGTCTAAATAATGCTGCAATTAATCACTTATTTTTCTTTATTCCAATAAACAGCCTTACACATTAATTGCCAATCTGTCTCAAAATTTGCAGGTTTAGACCGATTGTGTACTGCTATTTTACAATCCAAGATGGCGGTAAACAGTTAATCTCCTTAAGTGTCCTTTAACAAATCCTGAGAAAATATTGTTTTGGGGGATATGTATCCTAGGTCTTTATTTAGATTGAATACTAATACATGTAATCGTGGGTGTAATAGCATTATTGTGATGCTGATTAAAATTTCATCATCTTTTATCTGTTGTGAAAAAGGCCTCTTCATCATAGATGCGGCTTTATTAGGTCAAATCCTTTTTTTCACACAATAAGTTGATTGAAAATTGAGTTCTTTGCATACATTTAACAACTCCTTAGTAGTTTTTACACCTTTATTCTATGGTCCTCTGCTCTTCGAATGAGCACATATGAGTAAGGTCAGTCACATGTTAAAAATTTAAACATGTCCAATTTTGCTGCACAGAGATTTTTGTTTACACACTTTATATGAGTTCTTCTATTTGAGGCTCATTAGGGATATTGACCTGTCTGGTGCATTTTTTCATACGACCGTAAAAAATTTGCATTCGTATATTGCTATCATTTCGTCGTCACCGTTGTCCGAAGACATTTGGTTTCCATACAATAACTTTAGTATAAGTGTATGGATGTCTATGAAATTTAATCACAATGTTCAGTAGCACAAAAGGAAGGTTGGGATTGATTATGGGGGTTATGGTCCCAACTGTTTAGGAATTAGGGGTCGAAAAGGGGCCAAAAAAGGCATTTTTCTAGTTTCCGGACAATAACTTGTGTATTAGTGTATGGATCTCTATGAAATTGTACCACAAGGTTCTGTACCACAAAGGGAAGGTTGGGATTGACTTTGGGGGTTATGGTCCAAACTGTTCAGGAATTAGGGGCAAAAAAAGGGGGGAAAAACAAGGTTTTTCTGGTTAATGGACAATTTCTTTAGTATTAGTCTATGGATCTCTATGAAATTGAAACACACGGTTCCATACCACAAAGGGAAGGTTGGGTTTGACTTTGGTGGTTATGGCTCAAACCGTTCAGGAATAAGGGGCAAAAAGGGGAGGAGGAACAAGGTTTTTCTGGTTTCTGGACAAATACTTAAGTGTTAGTCAATGGATCTCTATGAAATTGTACCACAAGGTTCCATACCACACACAGAAGGTTGGGGTCGATTTTGTGGGTTGTGGCTTAAATCTTTAAGAAACTGGAGGCCAAATAGGGGCTAAAAACAAGACTTTTCTAATACTGGCTAAGCTGGTTCTAACATAAATTATTTCTGATCTATATAAAGAAACAACAAATACTGATATGACAGGAGATACAAACAAACAGGGTGTGTAAATTATTATATTAAGTTTGTAAACAGATTTTTTGCGCAACAGCTAAGTATTGCACAACAGCAAGAAAATAAATACAAATCTTTTAACCAATTTCAATGAGGATTAATTTAAAGTCTTAAATTGTTGAGGTTTTTACCATGTATTACTATATTGGATTTTTGGACATTTTTAAATAGGTCTACATTGAGGTCCAAAGGGTCCAAAATTAGACTTCTTTTGATTTCATCAAAAACTGAATTCTGGTGGTTCTATGATATGCTGAATCTAACTGTGCATTCAGATTTTTAATTTTGGGCCCTGTTTTCAAATAAGTCCAAAGGGTCCAAAAATAAACTTTGTTTAAATTCTTGGGTTTTTTTTATATGCTGAATCTAACCATGGAATTAGATTTTGGATATTGGACCATTAAGTAGATTAAATGTCCCATTTCAAATTTTTAAGTTATCTGACCACATTTATTCTGTGTCAGAAATCTATAATGTGTCAAATATTTAATCACTCTCCAAATTCAGAGTTGTATCAAGCTTGAATATAGTGTCCATACTTGACCCAACTGTTCAGAGTTCGACCTCTGTGGTCATATCCAGCTGCCTCAAGCGGAGCGCATTTTTTTAATTCTGATATACAATTGAGCAGTCGAAAATTAGTTGGTTAATGGCGTATTGTTTTAATTTCAAATATATGTTGTTTTATAGGACTATGTTGATCCCAGAAATCCACAGCAGTCTAAGGCAGAAGCTGAAAACCTTTTACAGATGTTAGATGATAATAAAGATGGAAAAGTTTCTATGGATGAAATGTTTAAACATAAAGATATCTTCGTAGACAGTAAATGTGTCAATGTGAAGAGAAGTCTACATGACGAATTTTAAAATTACATATAAATCTTGCATAAAGTAGCATTCTGTGATATCAGACGTGGATTCAGACGGGGACGCACCCAGTCCCGCACCTCAATAAAAAAGAAAGAATGAAAAAAAGGGTAGAATAACATCCAATTTTGCGTCAAAATAGGTCCTCTTATTCCTATTTCTCAGGAACACCACCCTAACATTAAATCCGGGAATCCACGTCTGGATATGAACTTTTGTTTTTGGAATTTCTTATCCCAAATGTGAAGAACAACTGTTAATTAGATTATGGTTTGAATGGTCTTTGGTATTCTTTGGTTTTGAAATTTAGGGTTGTCTATCAATTATTAAAACAATTTCTGTTTTAAAAAGTTCAAGAAGTATATATTTCTGTTATAAAAATATTTTATTGTTTGTAGTGGTCCCCAAAAAGATTCAGCTTCAATTGTTATTCATGTTTATACATTTATGTAAATGTGAGGCATCGGCACTATGATTGACTACATGATTATTAAAAAAAGACCCAGCTGTTGGGTGTGCACAAAGGGTTTGACTTGTGCAAACATCCAGAATTGCTGACATACTTTATATTTAGTAAATATTTTTAGATTTAAACTTGTTATTATGGCTTTGCCTACTGGGGACCTTTCATTTGTGAACAATACACACAAAACAAGTTGTGTTTTTTTCTCTCCAAAAATTATAAATATATGAGTGCAATTGTGATATTTATTATTTTAGTACTCTATATAGTTTTAAGGAATATTTTTGTACTTTTTACACAAGAAAAATGCTATTGAGTGGGATTTATTTTATCTTATGAGGGTTAAATTTGTGGTGATAATAATCATGAGGTCAGCTTAAATCTAAATTTTAATGGTACATGTACAACTAAGCATGATAATTTATTTTTTTAAATTTCTATGTCTTGTGGAATGAGCTTTAACCCAAGATATTATTCAAAAATTTTACAATTACCTCCTTAAATACATGTACATTCCAAGTGCCAACCATTGGTTAACCTGTATTTATTTAATTTCTCCCCCTTTTCTCCGTTTTCTTTCATCATTGACTAACCCTGTCAAACCTTTTTCATGACCTTTTTTTGTCTTGGGAAGTGTGAACTCCATTGCTCTTATAAAAATCAGTTTCTAATTTGGTATGATCACTTTCAAAGTAAAATTAATTATTTTTCAGATGGAATCGTTTTACAATGCTTAAAGTAATACATTGTGTAATATGAAATATCATAGAGTTTGGTTAAAAGTTTCTTAGATGTTTTGTTCAAAAGGTGAATCAATGGTCACTGTGATTTGATTTATATATTTATACATCTAAACTGTGTGTTTATTTATGTGTGTGTGTGTGTATGAGAGGAGATAAAATAGTTTTTTGCAAGGGTCATTGTTATAGTTGCATTGCTTGTTTTAGAGCAATTATTATTGTTTAATAAAATCAATTAAACTTTTGAATCAAAATAAAAAGTTTTCTTTTTTTGAAATCATTCTATGCTCATTTCTAGGATTTACTTTCTGTAGGAATGTTCAGAACTTAAAGTGAAGATAAGGCATAAATGTATAAATACTTTGGCAGCTGTGTTATTAAAAAGAGGCATAAAAGAAGAAACAAAAACCATCTGAGAATTATAGCATAATTCTTTCTTTTTACTAAATGTATCAGCTGAGTTTATCAAAATGTGCTTAAACATGCCCAATGATGAAACATTGAGCAGAGGTGCATTAAGGGGTGGTGCCCCCCCCCCCCCTCTTTACACAGCTACATATATTGTTTATGCATAGACTTTTTACAAGTTCCACTCCTAACAATACCTTGGTGGGCTTCCTTTTTTCAATATCTTTAATCTGCAAATGTTGACCTGCGGATTATACTCTTAATAACTTGCAGTCCTCCATACTGTTTCTGCTGCATTATTAACATATTTTTCTACGTTCAGAAGAAAAAAATATGCAAAATATATCTATACAACTTATAGGTTATACTAAAATCTAGTTTTTCAGTATTCTTTTTAAGTTGTTTAATGTGCAGTTAATCATGTCAATTAAATCCAGGGTGTAGAACAAGTTATTAATGTAATTTATATAGATATAATTATGTTCATGTGAAATAATAATCAAAAGATTCTCAGATTCTCATCCATTTTGCCTTACAGTTCTATAGCTCATGTTTAGTCCACAAATAATTTATTTCTATAACAGAAACAATTATAATAGAATAAATAATTTGCTTTTCTGTTCCACTTTATTTTAAATATTAGATGAGAATCTTAAGAACTTTTGGTTTGTTATATCCTGACAAATATTTTTATTTAAACATCATGTGTTATATTTATATATGCTTTTCGTAGAAATGAAGGACAAGTTTTTCTCGAGTGCCAATCTGTCTAAGAACCCGGCAGTGGTGAAAACATGACAAACAGAAACCCATTCATATTTAGATTACAGCTTTTCTATAAAAGCATGCAAAGCAAACCTTTGATCAACTTGCTTGCTATGTTTGTTTGGATGTTTGTAAACAACAGGTAGGTAGTCTATTTCAGTCTGTTTACTATATACTGGAATTGGACAACAAACATTAACTTCATTTAAATGTTAAGTTTCACATTGTATGTCAATTTTTATTGTCCAATCAAATACTAGAATATATTAAACAGACTGAAACTCTGCCTACCCTTTTGTTTACAAACATCCAAGCAAACATAGCAAGCAAGTCGATCAAAGGTTTGCTCTGCATGCTTTTATAGAAAAGCTGTAATTTATGTTCAAAATGTATAATGGAATATATCATTCGTTTCCTTTTCCTGTTCTGGTATTTCAAGATATAATTAGGTTGAAATGCACTGAAAATTAACAATTAAGGAGAGCTAACTCTGTAATTTGATATCATTCTAACCAAAACTTATTTAGATATTTCTCGACTTACCAGACATGCAGAAATGAAAGAACTCCCATTTCTATCTCAGGATGAGGGTAACTTCGAAATAGGATGGTTAGGTTGGTGGGTTTTTTTTGCCATGTTTTGAAATTCTTCTAAATTGCCTGATTCTTAAAAAGACTAGCACTTAATTATTGCATGTACATGTGCATTTGTATATTAGACAACAAATATATTTCTCGACTGTTGCACTGTGACATAAGAGATAAATGTTTTTGATAATGTATTATAGTGGATAGCATCTATCAAAATAGGAATTCTCAAAATGTTTGTTTAGTGTTGTATTTTTTATGTTATTGAAATACAAAACATAGTCCCATTTGTTTTTAAATGTATTCATTGATAATGCAATCATTACTCAAGAATTTTAGTACTTTCAATATGAACGTACTCAAGAACTTTTGGCTTCTAAAATGCCATAGAAATTATGTTGCTGATTTACATTGAACTTTGCAATTACTTTTTGTAAATAGTAATCTGAAAAAAAATGTTCAAGCTGAAAAGTTTGGCATCGAATTACTTTGCAGCTTTTAAAAACACCACTTCAGGTTTATAAATATTTAGCCCTAGGGCTTCATCATACATGAAGATGTGTTTCAATTTATTTTTCTGTGTGTTACATGTGTATGAAAATTTAACAACATAATTCTTATGCCTAGTTTTGGAACTTGCATCTTATATTATGATTGTGAATAGTTGGGAGGTTAACTTATAAAGGTGTTTAAAACAGTGTAAATAACAAAAATATACAATGTATATTGATTAAAAAGTGAACCTTGTAAATAGATGGCAGCTTTCATACAGTACTGTCACTACTGTGGGATACCTGAGGTATATTTTACTTATCTTTTTATAGAATTATTTCATTCTATGACATTTTTGTGGGTTTTTTGTCTTGTTTTGATGGAGTCAAAAAGCGAGACATAGGTATGCAGTTTCCAGCGTTGTCAACAATGTATTAGTTTGTGGTAAGTTCTAGTTTATGGTGAACCACTAGTGGTAGGTCAATGATATTTGGTATGCAGTTGTATAAGCCTTGGCACATCTCATTTCCAAGGAGATTATTTGGCCCTGCCCCCTCAGTCATGGTCTATGTACTTTTAAACTATTGCTTAGTTTACATGTTCTAGCTTGTGATTAGGTCAGTTTATGGGGAACCACTAGTTGTAGGTCAATGATATTTGGTATGATGTTGTAGAAGCATTGGCATATCTCATTTCCATGGAGAATATTTGGTCCTAACCCCAGTTTTCATTCAACATTTGCATTATCAAAATAACAAAAAGGTGAGACATATATCTGAGTTAACAGTTTATGTTAAAAAAAAAAGCATGTAGAATTTGCTAATTTGATCAAACTGAGGTATAAAATACTGGTATGTTTTATTCCTATTATCTTATCCTTCTAGTTTCCAACTTTGATGCAAGTTTTTAATTTTATAATACAATATTGAATTTCTTGTTGTTCTTTCAAATAGATTTGAATATTTTGTTACTCCATATTTTTGTTACAATAAAATTCTTTACTATTATGTGTTTTTATTTTTGACCCAAGAAAGCTGAACAAATCATGACAGTGATTGCTTTTCATGTATCAGTAAAAAAAATATGGAGATGTGGAATGATTGCCAATGAGGACAACTATACATAAAGACCAGAGGACAGAGATGTGAACAATTACAGGACACTGTATCACCTTCAATAATGAGCAAAACCTATAATGTATAGTAAACTATAACAGGCACAAAGATATACCAGTAATATGTGAAACAATTAAAGAGAAAACCAACAGCTTTATATAAGCTGTGATCATTAGGAGAAAAACAATTATTACAGACATCCACCAACTACAACCACTGACTACAAACAACAACTTGAGACAGGCATATGAGAAATATGGCGGGTTAAACTGCCCCTAAACTGGGAAGGTGATGCAACAGTTCATCATACAAACAAAATTTTAAACAAGAGTGCACACGCTGAAATGTCTCACCTGCTTTACTTATGATAGGTCAGTTGAACCCAGCCAGACAGACATGTAAATATGAAAAATTAACATTGACCAACAAACCATGAAAATAAGGTTAAGGTTAGATGAACCATGCCAGACGGACATGTACACCTTAAAATCATTCCATACACCAAATATACCGGTAGTTAACCTATTGCTTATAGTATCTGATAAACTGACACAAGAGTGCACACGCTGAAATGTCTCGCCTACTATACTGACCATTGATTTTATGTTGATAGTCCTACATATAAAGTTTTACTACAAGTATCACATTAACATTTATGATCCAAGAAAATGAGGTCAAGGTCAGATAAACCAAGCCGGAAATACATATACACCTTTAATACAATCCCTCCATCCACAGAATATAGATGACCTATTGCTTATAGTATAAAAGAAACAGACCAAATCATGGAAATTCTATATTAACCAATGAACCATGAAAATGAAGTCAAGGTCATTTGAACCCTGCCATTCCAAATATAGTTGACCTATTGCTAAAGGTATCTAAGAAAAAAAGTTAACCAGGAAAACTGAACATTGACCAATCAACCATGAAAATGAGGTAAAGGTCAGATGATACCTGCCAGACAGACATATACACCTAACAATCATTCCATACACCAAATATAGTTGACCTATTGCTTAAAGTGTAAGAAAAACAGACCAAAACACAAAAACATAAGCAATGAACCATGAAAATGAGGTCAAGGTCAAATAAAACCTGCCAGACTGACATGTACATCATTAAATATTTCCATACACCAAATAAAGATGACCATCTGCATACAGTATTAGGAAAACTGACCAAAACACAAAAACTTAACATTAAGCAATGAACCTTGAAAATGAGGTCAAGGTCAAATAAAACATTCCAGACTGACATGTACATCATAAAATATTTCCATACACCAAATATAGTTGATCTGTATACAGTATTAGAAAAACAGACCAAAACACAAAAACTTAAAATTGAGCAATGAACCCTGAAAATGAGGTCAAGGTCAAATAAAACTTGCCAGACTGACATGAACATCGTAAAATATTTCCATACACCAAGTTGACCTATTGCATACAGTATTAGAAAAACAGACCAAAACACAAAAACTAAACTATGACCACTGAACCATGAAAATGAGGTCAAGGTCAGATGACACCTGCCAGTTTGACATGTACACCTTACTATCATTACATACACCAAATATAGTAGACCTATTGCTTATAGTATCTCAGATATGGACTTGACCACAAAAACTTAACCTTGTTCACTGATCCATGAAATGAGGTCGAGGTCAAGTGAAAACTGTCTGACAGGCATGAGGACCTTGCAAGGTACACACATACCAAATATAGTTATCCTATTACTTATAATAAGAAAGAATTTAACATTCCAAAAAATCTGAACTTTTTTTCAAGTAGTCACTGAACCAAGAAAATGAGGTCAAGGACAATGGACATGTGACTGAGGCATCTATATACAAAGTATGAAGCATCCAGGTCTTCCACCTTCTAAAATATAAAGCCAGATCACTATCCCTATGTCGAGCAAAAACCATGAAAACTAGACCTTGGCCAATGAACCATGAAAAAGGTCAAGGTCAGATGAAACCTGCCAGTCAGACATGTACACCTTTCAACAACACCATACATCAAAAACAGCTGATTTATTGCTTACAGTATCCACGAAACAGATGAAACCACAAAAGCTTAACATTGACCAACGAACCTTGAACATGAGGACAATGTCATGAAACCGACCAGTTGGACTTGTACACCTTACAATCATTCCATATACCAGATATAGTTGACCTATTGCTAATAGTTTTCTGAGATACGGACTTGACCATGAAAACTTAACTTGATCACTGATCCATGAAAAGGTGGTCGAGGTCAGGTGAACCCTGTCTGACAGACATCTAGACCTTGCAAGGAACCCCCCTTTTCTGGGAAAAATTTGGTTGATTACATAGAGAATCACTGAAGCATGACCGAAGCGGGCCCCCTCTCAGGGTAGTCAGTGGACCCCCACTTATGAAAATTTCTGGATACGCCACTGTAGATGCTAACTTCTATGTCATTTGGTTGCTGGTGGAGAGTATTCTCATTGGCATCTATACCACATCTTCTTATTTTTTTTAAAAAAGAAAGAAAATAAACAATATATTATATTTTTATGATTTAATAAATATAAAAATGTTTTACTTTAAAAAATGCTCAACATTTTATTCAAAATAAGACAATGTTGTACAAATTCATAACAACTATTAATGAGAATTTCTACCAAGTTTAAGTCAAATCTGATTCACAAGCATTCTGCTAAAACAGATATTCAGTTTCTCTCTTAGTACATGTACTTGATCAATAAACATAAATTAAAACTCTTTTATGTCCTTTTTTTCTAACAATTAATTATCATATACTTTTGTATATTAAAATTAAATCACAGGAAAATGTTAAAAATCAATGTGGACTTCTAGGTCTTGCACATTATTTTTTTCATTGTAAATTTAAAGAAAAAACTAATTTGTAAAAACTTTTACCACTAACTTGTTATTGTAAACAAGTGTAAATTAAATAAAAAGACTATATTATATTTAAAAAAAAACATCTATAAAAGCAAAATTATTTCAGTAATTTTTAAATATTTTAAAATTCTACAAAATAAATATCAAAGAAAAAAAATAAGTAACAAAAGTATTAATCCTTTAAAAAAGTAGTTCTAACATGAATCTGGATTAATACAGACCACTAATAAAATGTAAAAATTTTGTATCATGTGTGGTTATTTTAACAACTGTAAAATTGGAATGGACGGTATATACAAATAAATATCACAGTTATTTGGCATTAAAGCTGCCATTAAGATAGCATCTTATATTCCAGCACAAAGGTAAATATATAAATAAATGTACATATCTAATGAGGAAATGGACGGCAAAATAACACCAGAGGTCTAATATTCCAAAATTGTGTATAACAATACATTAAATCGAGGAATTTTCTTAGAATATGGCTTCAGATCTTCCAAAAAAATTGATTGTTGTAATATCTAAGATTTTAGAATGTGACTTCACAGAAAAATGGCATTTTTTACAAGAAATGATATGAAAAATATACAATAATGTCACTGTTATTAGGAATTTATGTATAAATGGAAATAATTTGAGAATGTTTTATTAAGACTAGAATGTTAATAATGATTCTTTATGTAGTAAAATGCTACATTAGTGATGGGTAAATGCTAATAAAATAAAGGTTTCTGTATGATACTGAAAATTATCGTCATACAAAGTAGAAGAGACTATCTATTTTGGAAATCCCTCAAAAATTATTAGTCAGGTGTTACTACAGACTTTCAGCAAAAAAAAAATATACCAATTATATGCTTTTCTGAAGTTTTCCATGAAGATACAAAGATAATCAAAGTTATATTTTAAATTAATATCATAGCTTTTCCTTTTTTGTAAAACAAAATGTGTTCAACTATGGAACCAATTCCCTCAAACAACTAAATTTCTAATCATTTGAACATATCTTGATTTTTTTTTAGAAACTGTTTTTATCATATAATATAGCATGTAATATTATTTGTGTAGAGAAACAAATCAGCATTTGATGGCCTAATTAAAATAAATAGTTTTTAAATCTAAATGCAATATTTTGTATTTATACCTCATATTCAAATATAGAAAGAGCATTCACATGGAGAAAAATTTTAAATTCTGAAAAAAAATAAATATGGAAAACCTAAGTCATTGATAGTATTTTGAGAATTTGTATAATTCCTGCTTAGCTGTGACAGTACAAGTTATCTACATGTTACTACGACTCACAGCGCCTTTGTAGAAGATGGCTCACCTAAATCACCTACAACTATCCTACATAAAGAGCTACTATCGAAATTAAAACTAGGATGTATGGTGACTTTGATTATAAAAACTCACTAAGCCTACAAGATATCTACCATTATATATTCTGTGTGTAAAATTAAAGTCAAATCTTATTTCATGATCTTATGATAGGTTAACAATTTCCATTAAAACCTCTCCTTTTAACCTAAGATAAAAACATTCAATGATGGAAGGTTTGACTGTAATTTTAAAGTTTCAATGATGCATCCCTCAAGAAATTCTTGTCTAAATATGGTACAAGCTTCTTTCTTCTTTCACTCCCGACACAGAGGACATCTGTGTTTTACAAAAAAAAACATGTAAATATGTTTTCACAATAGTCACTATAAATTTCTATTGAGTACAAATGTTTTATACTGAAAAAATTCCCATTAACAAAACTGACTTTTTTTTCAGTTATTTTCATAAAATTTTATACAAATATTGATAAAATTGTAAATAAAATCTTGAAATAAATTGGGCAAAATGAAAACAGCATGCAGAAAACATTCAATGACTATCTGGGAACCTACCATACAAAGATCAGGAATAACTGTTCTATTTTTATACTGGTAGATGTCAATCACTGATTTTACCATATCAAATTGTTTTCTGGTGACATATTAGCCTAGCAAAAAAACAGATATATAGGACTGTAAAATCTTAGACTGACAGTTGCCAGAATTAAAATACATTACAGTTATTCCTATTGTAATGTAAATACAATCTCTCAGCTGTTAAATGAATTTTTAGACTAAAACAAATGCCATAAGCATTCTGAAAGGTCAATCATGTATTTTACACCCTCAAAATATCTAAATGACGTCTAATCAAAATCCACATTACTAACACAAATAGTTAGATTTCATAATTTATATTTGTTTTATGTCTTATGAATAAAATCTTCATAAATATAAATAAAATGAAAATTATGATAAGTCTTAATTTATAAACCATTTTCATTTTTAAGAATCAGGTGAATGTTTCTGACTATTTTTTTTTTCTTCCAGCTGATAATGTAAGTTCCCAGATAAATACATTTCACCTATGAACAACGAAACTACCAAAAACAAGACGTGACTGAAGGGTGGACATGGAATGATATAGAGATAACTTTTCACTTCATACTAGCCTGCAAAAGGGGTCTCTACTTCCCATTTTCACTTTAATAGTGAAAATTACTAAACCCTTGTAAAAATTATTGAAAATCCCAATTCGACTTTTATGAACTTTCACAAATTTTGATTCAAGAAACAAGCTTACTAAAACCCTTATATCAAATTTTAAAAATCTATTGTTTTCAGAATAACATGTCTAAAATACAAAGGTATAAGAACCATCTAGATAAATGAAATCTAAGTCAAGAATTTTTCAAGTGGATAAAGTTCTATTTCACAAAACAGTAGAGATGCTACCCTTTTAACTTAAATATATTCTTTCAGTTTTATAAGAGGAATCTTTCCCAAAAACAAATAAAAGCTTAACATTTATTCCTGTGACTTTTATTATTAATATTTGAAATTATTCAATCCATCTTTCAAACCTTAAAAAAACAACTTTAAAAAATTTGGATTTTTATGGAAAATCTATCAGTTATTCAATCCATCTTTCAAATGTTAAGAAAACAACTTCCATAAACCTTTCAATTATGAATAAGTTAGAAGCTGTATAAAGCGAAAAGTTATCTTATGTAGATAAATCATACTAACACACTACCAAGGAAACTATAAAATGTTAAAAACTAGATGTATAAAAATATTTCCCTAAATCTAATTTAATAAGTTACATCGAGATTTTTTTCTGGACAACACCAACCTTTTGACATGATTGTATGAATACTGACTGATCTAATGTGTTTAATTTAGCATTATTAAATAGATGTGAATAAATATCTCCTAATTCTAATTTAAAAAGTTACATCGAGATTGTTTTTTTCTGGACAACATCAACTTCTTACATGATTGCATGAATACTGACTTATCTAATCTGTTTAATTTAGCATATTTTATAAATAAATAAAACTAAGCATGGCACTTGTGAAATAAATACTACATATCTATACAAATAAATATGGTTTCCCGTATGTTAAATATGTAGAAGGACAAATTTTACAAAAGTAAATGATTTGGAACATATTGTTTCATACTGAAAATATGGATTTTTGGATTTCAAATTTTCTCTATGATTTAGAGAAAACTTAACGTTGGCCTCATGAGTTTTTGGCACCATGTATTAATGTACATTTTAAGGCAAATTATGACTTTTGATATCTGATACTTTGCATAATTAAACTAGTGCATTGTTTTTGTATTATAGGAAATTTAAACTACAGTATAATTTTGTCTAAATCGTTCTCATGCCAAATTATACTCAACGACTGAACATCTTTTCATTCAGATATGAGTAATATTCATCTAAAACTGTTTCCATTTAAAGTGACACTCATTTTAAATATTATTGCTAAATAAATTACAAAATTGAGGGGAAAATCACTCTATCATATTCTTTTCTTTCTTATTTTTTTTTTTTTTCTTTAGAAAGATTAATTAATTATCAAAATTTGGACAAACCTATACTGTAGCAAATTTCCAGTCCTTTTTTCAGCGACACTTTTCGCAAAAATCTTATGATTAAAATTGATTGTAAGTAGTACTGAAATGCTCATGACTTGCAAGTACTTTTAATCTTAAGAATTTTGTAAAACGTGGACTGGTTCTTGAATCATACACAATAACACATTTTGGACGGACTCCCAACTGCCATTTTAATACTGTGTTAATCTTATTAGGGATATTATTATAAAATAACCCTATCATCCTTATATAAAACAATCACTTTATATAACACATTTACGAATATTTCAACTTAATATAGTTATAAATAAACTAAAGTTCTATCCAGTCGTCATGTGCTGTAATCTTGGCCAAACGATTCCTCGCTACCTGTCTCTCCACGATATAAATCAATCATGTGACTTGAGGGGTAGGTTCGATTGAGGTAGTTATCTATAGACTGATTACGGAACGGAACTAAACTTTCTACATAATGGTCAGGATCATTGGCCCAGCTTGTGTCTGCATTACTACCGATTCCACTGGTACCCCCTGCAATGCTGTGTGAGTGGCTATGAGTCTCGGGAGTAATTGCTCTGGATATCTGAAAAGAACTAAAAAAATAAGAGACAGAAGATCAGAAAAAAGATTGTTAGAAAGAAACTTATGAATGTTAGTTCAAAGTGAATAAACATAAACATCTAATTTCCATTTTGACAGAAAAGTAATCAGCCAGGTGCAAAGTTTGCCATTATATGAATGAAGCAAAAGAATTATCGTATTATATTACATTTTGGTTCATCCAAAATATGCATGAAATTTTTGACACTAGATGTTAATCAACCAAAAATTAAACAATACATAGTTTGAGAACACAGGTGTTTTATATAAGTATTAGAGACTAAAGGCAACATTGTTGTGTTTATATATGATCCGAAACTACTAATTACACAGATACTGAAAAAAAACTGATAAGAAAGCTAAAGAGAAAGTAGAAACTATCATTATCTTGAAATATAGTCAAAAGTATGTATACTTTCCCAATACAATAATCCTACTTTTCTAGTGACAGTCAAAATTTCCTAATTTTTTTGTGTTATTGTGAATTTTTTCCCCAATAAATTCCTGTTTAAAAAAAAATCATAAGGGTTCCGCGGAACCCAGTGTCTCGCCTACTTTTTCTGTTAATCGCAGGCTCAACAAAAATGAGGAAGTAAATCAATAAAAATATTCCTCTTGATACTATCTTTTGATTGTAAGAAGCTTCTTTCCAAGTTTGGTAAAAATTCAGGATAGTTTATGAATCTAATAAATGTTTAAAAACTTTAACTGCAGACTGAATGTAATGTTAACTGGAAGAAAACAAAATTTCCTTCTAGATACTAGCATTTGATCATAAACAAGCTTCTGTCCAAGTTTGGTACAAATCCAAAATAGTATAAGAAAGTTATTAAAATTTTAAAAACTTTAACCACAGAGTGAATATGTTGTTTCCTGACAGAAAATCTAAGTCCATTTAAAAGTAAAATACAGAAAAAATGGATTTATTTTTTTACAAAATTTCCTTCTAGATACTATCTTTTGATCATAAACAAGCTTCTTTCCAAGTTTGGTACAAATCCAAATTAGTATAAGAAAGTTATTAAAATTTTAAAAACTTTAACCACAGAGTGAATGTGTTGTTTCCTGGCAGAAAATCTAATTCCATTTATAAGTAAAATACGGAAAAAATGGAATTTTTATTTTTACAAAATTTACTTCTGGATACTATCTTATGATCATAAACAAGCTTCTGTCAAAGTTTGGTAGAAATCCAGGATAGTTTAAGAAAGTTATTAAAATTTCAAAAACTTTAACCACAGAGTGAATATTTGTGGACGCCGCCACCGACGGAATGTAGGATCACTATGTCTCGTTTTTTCGACTAAAGTCGAACGCTCGACAAAAATACACAACTGATTTTTCACTTTTTTAATTATTGACCATTCTTCTATTTCAACAATCTTTAGACTTAATTTTTACTCGTAGTTATTAAAAAAATTCTTATGTTTTTCTACATGAAAGAATTGTATGAATAAAAAGAAAAGTTGGGTATACATCACTGAGACAGCTAAATCTAGAGGGCAACATACAGTCTTCATATTTCTCTATTTTTCTAGCTATCATTATCAATTTTTAAAGCCATAAACAAGTCTTAACAATAGTTACCTCTCTATCTTTGCCAACTTTGTATGCCTTCAGTAATTTATCTAAAGCATTTTTCTGTTGTAAAATCTGATCTATACGATCTTGAAGTCGTGAATTCTCCTCCTCTAGAAACTTTGTACGGACTTGTAATGTCGAGACCATTCTGCGTTTTTCCCGTATTTCCTCCTCGTGGTCCGTAATCCTGTAATAAATGTGAGTGGCTGAAACAACATTATTTGGCGTGTTAGTATATATATGCCAGAGCAACTATACTACAGGGGGTGAGAAAAATCACAACACAATACAAGTGCTTCTTTCAGAGAGGTAAATTTCTATGAAAGGTAAAGAAAATTGCTACTCAAATCTACAGAAGAACATATTACTGGTATAAAGTGATTAATTTTATGTGGAATCAATGATTTTTTGAGCCAAACTTATTCATGTGGTATTATTTTTACATTTTTCTTGTTCCAAATTATGGGTCTGTATGGGGGGTCCTTTATTTCTGTTTATCATTTTAAATTTTTAGGTAATTTTTCTCTATTCTTTACATTTTTTACAAATATTCTCAATTTTTTATATCTTAGCACCCCATTATTCTCTATTCTTTACATTTTTTGCCCATTTTCTGTAGTCTTGGTCCATTTTTCTCTATTCTGTAAGCCCCACCCAGACCCTCCTTTTTGAAAGGGAGTGTTAGAGTGATTTAATCCTCATCGCAAAATGGGCATAAGTTATCCAACACAAAAATTTTCCACTTTACGAAAGAAGGAAATTTATAAATTTTTGGACATCTAATAATTTTTTTTGACTGTTTTACTAAATTTATAATGCCAAGTCAGGTTAAAATTTCTTATTAGATCACAAGAAAGTTTGTATTACTAAACTTTGTTGTGATTGTTCTTTCTATATTTGAAATCAAAAAGTACCATGAGCAAAGTGAAATTAGCCACAAGAATCAAGCTGTGCTAGTGCAAGCTGCAAGCATATAAGTTTGTCACTATGTAGCATATTATAAAAGTTGCATAAAAATCAATAATTTTGGCACCATTTTATCAACCATATATTTTTATGCTTGGAATCAGTTTTATATGCTTGAAATCAGTAAAATTGTCTACATTTTTGTGCAAATATGAAATATATATTAAGTCAAAAGTACTATTTTGAAAGCTACATGCATATTATATTCTTTTGTTGTATGTGAAAATTGTGATGGTACATTTTAGGAAATAAAGTACAGATTATAAAACACACAAGGTGATTCCATTAAAATTACCTCTGATAGTGTGTGTATTTTGCTCAGTGAATGCTGGTTATTTTGAATGATTAATTAGAATTTTTTCATGCAAATTTAAAAAAAGTAAAAAGCATAATCATTCCAAACCACCAACAATCAACAGTTTCAGAGATAATAATGCAACGCCATAATTAAAAGATTGTAAATCAATCAATATATGTATGCTGTATACAGACAACATTCAGACATACTGAAAACCAACTTTGTTTTGTGTTTTTCATTTTCATTGTGATTTTCTAATTATTGTAATGTATCTATACAAAGGAAGATCTGATTTTATTATATTTGCAATATTTTTTTACAAGGACAGTCATGGAAAAAATTATTTCTTCACTAAAAAAAGTTGGTTCACAGAATACAGCAATAATATGGCATTCACAGTATATAGCAATAATATGGCATATGAATTTACTGAAGCTATAAATGAAAGCACAAACCATAATAAAATGCTCCGCTGGGGCGCAGCTTGATACGACCGCAGAAATCGAACCATGAACAGTTGGGGCAAGTATGGACACAACATTCAAGCTTGATACAGCACTGAATTTGGATTGTAATTAAATATTTGACACAGCATAGGTTTCTGACACAGAATGAAAGTGGTCTAAGAACTTAGAATTTTTAATTTACCTATTCAAACCATATCATTATTATCTGCTTTTATATATAAATCAGAAATAACCAATTTAAAAAGGAAAAATTTAAAGAAAAAAAAGGAAAAAAAAATCCCCCCCCCAAATTTTTTGAACCCCCTTATGATTCATCACCCCCAAACTCAATTCCAGCCTTCCCTTTGTGGTATGGTACCTTGCAGTATAATTTCAGAGAGATCCATACACTTGAACACAAGTTATTGTCTGGAAACTAGAAAAATGCTTGTTTTTTGGCCCCTTTTTGGCCCCAAATTCTTAAACGTTTAGGGCAATTACCCCCAAACTCAAACCCAGCTTTCCCTTTGTGATATAGAACCTTGCAGTACAATTTCATAAAGATCCATACACTTACACACAAGTTATTGTCCTGAAACTAGAAAAATGCTTGTTTTTACGGCCCTTTTATGGCCCCCCAATTCCTAAAAATTTTGAGGGAATTACCCCCAAAATCAATCCCAGCCTTCCCGTTGTGGTATGGTACCTTGCAGTACAATTTCAGAGAGATCCATACACCTGAACACAAGTTATTGTCTGGAAACTAGAAAAATGCTTATTTTTGGCCCCTTTTTGGCCCCTTTTTCCTAAACTTTTTGGGCAATTACCCCCAAACTCATTTCCAGCTTTCCCTTTGTGATATGGAACCTTGTAGTACAATTTCATAAAGATCCATACACTTACACACAAGTTATTGTCATGAAACTAGAAAAATGCTTGTTTTTTGCCCCTTTTTTGCCCCTAATTCCTAAAATTTGAAGGCAATTACCCCCAAAATCAATCCCAGCATTCCCTTTGTGATATGGATCCTTGTGATACAATGTCAGAGAGATCCATACACTTACACACAAGTTATGTCTGGAAGTTACAAAAATGCTTATTTTTGGCCCCTAATTCCTTAACTGTTGGTACCATAACCCCCAAAATCAATCCCCACCTTCCTTTTGTGGTATTGAACCTTATGGTAAAATTTCATAGAGATCCATTCACTTAAACTAAAGTTAGAGTGAAAAACTAATGTGTCTTCGGACGACGACGAAGCCAACGTCATACCAATATACGACCACAAAAATTTGTTTGCGGTCGTATAAAAAAGCTACACATACATTAATAAACTGTTATCACAGAAATATGTCTCGCCTATTTGTTATTTTGATGATTCAAATGAAATTAAAATAGCAATACTTTAACATGTAAGTTATGCAAATATTCAAAGTCAATGAACCATGACTGAAGGTACAGGGCTAATGAAAAATGAAAATGAGATGTGCCAATGCTAATACAACTGCATACCAAATACCATTAACTTTTCATAAGTTGTTCCCTTTAATCAAACCTAAACACAAACATTAACTTGTAAACTATGTGAAAGTTTCAAAGTCAATGAACCATAATGAGGGGGTGGGGTTATATAATCTCCATGGAAATGAAACTTAATGCCAATACATTTGCATACAAAATATCATCGACTTAATATTAGTGGTTCATCTTAAACGGACCCAATCACAAATTAATACATGAAAACTAAGCAAAATTTTCAAAGTCAATTAACTATGACTCAGGGGGCGGGGCCAAATATCTCCATGGAAATGAGATATGCAAATGCTTATACAACTAAATACCAAATATCATTGACCTACCACTAGTGGTTCCCCATAAACTGACCTAATCACAAACTAATACATGTAAACTAAGCAAAGTTTAGAAGTCAATAGATCATGACTGAGGGGGCAGGGCCAAATAATCTGCATGGTAATGAAATGTGCCATTGCTAATACAACTGCATACCAAATATCATTGACCTACCACTAGTGGTTCACCATAATCTAGACCTAATCACAAACTATTACATTGTTGCCGCCGCCGATGCCGGAAACAGCATACTTATGTCTCGCTTTTTGACTCTGTCAAGGCAAAACAAAAATTAGCTATATCATAAAGTTCAATAAAAGTACACACACCATAAATAAATTTCATTTAACAGTAATTTTCATGGCATCTAAAGTTTTCTTGGTTTTGTTTGTACACACATATTTGGATAACCATAAGTTCTATTCTATCATTGAAAAAAGATTTTGAGGGTATAATTTTTTATAAACTTTTCTCAGGGGCATATTCACGTGGAGACATGCGCTCTCCCTAAAATCAGAAAATAATTTTGGGGCATAAAAAACGTCTAAAAAAGTCACACGCACCCTAACCTAAAATCAATTTCTGCCCCTGTTTGTCTATATTAACCTGGTTTACTTACTGTGACATTAATTCCCTTTTATCATGCAAGAGCTGTTGATAATTTTTATCCATTTTCTCCTTCCAGTCCATTTCCTTCCTGAGAGAATTCCTCGTCAATCTCAGATCCTCTTCACATCGTCCAATCTGCTCCTGCATCCTTGCTCTCTCCTTAGAATATATCTCTCTGCAAATAAAAAAAAGGATTTCGTTATGTTTTTCTTTAAAAAATCTTTTGTTTACTCTTTTTTTTTTCTGCAATCAAACTTTTTCCAAATAGAACTGATTGATTGAATGGTTGCATCTTTTTGCCAAATAAAGTTATCATTTGCACACACGTTAGGGCTTTTATAATATCTTTCTGCCGAAGCTGCAGTGTGAGTTATCAAAACAAAAACTACTTAAATTGAACTATTTCATATGGGCAGTGTTGATTTAGACCTTTTCTACTCTAAATACTTATAAAAAGATTCTTAACAATATAACTAACCATTTGTGATACAATTTGTTTACGAATTCATGCTTTTTGCTGTTGATCAAGAGATGGAGTTGGACAAAGTTATTGTAATATGTTTTGTAATGACTTATTCTTTATCTGATCAAAAGAAGATTCCAAATTTTATCAGTCTGCAAACTAGCCACTAATTTCGCAGTTTTATTGTACCTTTCTCAAAATTATTTTGATAACCAATTTTCCATTTTTACTATACACCTAAAAGCATTTCTACACAAACCCAGTAGGCATCTATGTAACTAAAATCTATATGTAATGACCTGTAAATCATGCATAAATAAATAATAAATTATTCAGAGAGCATTGTGTCAGAAAACCCACATAAATAGTGACTAAATCAAAGAGATTACTATAACCCATAATGAATAACCATCATGCACTTTTTCTTCTTTTTTTTTACCTATTTTGAATTTTAATCTTTGAAAAAAAAACAGGATATGAATACACAATCAGTCAACATGCACATTATATTAAAGGCCTGTTCAACAACAAAAATTAACATCTGTTAAATGTAGATCCATCTCTCCCCCTCCCCAACCCTAAAAAAAACCAAATACCTGCAGAAATTAGTATGAAATCTCAATAGTCAACAGTCCTGAAATACCTTTGCTTTTATCTCAGAAATCTCACCATCTAAGTTTAATCTATCTTTGATTTCATTATATGAATCATATTAAAATCCTTTTGACTATATTCCTGATATACTTAATGAGATATATGTTACTAAAATTTAATTATTTTTCTTTTACTACCTTTTAATAAAAAAAATAAAAAAACTGATGTAAATCTCAAGAAAGTACTTTTTGAAATAGGGAAATCCCAATGATATCTGTTAACCTTCATATTTAATGATTTTCTGATAAACTATGAATGAAGATGATGATGATCTAAATAGGATTTTTTTTTTCATTATACAAGGCTTTCATAGGAGTAAAAAATTCCCTGGCATTACTCAAAAGGGTACAAGAGATATCCCATATATGAGAACACATAACGTTAAGGATAAAATATAAGTCTCAGTGACCTATATATAGCAGAACTTCGTATGGATATAGCAGTGAAGTTTTTAAGAGAATCAACATTGGATCTCTGGGAAATGATTTTAAATGCAGATCCTAACCAAGATACCCAAGCATGAACAGATGGTCAAGGTGACTCAAATATCCATGAAATCTGTTAGGCTTTACAAAATGATTGTATGGGTTAAATATCATTTATATGCCACAATGGGTATCAAAAAGATGTTAACATAAACACAATCTTGACTGATGACAATCAAGTGTACAATATAGGTCACAGTGACCCAAATGTGTTGGTCTAGTACAAAGCAGGTTATATTCATATTTTATGCTTTTGTCTTGGATATGCATGTAATATTTGCTGTTGAACAGTCATTAAATGTTCTATATATAGATGAAGAATGTAAGGGGAATTATTAATTGTATACCCCACAAAGTTTCTGAGGAATGGACCTAACTATACTTAACCAAAGTGAAGAACTTCTAGGCGTATTAATAATATGCCTCTTTCACTTTAAAAGGAAGAACATTTCTGAAGCCTACATGCATATTCATTCCAGTGATCTTATACACGAAGCTGTGACTATACATATAACGTTGAAATATCCAATACATTTTTACATATCTGATTAAAATAATATTACTTGTGTTTACAATATGTGCATTTTGATGGGAATTCACATCTAATAACAAAAATAATATTCTAAAAAAAAAAAATTCAAAAGACCTACTTCCTTTGCATAACAATGTCATCTGAGACAAAGCTCCTGAAAATGGATACATGAAAATAAAAACTAAGTCAGCTACAATGCAACTAGAAATGGATATAATTAATTTTAAAAGTGTCTTATAAATTTCTATTCCAATAAATATATTTTAATTTCATTCATTGCTGAAAGTAATTTTTTTTCAGTTTGATGAAACTTAATTTCAGACATGATTTGTAAGAAATTTTTAAATGGATTCTGTATCCTCTAGATGACCATAAGTGGCTATGCACTACTGAACATATATAACATGCTGTATACATGTATTATATATATATTATAACTACAATGTATAGAAATTTTATTCTGAATTCTGAAACATGCAAGGTTGCACTTTTTATGACAAAAACAAATATCAAGGCCACAATATGATGTTTTACAGTTTTAGGGAACTTTTAAATTACCAATATATTTAGGAATGTGAAATATTATACAGATTCTGAGAAATAGAATTCCATACACTGAAGCTAGTAAGGCAAATCGTCCAATCAGATTCTTGAAATATTTGTTCAATCATACCTGGCTCTCATGAGTTTGACTTTAGTCTTCATCTTCCTCTCTTCGTATTTTCGTTCCTGCATTTCTCTTCTCTCATTCACAGTCAACAGTTCATACTGTAAGTCTTTTATCTCCTTTTGTAGTCTTACAATCTGATCCATCATTGACCTCTTACCAACCTCTGTCATGTGCTGTTGCTATATTTAAATATGATGAAACACAATTATATCACATATAACCTAATGTAAAATTTCAGACACTTTTAAAACTTTAATCTTAATTCTTTATCATTAAACAAGTAAGTTTTTAGAAATAACAAAAAATACATTCGTTCATAATCATAAAAATCCTTTTAAATATTAGAAACTTTTTTGCTGGATTAAAAAAAAAGTGTACTAGGCATTTTTGACATGAAATCTATAATAATGGAATTGGATAATGAAAGTGAAAATGCTAACTAAAATACAGAAGAAAATATGTAATTGTTATAATAATTCTAATAAACTATTTTCATGCATTTTATACTGTGCTTTTTAAATATATGTACAACTTCTACAACATAAAATTACATCTATAAACTGTATACTACATATATTGTGACATATTAAGGCCATTCAACAAAAGTAAGGAATTCACTGCCATCATTTCTTACATATAATTTATATAGATAAAGATAAAAAAAAATCCTGTTTTATTTCATGAAATTTATGCATATTGTAGGAAAGAATAAAAGGAAGTGAAAGGAATATATCAATGAGACAGCAAACCAACAAAACATAAAGTCAAAAAGACATTTTGTTGATATATCTGTAGCATTGTTCTTAACTCCCTTAGTTGCCAAAACATAACACTTTTTCACTTTGTAAATCCGCTAAAATATGTTATGCTATAAACTTTCTTTAGCAAAAAGTCATTACAATCGAGCAACATTCCACCAATTAACAATAACATCATGCAAAAATAAACTGCATTCTTTGTAAAGAGCCCAAAACTAATGAAGAATGGAATTTTAAAGAATGAATATATGATATATTTCTTAACATAATTAGTAATTTATCATTATTTAGAATCTAGACTTTATTTCTGACTTTGCTGATATTTTTTAAGTAAAGTTGCATAAATTTTTTTTTAATTTTTTTTTTCAATCAAACTTTATTAGATAGATTATAATATGATTAATTACATCAGTCAAAAAAAATGCCAGATTTTCCAATAAAAAATTATATCAAAGTGTTTAAAGGCAAACTTTAAATGTTTGTCTCTCAAATAAATGAAATATTAGAACTTTGACTATAATTCAGCAAAGACTTCAATAAAGTTACGAAGATGAAACTGTGTAGATGAAGAATACTAAAGCCATGCTACAGAAAAAGGAGCGCTATTTTGCCCATAGCTGTACCTGACCATCCCAGTTTGTTGAATACAGGTTTGAATCCTGGCAGCATGAAAATAAAACACCATATTAGTTTTAAATCTACAGGCAAGAAACAGGCAGCATATATATTTTGTTCATATTTTTCACTTTTTTTATTGCGTTAAATTTGTAATGAACAAAGTATCATTTCAATATGAAAACGAATTTTGTTTCATTCAAAATAATTTAAAAGTGTACAAAAATTATCAACCATTATAAACTTAAATTGAAGCTGCCTATTTCATTAAGAAGTTCTGAATTCATCCATCTGTGTGGTAAAGCCAATATCCCTTCGTGTATCTCTATAGATTGGTGACTTGTAGAAGACTTTATTAATTTGAAAATAAATACCTGAATAGCTTTTGAAATATTTAACTGAAAATGTAATTCTTAAATTTGACTACTAAAACAAATATACGAAAATTACTATTTAAAACACCTATCACCAAATAATTTTCAAAAGCTCATGAATATTCAAACTTTGATGTGTTGTGTCAGTGGCTACATCAACCCCTTATTCACTCATTAAGGCTAGTTGCATCCCTTTCCCAACTCAATCAACCATGTCCACAACACAATGTTAATTACCCACCATTTCAATAGCAGTCTGGCTTCTGTCATGCATCTCCTCCAACTTGGCCTCAAGATCTAGCATCGTGTGTTGTAGCTCTCGATTTTGCTCCATGACTTTAGATTCTCTCGTTCTCAGTAAAGAGACTTGGTGTTTGAGTTCTGCCACTGTTTGATCTAATAGTGTTCTGTAAAGGCAGTAACCAATAATAATTAAACAAGAATGTGTCCATAGTACACGGATGCCCCACTTGCACTATAATTTTTTATGTTCAGTGGACCGTGAAATTGGAGTCAAAACTCTAATTTGGCATTAAAATTGGAAAGATCATATCATAGGGAACATGTGTACTAAGTTTCAAGTTGATTGGACTTCAACTTCATCAAAAACTACCTTGACCAAACACTTTAACCTGAAGCGGGACTGACTGACGGACAGACCATCGTAGGTGGGGCATAAAAATCATTAACAAATACATGCCTTTGCTATGAAACAACTATGCCTTAAAGAAAAGGTCATGATACTTAAAATCTAAGAGACAATAAAATAACCATATCCATGATGATCCCATTTACATAGCTGAGTTCCCGAAAGACATGGTACAACGGTTACAACCAGTAAAATGTTGGCCTGAATAGTAACTGCATGTTTTCTACAGAGAAAATATTAAATAAACTCAGATAAATAGATGTCCAATACCTACCTCTGTAACTTTTCTCCTTCCATCTGATTCCTTAATTGTACAACTTGTTCTTTTTTCTCCTGTAAATCATGCTTTAGATCCTCTGCCTGATGCATTTGATGTTCAACTGATTTCATTTTGTATGACACATCATTCAATTCATGTTGCAGCTTCTCAGCCTAAAACACACAATATTTTTCTTGTAATCATGTATCAAAGGCTCAGTTTCAAATTTCTGTTGATCCAAGGTCAGACACCCATTATTTCTGGAAGGGAACCTTTCATTTCTTAACTACCAAAGCCAAGGACATCCTATCCTTTACATTGATGCTTTATACAATACCTAAGACTTTCTAAAGGGGTTTCTTTAATTTAACAAGAATGTGTCCATAGTACATGCATGCCCCACTCGCACTATCATTTTCTATGTTCAGTGGACCATGAAATTGGGGTCAAAACTCTTGATTTCGCATTAAAATTAGAAAGATCATATCATAGGGAACATGTGTACTACGTTTCAAGTTGATTGGACTTCAACTTCATCAAAAACTACCTTGACCAAAAACTTTAACCTGTAGCAACCAAAAACTTTAACCTGAAGTGGGACAGACGGACAAACGAATGGATGGACGAAAATGGTTCAGGACCTTTCATTCCATATTTTTTGGTTAGCAAATGTGAACCCCTGATTAATAGTTAAGTCAATTCACAAGAATCCAAGTTTTGCTGGTTTTTACATATCATGCAATATTAAATGCCTTTAAAGCTTGATGCTGACCAGTAATATCATGTGTCTCATAGGTCCATGCACTTCTAAAGAAGGTACCCTGAAATAAGTTTTGGTCTTTTACTTCTTTTTTGTGCTTGCCAATTTATATATTCAATCTTTCCAAACTTTCACCCTTAAGCATACCATAAAGGTTGTTTCAGAAACATATATTTTGTGCATGAAACTCATATACATTTTTGTGACAAAGTAGTTTCTTATTTAGAACAAAGGTTAAACTTTAAGAAATACAATTGCAGAGTGGGTATTTTTTAAATACTTTCCATAATTATTTCATATATTTAAACATGCAAAATACCAGAAGGTTAGTACTCTTACTCAATTTTATGTACTCTTAATTTTGACAGAATACATTGTCCATACCAATTTTTTTAAGTATATTTTCATAATTTAATGTGTAAAATTTCTACTAAATCTTTTAACAACACAAAGAAAGAAAACAGTTCGAGCCCTGTTACTTGTGCAAAAATGTAGAATTTCATGAAAAAGTCTTAATACAAAATAATGCACTGCACACATAGGACAAACGTTTACAAAAAACAAAAGTAAGGCAGTTATCTCAAGTCATTTTCCTAATCAATACAGACATGTTTACAAAATCTGTTTGAGTATTGATGGGTAAATAAATCTTATTTTTCAGATAAAAAATTGAACAAGTATAGCATGACAACTTTCCCGAAACTGTATTATTCACTCAAACACACATATTTCTGTGCATGACTTCATTTGATACGAAAAAGAGATAAATACTCATCCTATCATCTTTGTATCCAACTAGCATATTTCTTATTTTATGACTTTAGTTTCAACTGAAAAGTTTCCAACTTCTAATTTTTATTTTACATTTCTCATAAATCTTTCATTTGCCTAAACAAGATGTTCTTATGTTGGCGAATGAAAGGGAAGCTTTTATAGTTACCTGCTTTATATTCAAATGTTAAATTGATAAATATGTAGCAAGATTAGCCTTTAGTACTGAGAACAAATAAGAATGTGAATGAAAAGGAAGCTTTTATCCTTTACCTGCTTTATATCAAAATTTTTATAAGATAAATATGTAGCCAGGTTAGCTTATATATCTAGCCAGGTTAGCCTTTTCCTTCAGTGCTGAGGAGAACAAAATAAGAATTGTCTCCCCTGTTATTTATTAAAGGGAAATAACAAAATAATAATGTTTTAAAAAAATTAATGATTTTTATTCTAGAATACAAAACACTAGCATCACAACACATCTAAAACTTAACAACTAGAGTGTAACTACATCTTATATGAAGCAACAATGTGTTAATGAAATAAACCTCTACTCAGCACTTACTTTCTTTACTGAATGAAAGACTTTATTTCGGTAGGCCTTGAAATGATATGAACAAAGAGTATAAGATAGAACTGTATAGCTCACCATATTGTATATGAAATAAAATATTCATGATTTGAAAGAAACTGTGATAAATTCGGTCTGAATATATGGAAAGTGAAATTCTTACAATGAAACATGGTCTGAATATGCAATCAAGAAAAGCAATGATACAAATGAAATATAAGAATTCATTAAAAGAAAACTGCTCTGGAACATGCAATCAAGGCAAGCACTGTTACAGATGAAAAATCATGTTAATAACCTAATTTAATACTATGTTAAATCTTAATGAAAATTACAGGTTCTTTTGCATATACAGAAATGAATGCTTGATGAATTACTGTAAGATGAGAAATGTTCACAGTATGTTTATTTTGCATTTTTTTCTGTGGCCATATCTAATGCGCCAAATTATCTGTGTGAAATCAAACACTTGAAACATTGTGAAAATGACACAACCAAATTGCGAAAATTTCCCAGCATACAGCATATATATAATCCTAGTCTACGCTATAGATTTACAAAAAAAAAACTTTCGTTCACTCACTTCAACCCAGCAAAGAAAATAGTAAACTCATGACAGGCGTGTTTTATACTGACCTTTCTGTCTGATGTTTCTGCCCTATTCTGTGCAGATTTCAGACTAGCCTCAAGGTTAGCAGTAGACTGCTGTACCAGTGTATTCTCAGCATATTTATTATTGTATCTCTGTAATAGACAAAATGCAAAAATAACAAGATGTGGTATGATTGCCAATGAGACAACTCTCCACCAGGGACCAAATAACGTAGAAGTTATCAACTATAGGTCCCCGTACGCTTTTATGAATGTTTTCGTGCATCGTAAACAACAATACAATTCCATAGCAAATTATCATATAAGAAACAAAATAATAAGAGATCTTCACTGTACTTCGCAAATTTCTAATAATTCATGCGCTTTATTTACAGCTCAAATTCTAACTTAAAATGCAGATTTCATTCCTCATTTGTTTTTCTGTGTAGTATTTTAAACAGTTAGGTACCTGATACTTTAAATTCAGAATTGTGATCATTTTTTAAAGTAAATCTAGGAAAACTGATTATGTAAAAATAATCAATGCAATTCCTTAAAAGGTAGTACTAGTCATATTTACCCTTTCAAGTTCATCTTCTAAATTTCTCTTCGTCAATTCAAGTGTGGCATTCTTTTCCATCAAACTTCTAACTTGACTCCATACCTACGAAAATATATAGATATTAACAATAACATTCTATAGTGGAGTGTAATTTTACTTTAAAATAAAATACAAATCTGATTAATATTGGTATGTAAGTGTTTGTAATGAACCACTGGCATTTAATTTTAAAGTCTATTCTTTATGAATGTAGAAATTAGGAAACAATTGCTATTTGAAATTTTTGTAAAAAAAAGTTGGAATTTAATTATTATTACCTTTTGAAAAATACCTTCCAGAACAATATTCTTGAGTTTTAATGCGAATAAAAACTTATATGTAATATATTATTAATATTATTTGTATTTTATATATTCATTATATTAAATATGAATAAAATGTGTTACAATAAATAAGTGAATACAGTGATGGTCATGCCAGAAAACTGGTTCATGCAATCTGTGTCATGCTGCCAATCTTGAACTTCATACTTTATTTGAAAACAACCCTGTGTCTTTACTAAATGTTGTTACCTTATTTTGTACAGGAAGAAATACCTTATTCTGTACAGGAAGAAATACTACCTTATTCTGTACAGAAAGAAATATACCTTATTCTGTACAGGAAGAAATACCTTATTCTGTACAGGAAGAAATACTACCTTATTCTGTACAGAAAGAAATATACCTTATTCCGTACAGGAAGAAATACCTTATTCTGTACAGAAAGAAATATACCTTATTCTGTACAGGAAGAAATACCTTATTCTGAACAGGAAGAAATAAGAAATTTGCAAGGAAAGACATTTCTGTTAGTGGCAAGCTTATCTGAGATTTTTAAGTCGCAAATTACCAGCACAGTTGAAGAAAATTTCCCACAACCAAAGATTAGTTACTAAGTATTTCTGGTTATATTTTTTGTTTAATTTGTATGCATTTTTTTTTTAATTCATCAGAACTGTTGTTAGGACCAAAATATAAAAAAGCTAAATTTTTCAAGTTTTTCTTTACCATTTATTCGTTGTAAGGGATTAAAGCAAGGAAAATAAAGTTTACAAGCAAAAATTTAGGAGAATAGCTAGCAAACATTTATGCAATGAATAAGAAATCATTTCACTTATTTTTTGGCCCACATCCAAATTAAAGACCAAGAGATATGAAGAATCCTATTGGGGGAAATTTAGTGTTATCCTTATGAATATTGTAAATTACAAATTGAATTCAGTCCTAAACATAAAAGCACAAATAAAATTTATTGTGATATCTAAAAAATTAAGCAATCAAAAACACCAATAATCTTTAAATATCCACTTGATTCTAACAAAAATATTAAAATATGCTAATAGTTTCTACTAGCGCACCTCAGCACAAATCATGCCTAAAAACTCCCTTCAACAAGGGGAGAAATAACCATCCAAAATATAAGCACCTGTAAGGCTGGCTTTCATCTATATATTACAATGACACATCTGAGGTTCCAGAATTTAATTAGCCAAAAATGTAGACAGTTATAATGTAAATAATATAAACAAGGATAATGTGTAATTGGGAAATACAGAGAACAAAGTATATTAGACAGATTACTGGTTAGTCTAATTTCAGCTGGAATTTTTAAATCTATATTCCTGCAACATAGCGGTAAACATGAAGTTTCATTTACATTGGTGTCTTAATTACACTTAACTTTTAACTTAATTATTAAGAAATAAAATTTGGCAGGTCACTATTATATTAATTGCTGTACTTCCTTGAGCTTCCAAATGATACTTTACATATGAAATCTAAAAAATTACTGAAGTTACAAATAAGACCAATTATTTTGTACTAAAAATGTGTCATTGTTATATATTCACTCAGTTTCTAGACCAAAATAAAAGATGACCATTTCTACAACATAAACCCTTCTACATAAACAACAATAAAAATATTTACATCTCTAGCAGCTTGTATCTGAAATGGATCACACTTTTATAGTTTCCATGGAAACAAGACTAAGGGTAGCAACTCTTTATATCAATTAAATACAACACTATCTAAGGTCAGATAATCATGGCACTTTCAATATTAATACTAGTTTGTTAATTTGAAGAAATGTCCCATTTTTACTATTTTGATTTATTGCATGAAAATTTTATATTTTGGCAGAATCAAATATTGGAAGGGTTACTGCCCTTGTTGCTAGAGATGACTTTTAAAATTAAAACAAATATAAAGTAAATGTGTGAACAACAATATAAAGAGTATATAATAAAATGATATTAAGAGTAGAATAAGGCTATGGATATACATACATCTTCGCTCTAGACAGAAGAAAAAACAACAGAAAAATATCTTAAAACTAAACTTTTAATATATATTACAGTTTAACATTTATGAAAAATGTTTGAGAAAAAGAAAATGAGTTTCAGATGACTGAAATAATACCTTTTAATAACCAATGAGGGGAAATCACATTCATATCATTTTGTTGCAAGTGGATGCAATGAAGACGTTTTCCATTACTATCTAATGGAGAAAGTTCAATTTTATATTTCCAATATGCAACCTTCAAGAGCAAGTAAAGAATCCAATTCTATTACCAAGAGCAGAGTTTTAATGAACCACAGAAGGATAATTGCTTCCAAAAAAATTGTGGACATAATAATTAATTTTCAACAAATTTCATTACATAGAATACATCGGACAGCATTATTTTAGGTTGCCTTTCAGTTCTTTGTGAGGATATGTTACTGTCTCAAAGACAAATACCCCACATCTGGTTTAATTTATTATCTTAAAGTCCTTCTAACATCATAAGTTTACTAGCTATATATTGAGCATTTGCATTATCCCTGTTGTGACAAAATATTAATGCAAATAAATTTGTTCTGTAGTATTTATTTAATTGTTTTTTTTTCTAATTTCATTACAATAGATTATGCAACTTCTATTTATTGTTAATTAAAAGTTAATTAAATGTATCCTGGTGATAACCATATATAAATAAGTATCACTTGAAATCAGTGTGCCCTATACCAAATGCCATATTAATAACCATGATTCTATTCAAAATGAATTTCTGTTATGGTTTTACAATAAACTCGAGTTTACCCTGATGCTAAAAAATTCAGTAACAAGATCTCATTTGCAAATGTCCTCTATTTCAAAATGCCAATAAAAATACCTAAGCAGACCACTGTCTCTGACAAAATCTACCTTTTCTATAGACCTAATGGGAAAGATTCTTACAACCCTCTAATAACCATCCTTAACTCTTACAGTACAAAATTTGGACAGGTAGAATCCTGATCTTCACACAAATAAGATAAAAATGAATAGAACATAATCCTGATCTTCATACAAGTAAGATAACGATGAATAGAACATAATCCTGATCTTCATACTAGTAAGATAAAGATGAATAGAACATAAAATACTTAGACACATTGATTTAGAACCCAGATCCTGCCTACCTTGGTAATTTCCTGATCCAGAGCTGTATTCCTGTTTTCTAAGTCTGTACGTATCTTTGTTTCTGTCTGTAACTGAGATTCAAGTCTTTCACTAGACGTCTTTGATCTGTTTGTCTCTTGTTCTCTACTAGATAACTCCTATAAATAATGTCATTTTATAATTGTTCATATTCTTTTTTCACTTTCATTTTTTCCACAACAAAGAAATTCTTGAATAAGGTCTTTGTAGAAATGTGCTTCAAGTGCAGATTTTACATTGATTGCTTGATTTCCTTGTCATATATTTTGTGTGTGTATAATCATTATCAACTATCCTTTTAATTCTGTTGATTTTTATACAGTCGCTTTTCTCTAAAAAGGTTGTTAGCTGAGGGAATATAACATTATAAAAGGAGTCAATTCTGGTGGAGAGTAAAATTATGCAAAATTTACTGCCATCATATTTAATGTACCTGGTCTCCCATCAACTATTTTGTATAAGACCATATGGTGACCTCTAGAAAAATGTTTTTTTGTGAACTTGTGTTTATCTTTAGATGTATCGCTGACATTAACCCATCTCCTTTTTTCAATCCTACACATAAGACAAGTGACCTCTCTTTTACGGTACTTTATTAAGAAATGTACTTCTGTAACAATTAAAAGTTTGAACTTTTATAATTGTATATTCAAATGCACTTAAGATTCGTTATTGTGATATTTCTCATTATCGCTATTTTACAAAAATTTCCTTTGATCTTACTGACTGATAATTTCCTTTCTCTGCGGAGTCGAGTGATATGAAAATTATCGCTAGAAACTAAGGGGGCACGTGCCGTTGCTAATGAAATTGACATGAAATTGACAACGTCGTCATAGGTAAAATAGCGATCAACAGATTATCATTGGTCATCTCAACTGGATTGCTTTTCTTGCTTTCGCCGTACCGGCTCAAGCGAGAAAATCAATCTCGTTGAGATGATCAACGATAATCTATAAATATTGTTCCTTTATTTTTCTTTAATTTCACTGTCAACACAACAAAACCTAAAATTGATTATAAATTTTCTGCATTTTTAATTACAGAATCATTTGAATAATTTCTCAATCATTCCGTTGGTTGATATAGTTGAGCTTTTGGTTTTGTCAGGTTTCAAGGACCTCCACTTTTTTTAATTTACCTTGGAGTTCGGTATTTTTGTTAATACTTTTTTTGTGCAACATTTCTAGACTCCAGCTGAGTGCTATTCCATTAAAATGTATGTGGGAGGGTAGGAACAGGGCCTAATCTAGGATTTTGAAGAGGGAGAAGTGACTTCTCCTTCTATGAGAGAGAAGGGAGAAGTGGTCAATTTCTTGGAGAAGTGAGATTCCATTACCGTTTCGGTTGCATCGTGTTTTCATGCTTATCACTAAGGAAATTGTTTTATATTTAATAAAAGATACTTGCAGTTTTTTCATGTTATTGTACACAATGTATATATAGAAAGTTCTTAATAAAAAGGTTTTAGACAATATATAGTTGTTATTTATTTATTGATACCATTGTGTTCTTAGACTAAATAAAATTTGTTGATTGGGACATAAGGGAGTAGCCTAGTAATATTATCAAGATTATGATGCATTAAATTCATGTGCATCTGCCTCAATTTATTTTTAAAAGTACAGAAAAAATATGACTCCCAGTTTACCTGATGAATTTCACATGACTGGGAATTTAATTTATATCACCACTTGTGATTATTTTGTAAAACATTATTGAATGTCCAGGACATTATGTTAGTTGTAAATTGAGATTATCGTTAAAAATTGTAAGTCTATAAATGAAAAAATCTTTCAATCGCATATTAATTATTCGATAAAGAGTTAATTTCTATCATTTTTTAAAAATATCATCCATATCAACGAAATGGTCGTGAGAAAAAATCCACTGCTGATCACAAATTATCTGGACGAGTGTCGTACGTTTGCAATCACATTATCCATCAGCTGTCTTTCTACCTTTTATATTTCAATTTTTATTCAATCAATATAATAAATCTACCGTGAATTCCCACCCTTTACCTACCGAATAGTAAAACTGATCGACTCGTGTAAGTAATAAAAATAAAACAAATCAGCTGAGTGATTACGCAACATCCTCAGATGAAAATTATCGTAAAATGAAAACATAACCAGACGGTCAGTTTTCCGTTTGAACAGTTTTGAATGTTATATCCGAGGATGTTCAAAGTCGCCGTTGTATTTATTCAATTTGATCGTTGACAGTATTAGTCCTGGGTCGTTTCGAAAATCTCGATTTTTCCTTGTCAGCCGCCATTTTTTTACCTGTGAGGTTTGTCAATCACAAGTTGTCTCCCTTTTACCTATTTTGATAGCGATTTGACTTCGCTATGAAGTCAGTCGTCCGGCGAGATTTAGCGATTTTCTAAATTCTTTGGCGACTTAAATCGTCATTTCGCCGGCAAGAATATGGCCTTGGTAGGAAGGGACTTTCAAAATATCCTTACAACCAAGAACCATTTTTTAGATAATTTTGCATAATGGTAATAGACGCATACTGAAAAAAGACCCATGACCCACATTCAATAATTAAACTTCCCTTCCTACCCTCCCACATAAATTTTAATGGAATAGCCCTGAATTAGAGTTTTACATATTGCTTAGACACCTTTTATATTTTTGAAGACTGTATGTCGACCTTTAGATGTCTTTTGGTTTTTTGTTTCATTTGGGTTGTTGCCTCACTGATGTATTCACCACAACTCCTCTTATATATTTCTGTAATAGTTTACCAACTTACGTTACTTTTATCCCTGAGTTGATTTCTAAGATCTTTGTTCTCTTTGTTAGCCAGATCTACCCTTTCCTGGAAATTATCTATCTCCTTTTTGTGGTAATTTTTTACTTCCGCCAGCTCAGTCTCCAATCTGGCAATAGTACTTTCATATTTTGCCTAAAACAAAAATTTGTAACTGCAGTCATGCCTATCCAGTTTCGAAAATTCATCTAAAAGAACTTATATATCTGAGATAAAATACTTTTTCTGTGGTGGTTGTTTCTTTTATTGTCACAAACAGACGCTAATCTGGCTTTTACAACAATCATTTATCAGCTATGTCGTATCTAATAGGGAACCTGTACACTTAAAAACAGGTATTCTCCCAAAAAAAACCCTTTAAAGGCAATACTGAAGTTCCCAAAACAAGGCTTTCTGAATATGTTACATTAGCTCTAATGTAAAGATAAGTCTTCAGTTGAACTTGCCAGCACTCAATTAACATCTTCCAAGAAGCTTTTCTGTCATGTATGGTAGTTTTAAGTGGAAGATGGAAAAGTCAAAAGTTTACAAGACATCTGACAAGCAGTCACCACATATAAACGGTACTAGCCTTTAAAAAGGTAAAAAAAAAATGAAAAATTAGTATATGTGTTGATGCAAATTTTAGTTCTTTTGTCCTCTTAAGGAAAACCATAACAGAAAATACATCAGCAGTGATTAAAGTTCAATTCCCTTTTGAACGAAGAAATTAATATCATATTACCAAGTTAATGGACAGTATAATGAATGTAAAGCAAACTATTTCAGACTTATTCCTTTGAAGATTTAACACCAAAACATGTAGGTGCTGTTTTGTAATGACTTTCTCCAAATATTTTCATACACATCTTGGAACAAAAAATTCAGAAAGTTTCAAATTCTTTAACTGAAACGTTATGTGTAATAGTAAAGATAAAAAGATTTCCTTACAGCATTTCCTATTGCATCAGCTTCTAACTTCATGGTGTATGTCTGTTTCTTCTGAAGGTCATCCCGAAGTTGTCTAACCTGATGAGTGGCCTCTTCTAAATCTTTTTCCATCTGATTCAAATGACGATGATTTTGGTAGTTTTTGTCTACAAAAAGAAATCCATTATATAATTTTTTTCTATTACAACTTAATTCCTATATTTATTGTTAATCTTTCAAACAATTTTAGTTCCTGAAAAATTTTCATAAATATTTAGTTCTTTGACAAACTGATTTTCTGTAATCCTTTCATCGTAATATGTATTGTCGGCAGATAATTGCAACATTTAACTGAGATCGAATAAAATTATCCCAATCATATATTATTGTACAGAGTTATACCATGTTTCTACTTGTAGCTTTCTTGATGTTTGTGTGTATATGATCTTCATGCACTACATGAATAATGTAAATGATTTGATGAAGATACAATTTGCTTTATATATAGGAAAGGTAATGCCCTTGTACAATATTAACAGCGCCTGATGAAAATGATGCTGCCTGACTGGTTTCTGTCCTTTACTGACCTTCTTCAGAGGTATGAATAATGAAAATGATTTGATGAATATACTTTTTGATGTCTGGTCACTTTTTGCCATTTTATATACTTTCAAGCATTACTGATTATTTCTCTTCTATGAAGTTTGCCTATAGGACTATCCAAAAAACACAATAGTACCTGTACTTCTTTGTCTTTCTCTTTTATATTGATCTTCTGAATGCTTCACTTGATTTAATGTGTCTGAAAGCTAAAAATTAAAATACATACATATTAAATTACTGTAAATTCAGAAATTATTGCGAGGTTTTTATTAATGCGAATAATGCGACTGGGTGAATATCGCAATAATAAGAACTCGCATTCTGATATCTGATTCATGTATCTGTATACAGATTTTCCTGCAATTGCAATAATTAATCTCGCATTTTTGTCCATTCTTCAAAAATCGCAATAATAAATGCGCGCAATAATTTCTGAATTTACAGTATTGCAATTTTCTAAATGTTTCAATTGATTTAATGTGTCTGAAAGCTAAAAAAAAAAATACATACAGATTAAACTATTACAATTTTCTAAATGTTTCACTTGATTTAATGTGTCTGAAAGCTAAGAATTCATATAAATTTTTAACTTATTATAATCATCTCAATTTCGTTTTTTTTACATTCAAAAGATTAGACATTAAAATGTTCATAATATAAAGAGATGTAGTACATGTTTGAACCTAAAATAAAGATACTATGCAATGTTTCTTAGAGCTTAAATTTTACAATTTCTAGGCTCAAACCTGTCAGCAAGGTTTTATGTATACTCTTACAGGCTTGACAGTGAGCTATAGTTGCTTACATGCATGTCATTTTTGCTCATTGGCAGACTCTGGTGAATATTTGCTCATTGGCAGACTCTGGTGAATATTTGCTCATTGGCAGACTCTGGTGGATATTTGCTCATTGGCAGACTCGGTTGAATATTTGCTCATTGGCAGACTCTGGTGAATATTTGCTCATTGGCAGACTCGGGTGAATATTTGCTCATTGGCAGACTCTGGTGAATATTTGCTCATTGGCAGACTCTGGTGAATATTTGCTCATTGGCAGACTCTGGTGAATATTTGCTCATTGGCAGACTCTGGTGGATATTTGCTCATTGGCAGACTCGGTTGAATATTTGCTCATTGGCAGACTCGGGTGAATATTTGCTCATTGGCAGACTCGGGTGAATATTTGCTCATTGGCAGACTCTGGTGAATATTTGCTCATTGGCAGACTCTGGTGAATATTTGCTCATTGGCAATCATTCCAAATGACCTTATTTAAATAATTACCCTATGTATCATTTTATTTTAATTTTAAACCTAGCTGTATTTGTAAACTTGCCCAAACCTTAAACTAAACTATAGGGTTCACAAAAGTATAACAAGTCAGATAATTCAGTATTTCATATGAGTTTCTCCAAGTAGTAATTGTCCCCCTTCACTCAATCATACAATACCTACCTTAGCAGCTAGCTCTCTGTTGTCAATCTCCAACTGTTTGGTTAATTCCTCTATAGAGTGAATTCTATCCATATGTCGCTGTCTTTCTTCCCCACTGTACTTTGCCGAAATTCTCAAATGTTCTAATTCTCTCAGTGCAGAAGAAAGTTCACGCCTGACTGATTCTAGTTCACTTAATGTTTTTTCATTTGTATGAAGTGTTTCTTTTAGAGATCGGTTTTCACGATCTAACATTAATTTTTCTTTCGATGTTTGATCTAATTTAGTGTTTGCTTCAGTTAGCCTTGTCTTCATTGATTCAATCTGTTTCTCAAGATTCTGAAAATAAAGTGAGCCATTGTAAATCTTGAGCATAAAAGTTATTGATGTAGATTCATTATGCCTATAGATTTGTTATAGTAATAAAGGTTGTTGAAAGAGTTAATTGATGTCTAAATCTGGCAACCCATTCACTAACTTAACATTGAGTCTGATATGTAAACTCAGCCTCTTATAGCTGACTATACATTATGGGTTTTGCTTCTTTTTTGAAGGATATTCTGTGACTGTTTAAGTTGGATATTGTCTCATTGGAAATCGTACCACATCTTATTTTATATTTAACTGAAAAGTTTACAAGTACCAAAAACAGTCTTTGGATGTCTTTCTGTTTATCTTATGTATGGTTGCTGTCTTATTGACATATTACTTACACCTCCTATTATTGTAAACATAAATATGTCATGTTTTGTTATTTTCGCAATTTCAATTTCAAACTTTTCATAGAGGGTTCAATTCCTGCATTAACTATAAGTTTCCTTTTCACCTCAATGAATCAACTTTCTACAAACCATTTGTTTATGGGATCTTTTTGCACAATATACATGATAACCTAATAAGTGAAATAACCTATGGTGAAAATTTCCCAGTTTACAGTATTTATATTTTTTTTAATTTGACATATTTAAAGTGTTTGAATACTGTAAATTCAGAAATCATTGCGAGGTTTTTATTAATGCGAATAATGCGACTGTGTGAGTATCGCAATAATAAGAACTCGCATTCTGATATCTGATGCATATATCTGTATGCAGCTTATCCTGAAATCGCAATAATTAATCTCGCATTTATTTCCATTCTTCAAAAATCGCAATAATAAATGCACGCAATAATTTCTGAATTTACAGTACACTGTTTAAAGTCATTTTATAAGGCCCCAAAAAGCTCATGAGTAGCCAATACTGTGAAATAAAACACCTACCTGAATAAATAAATGCATGTATGTATACATACTTTAAAATTACCCCTTTCAACAAAAATGGAATATCAATAATTTAACATATTGTACTTCAACTTGTAAAGAATGGTGAAGCATGTCTTGGAGTCTTGTCGTGTTAATTTTCATCATTATCAACACATACTGTATTTAGCAGTTTTAAAATACTTGTAAATTTATACTAAAATAAGTCACCAACCCTATTCATGGTAATTCACTTTAAAATAAAGTAATAATCCACTTATGAAACTTACGTCAACTTTTTGAGTTTCTATTCTATGGGTAGCTGCAGACATTTCTGCCTGAGGCTGCATATGAACACTTTGGTGTTTTTCAGCTGATAAATGCTCTTCCAGTTGGACTTTAGCTGCCTTGGTTTCTTGTATTTCCTAAAAAACAAAATTCATTATTTACTTGAAATTATGAAATCCTTTTTCCATATATTAATTTTGATTCAAATACAATCCAAACTGGTTATTTCAGCTTGATCCAAACTGGTTATTTTAGCTAATATTATACATTAGATACTAAAACCCTATTGCTTCTTTCATTAGGTTACTGAATACTATTTGTGTTATCTCTTATGACTCACTCATTATTGCTGTGTTTAATAAAATATTTGTTTTGTCTTCATGCAATTTCAGGTGGTTGGTATTGTAAATAGAGAATTTCATATGGCTTTTTCAATAGCACACACATATCAACCCAAGGCACCAATTTAATTCCTCGAGCAGAGCTCTTTGAGTTTATATTGAGGGTTGATATGGTGTGTGCTATTGAAAAATACACTTTATTATAAACCTTGAGTAGATGTTTTTCATGTGACATGACGTAATACAGATAAGAGGTTTGATAAAGCCTTGCAACCGTGACTGATATCGATTACATGACGTCATACAGATTGGAGGTTTAATAAAGCCTTTGCAATGGTGACTGATAGAGTTATTATCACTGATAGCTGATGCAACATTATTGCCATTGATTGCATTACACATACAATTTACTTGTATTTACTAATAGGTATATAACAAATAATGCTATTAAATGGAAGAAACCAGTTCTTACGCTCATCAAAATTGAAATTGGAGCTTTACTTCAAAATTTTGAGTAATCAAACACCCCCTGTGGAAAGAGAGCTAGATTTTTAATACCCTGTAAATTTACTTTTTCGTAGTGTATCTATTGTCATGAATATTGAACTAGTTAACTTTTGGGGAAAAAAATACATACGAATATAAAAGGAAAATTGCATATAAAAACCACAAATTCTTCAGCAATCCCTGGGAAAATAAGTACACAGGAAAAAAGTTAATATACAGTAACTAGCAAAATAACATATTCATATCAAACAAGTGAAACTGCGAGCTACTGCTCACTGATGATACCCCCAGCCCAAATATGCATTTGTTGTTGAGTGATGAATCTGAAAACGTATCACACGGTATAGCTGACTTATATAAACCCTGAAACCAAATTTCAGAAATCCTTATGATGTAGTTCCTGAGAAAGATGTGACGAAAAATATTCATGGGATGGAAGGACGGACGGACAGAGGTAAAACAGTATACCCCCACTTTTTTAAAGCAGGGGTATAATTAAGGATGCATGTCAACCAAAAGTCAATTTATAAATCATCAAACAAGTACTGTATTGTAATAGCTACCTTCTGAAAGTCTTCTTTGACAGATTTCAATTCTTGTTCGTATTTTTGTTGAACAGATTTGAATTCTGACTCATGTTTTTCTTGCAATGCCTGTACTTCAGCGTCATTCTCTTCCTGAATGGCCTGTAACTCATCCTGAGCTTGAAACAAATCATCCTGAAGTTCCTTTACACGACTCTCTAAAGAATTAATCTGAAAGAATATTATAAAGAATGAAATTTGAAATGAAATTCTTTGTGACATCTGAAACAAAATCACATGATTACTTCTGAAATAATTTTTTGCTAATTATTTTTCAGACTGTTTTCCATCAATTTTCAAGTACTTGAGTGTAATTGCTGAAGATGATGTTACAAATAGAAGTATGACCAAACTGCAAAAATGCTTTCTGTTAAGTATCCTTTTTAACAAATGAAAAATAATGACTTTATAATAATAACAAGCATTCTGTGAGTATTGCATGGCAATACATAGTCCCCTAACGGTTAAAAATTCATTGTAATGGAGCAAACTACCACTAAATTCTTCAAACAATTTATTAAAGAAAAGGAAAAAAATCCAACTTGTCATTTATCTTAATACAATGTCTTTTACAAATCTTTTTTTAAAAAAATGAGTTATTTCCCTTTGAACAGAAATCTAGTAATTAATAAGTATTTCATCAAAAGTTTAATTCTAGGGAAAGGGCTTTAACTGAACAAGGAGAAAAGCTAAAATCATGAAAATCGAACTTGACCTGTAACTTGTCATGATAAAGCAATACACCAAATATCAAATCAATATCTTAAGCATGAAGAAAAAAAGTCTGGAAAACTGATTTGCCGGACTGACGGATGGACAGACTGACGGATGGACAGACAGACGGACAGAGTGCAAACCTACAGTCCCCTTCGACTTCGTCGGTAGGGAACTAAAAAAACCCCACTTCATGTGATTTCATTTGATTGTTGGTGTTTAATGCCACTTTCAGCACTACTTTGGCTGTATCATCGCGGTCAGTGGTTTTAAGGTGCATGACTGATTGATTGATTGGTGATTGCTTTACGCCGCATCAGCACAAAAAGGCTATATTACGACAATTTGGTGGATGAAGCCAGAGTATGTGGAGAACCATCAGCCTTTGGCAAGAAAACAAGTTTTATCTGATATCATTAAAAAACATAACTGACAGATTAAGTCACAATAATGATATTGATATTAGATAACAAAGAATACCTTATTTAGCAACTGTTGCTGTGTATTTTCATGTTCAATTCTCTGATTTTCATAAATTTCATCCAATTCCTGAATTGTTTTCTCTAATTTTGATTTTCCTTTTTGTTCACTTTCTAACTGAAATCGTGTATCTTCTAACTCTGTCCGAACAGCTTCTAAATCATCTAATTCTCTCTCTAAGTCCTCAATCTGTCTTTCACGATCTGATAATTTCCTATCAACACTTCCTTTCATTGTTAATTGATGTTCTAAATCTTTGACACACACTTCTAAACGTTTTAATTCCAAAGCTTTCGTTTCAAAAACACTACTGCTTTGTGAGGTTTCCTCTAGCTGTTTTTGTAAACTTTGAACTTTATTTTGAAGTTCTGAACACTTTTTAACTTCCTGTTCATGAGCAGATTTAGATTTATGTAATTCAGTCAATGAAAGTTGTAATTTGGCCATTAAGTCCTGAGTGTCTTTTTCTTGTCTGAAAACACATAAATTTGATATATTATTTCAAATGTACATATATTATTGAAATGATATTAAAAATAAACTAATAATCATATGGTATGGGTTTTGCTCATTGTTGTAGGCTTTACGGTTACCTATACTGGTTAATTCTACGTCGTTTTGTCTGTGGTGGAGAGTTGTCTCATTGGCAATCATACCACATCCTCTTATTTTTGTAATCAATAATTCTTTTAACTACAGATCCCAAGGACTTATGACATATCTAATGATTTCAATAATGACTCCTTTTCCTGTTTTTTTTTTTTGTACAGAGCTATCCTGGGAGATACAATTGTTTCTGTACTTAAACAAATTAAAGATCTTTTTTTAGATTATATACAGATGTTGATGGCTGAGTTCCAATTGTCGTAACCACAATCCATTCCTCTGTTTATCAAATTTGACATAAAAAAATTAGACTTATCACTAAATTTGTACTTACATGACATTACGATGGGTGTCACATGTAGAGCAGGATCTGCTTACCCTTCTGGAGCACCTGGAATCACCCTCTTTTTTTATGGAATTCATGTTGCTCAGTCTTTAGTTTTTTATGCTGTGTTTTGTAGACTGTCTTTTTGTGATTTTTAAAAAAATTTTGCCATGGCATTGTCAGTTTGTCTTGGAATTATAGGGGCCTCGGTGGCCCAGTGGTCTAAGTAGTTACTACTGTAATCACTAGCCAGTCAACACTGAGGTTGTGAGTTCGAACCCCGCTTGTGCGGGTGCACTCGACTCCAATCTTAATTGACTAGGATTTTCAGTTTTCCTATTGAAGGTCAGTGGTTTTCTCCGGGCACTCCGGCTTCCTCCACCAATAAAAACTGGCCGCCACGAAATAGCCCAAAAGCGGTGCTTAAAAGTGGCGTTAAAACACCAAAAATCAAAAATCAATCTTGGACTTATGAGTTTGAATATTCCTGTTATCTTGTACATACTATCAGATTGATTGATTGATTATTGGTTGCTTAATGTCCAGTGGCAAATATGTCATGCATGTTCAGGACATCATACTATCAGAAGTATATTATCAGTAGTGATAAACTTTTATTGTTCAGACTATTAAAGTAATGTTTACTAAAACTTACTTATGCTTTAATTCTACATTATTCCTTTCCAATTCCTCCTAAAAATTAAAAAAAATACTTAGTAAACTTTTCTCACAGTCCAGTAACAGTCATATATTTTTCTTTTCATTGTTTTAATGGACAAAAATCTATCATTTAAAATAGATATGAATGATAGGAGACAAACATCAATGAGATAACAAGCGATCTATTCAGCGAGGTCATTTGTAAATAATTTTCACAGATTGTTTTTATGTTGTACTGTTACACTGTTGTCCCAGGTTAAAGGCAGGATTGAGTGCTCACAAACATGTTTGACCCCGCCACATTCTTTATGTGCTTGCTCAAAGCCAGGAGACTGTAATTCAATGGTTGTTGTTGGTTCATGTTTGTCAAATTTGTTTTTTGTAAATTCTATTGTTATAAATAAGGCTGTTTATTTTCTCGTTTGAATTGTTTCACATCTTTCATGACAGTACCTCTTATAGCTGACTATACGGTATGGGTTTTTCTCATGGTGAAGGCCAAACAGTAACCTACAACTGCTTATATTTTCATCACTTGTACTTTGGTGGATAGTTGTCTCATAAACAATCATACAACATCTCCTTATTTTTTTAATAAAGGTGTGAAGTTAATCTTAATTTTGAATGAACTAAATACTTTCAAGCTTTTGATGAGAATATAAAAGGAGATGTGGGGTGCAATAAAAAGTTCCTTTCTGATCTCGACCATACCCATGATGTTTATATCTTAAAAAGCTCTACATGTGATCACATCCATAAAAGATCTAAATATCAAACATACAATTTTATCTTGTAATTCTTTTTCCTGTTCTGTTTTTGTTTGAATCTCTTCTTTAAGTGATGCAACTTCTTTCTGTAGTTTCTGAATCTGGTCTTTTAAATGACCTGTAATTATCTGAAAAAAAAAGAAAAGAAAAGGGATGACACAAATTTCTAAAAGATTTGCATATGAAATGGTGCACTTTTGCCAGCATCTTTATTAATTATTATCAAAGATGTGTCAACAGACAAATTATTCTTTTTTCATCAATGTTTTTCGGTTTATGTTGAATGATTGATTGATTGATTGTTGGTGTACCATTTTAACCCTTCTTTCAGCACTATTGGCTACATTGTGGCGGCCAGTTTTTATCGGCAGTGGAAGCCATTTTGCCAGGGGAGAACCACTGACCTTCAGCAGGAAAACTGGTCATCCTAAACAATTAAGATAGTAGTCGAACACAACCGGCATGTCCAGGGTTCCAACTCACAACCTAAGTGTTGACATGCTAGTGATTGCTGTAGATGAACTACTTAGACCACTTGGCCACTGAGACCGGTCTCTGTTAAATCTTTGAACTACAATTTAAACAAATATCTTACTTCTTGTTTAGCTTGTTCTTGACCTTCGTTTTTCACTCGATCAAGTTCATGGTTCATTACTTCCATTTTATTTAACAAATCTTTATTTTCCTTTGATAACTTTTCTGTACTTCCATCTAATTCTTCTTTCTTGTTTTGCAATTCCTCCAACTCTAAGGTTGCAGAATCTAATAGTTTCAAGGTCATTGACAGTTCATCTTGTTGCTCGATGTATTTCACCTCTTTTGATTTAGATTTTTCAACTTCCCTTTTTAAAGTATCTAGTTCAGACGACAATTCTAATTCACTTTTCGTTAAAGTCAAAGTTTTATTGGATAAATCATCTTTTTCAGAACTTAGTTCGTAATAGTCTTGTTTCACTTGTTCAAGTTCATCCGTCAAACTTTTCTTTTCTTTGTTAAGAACTTCAATGATATCCTACAAAATGAAATTGATGTCATATGAGTATTGGTTTCCCAGATATTTTATTTGTTGGTACCTTCAATATCATTAATATCTTGATTAGTCCTGTTGACTTAAATATGTGTAAATAAAATATTTTACAAATTTGAGAAAATAGGAAATCATCTGACAATGCATTATCAAAACTATTTTCTGATTCTTGATAAAATAATACAAATTATTTTACAAGGATGAGTTATTTACAAACATAATTATTACAATGACTTTTTATAATATTTTTTCAACATGTCATTTGCAGTTCATATACAAACTCCAACAAATATTAATTAAGATTTCAACAACAATTTAAAAGGAAAGACTTCCTCCAGAAATACAATTTCCGTGCATTTATCAATGTTTTGAATACCTTTTATTGAATTAAAAATTTTTTTGACCAGTTGCAAGAAAATATGTTTATGGTTGAATCTTTTCCACAGTTAACATAATATTAAATCTGAAAATAGTTGTTTCTTAGTTTTTTTGTAGAGATTTTAAGAGAATATAAGACATTAACATATTTGCTCCACCACATTCTGAAGGTAAAGACAGAAAATGGATGTGTTCTGAAAGAGAAAACCTATAGGTGTTTTTACATAGAATTTAGTGTCATGATAGAAATAATAATCATAAAAACAAAACAAAACAAAAAGACTGTTTGAGAAAAAGTACCGTTTATTTCTAGACCATTTGTTTTTCCTTAAAATGATAAGGGCAATTCTTTGCACATAAAAGTTTAGTTAAAAAAATACTTCACACTGGCATTACATCGTTATAAATAATTTCAATAATCATGAACTTAAAAATACTAAAACTGAAGTATGCAATATCATTTTTTTTGTCAAGCATAAAAGTAAAATAACCATTTGTACAGCAACGACTGCATCCAGATTTGAAACCAACAGTTTTTACATTGCAACATTTTTTTGGTAATCATATTTTAAATCTGCAATCCAATTTATAGGAGTGTTAAGTGCTCCCTTGTAGAAAATATTCAGCAAAATGATATCTGTTAGGATTATTAAATATAATAACTACATAAATTCTGTCAGATCCTAGAAATTAATTGACATTCTTCACATGCAAGATTTATTAAGTTTCACTGGTTTTTTTTTAACTTATTAATGAATACGTTAATTTCATGATATTTAAAAACAAAAAAAATAATCAAATATTTGCTGCATACATCTGAGATTTTATTTATCATATTGTTTAGAGAAGAAGTGATCTATTCTAATTTTAGTGATAGTTCTATGTGTAGAGTTTACCTGTTTTTCCTATAATATAAATTGATTAATAAGTATAATTCCCAACCAAATTAACACTTAAGTGATGTTGCTGAATTTTCAAGATGATGATGGTGGATGGCTTTTTAATGTTCAGTGACAAATGAATTGCATATCATGTATACAGGATGAATACATTGTAATGTGATAAGAATATAAACCCTGCTTTATTCTAGACCAACATGCTGAGCAGGTCTTGTATCATGCTAGTTTACAAGGTAACAATCTGCAGGACCAACATGCTGAGCAGGTCTTGTATCATGCTAGTTTACAAGGTAACAATCTGCAGGACCAACATGCTGAGCAGGTCTTGTATCATGCTAGTTTACAAGGTAACAATCTGCAGGACCAACATGCTGAGCAGGTCTTGTATCATGCTAGTTTACAAGGTAACAATCTGCAGGCAATCATGTTACTCTAAAGGGATACATTTTTCAGACACTGAGCTAACCCGTCATTCCCCTTCTCCAAATTACTGGCCCAAGACCACAATTAATGATCCCGCTTTTCGTTGTCCACGAATATAGTTCTTTTTAATTAGAGTGTATTTTTTCTTAATTTTTTTTCTTTCCTTTCCTCACTCATTTCTTAGTTTTTTTTGGGTGGAAATAAAAGAAGAGAGGTGAAATAAACTTTTGGATGTTGTATTTTAACTGATTTTGATATGGAAAGAGTGATTAGGCCAGGTGCAAAAAGGTGATATTTACAGTTTTCGGAACATCTCTTGACTTGTCCATAGGGGTATGGATGTGTATTGGCTAAATTTGTAAGAGTCATTGGTTCAATCTTTCTGAATTTTGTATATATTTTTGGACTAGTACTATACATTACACACACAAAAGATTTGACAAAAATGCATGGTGCAATTTTTTTAATGAAACAAAACGTTATAAAGAACTAATAGGGGAATTTAATTGTGGTCTGTGGCCTACTGTGTGCTTAGTGTAAAAACAACAATTACCAATTTTCTTTGGTTTGACTTGGTAAGATATCGAATGCACAACCTCTCGCACTTGTTTCAGTATTTTTAACCAAATATCTTTTTTTTAATAAAAATAATTCTTTTAGCTAATTCTACTTTCATAACATTTTACAAATATTTCCTTATTCATTTTACCCTGTAACCATTTTGATCAGCGGATGTCCACCAAATCCCACATATGTGATCAGGTTATCTACCCTGAGTGGTTATAACTGATATAAAGATTAAGTTAATTATAACAGAGTGACAATTTTTACCTGTAAACTTTGTATTTTCTGACTATTGCCCCTGAGTGGCTTCAGCTCTTCTTCCAATTCTAAGACTCTACGATTAAATTTGTCTTTATCTTTTGCAATCTTATCAACTTGGCTCTAGAGAGGGGGAAGAGATTATATTATTAGGGTGACTACATGTTATATGAAGGTCAGATCAAAAAGACAACAAATTTAAAACTGTAACTTTAAATATTTTACATTTTCAAATTCAACGATCTTTAAATTAAAAAAACGGTTCACTAAAGCATTTTTTTTATTAATTTTCAAAATTTATAAATTTAACAGCTTCTTATGATCTGACCGGAGCTACTTGCCAATTATGACCGAAACAGTTGAATGATGTTGTGTTCAAATCAAAATATTCAATGCAGATTTTGACTGCTATGTTACTTCCATATATAGTACAAGTCCATACACTTGAATTTGATTTTTTTTTTTTGAATTTGAATTTTATAATTTTAAATTGAAATTTTCAATTTTTTCAAATTAAAAATTAAAAACTAAAAATGCTAAATCTAAAATTTTAAATTGATTTTATCAGAATTAAGATAAGAAAACTTCATTCAACTTCTCAGTGGGTGGTCTTTTCCAATATGCAGTTCAAAACACTAGAATAGGTGTGTGAATGTACACAAACTATGGTTTGTCTGGTTAAGACTAGATAGAGTGCAAATTGGAAATACCACCAGAATAAGCAATTGCTTGGATGGATACACACATTCATTTTATTTTTAACATGCAATAAACAATCTAATAGAAATCACTTCTAATTGAGAAATTTACAGATTAACATGCATAAGAAATAAATATACACTCTAAAATATTTATACAAAAGAAAAATAGAACTATATTTCAATAAAATGCTCCGCAGGGCGCAGCTTGATACGACCGCAGAGGTCGAACCCTGAACAGTTGGGGCAAGTATGGACACAACATTCAAGCTTGATACAGCTCTGAATTTGGATTGTGATTAAATATTTGACACAGCATAGGTTACTGACACAGAATGAATGTGGTCTAAGAACTTAAAAATTTTAAATTAGACATTCACCTATTATGGTCCAATATCCAAAATCTAAATACATGGTTAGATTCAGCATATCAAAGAACCCCAAGATTTCAATTTTTTATGAAATCAAACAAAGTTTAATTTAGGACCCTTTTGACCTCAATGTGGACAAAGTTGATAACGGGGCCCAAAAATCAAAAATCTAAATACATGGTTAGATTCAGCATATCAAAGAACCCCATATATTCAATTTTTGTTGAAATCAAACAAAGTTTAATTTTGGACCCCGATTTGGACCAACTTGAAAACTGGGCCCATAATCAAAAATCTAAATACATGTTTAGATTCAGCATATCAAAGAACCCTAAGAATTCAATTTTTGTTAAAATCAAACTAAGTTTAATTTTGGACCCTTTGGACCTTAATGTAGACCAATTTGAAAACGGAACCAAAAATTAAGAATCTAAATACATGGTTAGATTCAGCATATCAAAGAACCCCATATATTCATTTTTTGTTGAAATCAAACAAAGTTTAATTTTGGACCCCGATTTGGACCAACTTGAAAACTGGGCCCATAATCAAAAAACTAAATACATGTTTAGATTCAGCATATCAAAGAACCCTAAGAATTCAATTTTTGTTAAAATCAAACTAAGTTTAATTTTGGACCCTTTGGACCTTAATGTAGACCAATTTGAAAACGGAACCAAAAATTAAGAATCTAAATACATGGTTAGATTCAGCATATCAAAGAACCCCATATATTCAATTTTTGTTGAAATCAAACAAAGTTTAATTTTGGACCCCGATTTGGACCAACTTGAAAACTGGGCCCATAATCAAAAAACTAAATACATGTTTAGATTCAGCATATCAAAGAACCCTAAGAATTCAATTTTTGTTAAAATCAAACTAAGTTTAATTTTGGACCCTTTGGACCTTAATGTAGACCAATTTGAAAACGGAACCAAAAATTAAGAATTGAAATACACGGTTAGATTCGGCATATCAAAGAACCCCAATAATTCAATTTTTGATGAAATCAAACAAAGTTTAATTTTGGACCCTTTGGACCTCAATGTGGACCAATTTAAAAACGGGGCCCCAAATCCAAAAACTTAATACACGGTTAGATTCAGCATATTAAAGAACCCCAAGAATTCAAGAATAAAACCTTATTGAAATTGGTCAAGAAATAAGCAATTTATACGAAGTTTCTTCTTTTGCACAATACTGTGCAATTGAATATTTCTTGCTATTGCGCAATACTGTACAATTGACAATTTCTTGCTATTGCGCAATATTGTGCTATTGGATATTTCTTGATATTGCACAATACTGTGCAATTGGATATTTCTTGCTATTGCACAATACTGTGCAATTGAAAATTTCTTGCTATTGCACAATACTTATTATATAATAATTTACACATCCTGTTTGGTGTGTATCTCCTACAATATCATTATTATTTGCTTTTAAATATAAATCAGAAATAACCAACTTAAAATGGAAATTTTAAAAGAAAAAAAAAGGAAAAAAAGAAAAAAAAGGAAAACCCCCCCCCCCCCCCCCCAAATTTTTTGAAACCCCTTATGATTCATCACCCCCAAACTCAATCCCAGCCTTCCCTTTGTGGTATGGTACCTTGCAGTACAATTTCAGAGAGATCCATACACTTGAACACAAGTTATTGTCCTGAAACTAGAAAAATGCTTGTTTTTTTCCCCTTTTTGGCCCCTAATTCCTAAAATTTTGAGGCAATTACCCCCAAAATCAATCCCAGCCTTCCCTTTGTGGTATGGTACCTTGCAGTACAATTTCAGAGAGATCCATACACTTGAACACAAATAATTGTCTGGAAACTAGAAAAATGCTATTTTTGGCCCCTTTTTGGCCCCTTATTCCTAAACGTTTTGGGCAATTACCCCCAAACTCAATTCCAGCTTTCCCTTTGTGATATGGAACATTGTAGTTCAATTTCAGAAAGATCCATACACTTACACACACGTTATTATCATGAAACTAGAAAAATGCTTGTTTTTTGCCCCTTTTTTGGCCCCTAATTCCTAAAATCTTGAGGCAATTACCCCCAAAATCAATCCCAGCATTCCCTTTGTGATATGGAACCTTGTGGTACAATGTCAGAGAGATCCATACACTAACACACAAGTTATGTCTGGAAGTTACAAAAATGCTTATTTTTGGCCCCTTTTTAGCCCCTAATTCCTTAACTGTTGGTACCATAACCCCCAAAATCAATCCCCACCTTCCTTTTGTGGTATTGAACCTTATGGTAAAATTTTATAGAGATCCATTCACTTAAACTAAAGTTAGAGTGCGAAAACCAATGTGTCTTCGGACGACGCCGGACGACGACGACGACGACGACGACGCCAACGTCATACCAATATACGACCAAAAAATTTTTAATTTTTGCGGTCGTATAAAAAGGTATGGTGAATTCTCTCTTCATAAATCCATCATTATTTGGGCATTCATGAGAAATCATTAACCTTTATGTCACGGAGACCATGATTACTTCTACTCTCTGCTGAAGTTGAATCCTGGTTTTTCAGTACTGATATAGGTTTATCCTTCCAAATCAAAGATGAGGTTATTTCTAGTTGCTTTTTTTTTCCTTTTACTGAGATGAAATCATTATTAGGGTACGTCAAATGTTTAAAACCAGATAAAAAATTTTAAAATGCAAGAAAAATGTAGATTTTATGAGAATTGAAGTTTGGGAACTATTTTTTATTACTAAATTTTCAAGGACTGAACCCAGCAAAACATGAAATTAGATCTAAAAAGGCCTTTGAATACAGAAGTATAGACAATAGTGTTAGCAAATATACATCTCATAAATCTTTTTCAACATATTAGGGATAAGACAAAAAGATTTCAGTCAAGATGGAAATATTTTGTAAGTTTGATCAAAATAATTAAAAAAATTAAAATGAGCAACCTATCATTTTCCATATATGTTATATTTATAAATATGACATATTATTAGTTGTAAAGTAAGTGACTGAGAAGGCAGGCATTATCACAGTAAGTAACTTCTTTTAAGGATACTGTCTATGGAAGGGTTAAAATATGGGTGTAATCCAAAGGCTTTATGTTGTTTCTGCATGTTATATAGGATACAAATGTTCCCTAACAAATTAGTTTTTTTCAAATGTACCGGTAAAAATAATGGGGGGGGGGGGGGGGGGACCATTTCCTTTTTACACTGAGAAATATGAAAATGCAAAACAGAAAACATGTGGCAATACATTTCAGCATGATGCATGTATTTGAGCTATTTATATAATATTGAAAATGTATATATTTCTGAGTATACTTGTTCTAAAAGGATTGAAGAAAAAGTAACAAAATTAATGTTAAACCTCTGTATCCTCGAGTTGTTGTTCTAGTTCCTCAATCTCTGATTTCAGACTTTTATTTTTCATCTGTAGTTGTGACTGAGAGGATTGGACTCCCTCCAACTCTTCTTGTAGTTTCTTTATCTAGAAATAAATTCATTAAAATTAACTAGTTTTCAAAAAAAAAAATCAAGTTTAGGAGTAAAATTAATATCTGAATAACAACATTTTCTATTAAAATAATATATAGTGTGTTCTTTTTTCATAGAAAATGCAGGTACTGCATCTGGCAGAACATTAAATATTGTTAGGCAGTAATGAAAATGCTTTGTAAAAATTTAATTCATCGTTTTCAAAGCTACATTGAAATGGATATTACAGCACTTTAATATATTCTATCACTTTTCTATAGTTTAATGGTTGTTAATGTATTAATATGTGAAGAACATTCTAATTTGCAACCATCAATTCTATGATTGATTCTCAAACATTAAAACATAATGAACATATTTCCTTATTTCATGTTTCAATGACATTTTTGTTATAGCAGAAACACTTCAACCTAATGCATTTTTATTGCAACTGTATTTGAAATTTATTTAAGAGCCGAAATCAATCTATTAACAGCAAGTAAAATCTAACCAACATATGAGCTGGGTTGGATAGAAATCGACCTTATGCAAATGAATAAAAATACATCTGTTAACCAATTTCGGGTTGAAAAAATCTCTGCAGAAAGTCTGGAACTGTTTGAAAATTGAGTTGTTATAAGAACCCTACAGACCAAAATCAATAAAAGTCTTATACATGTATATGTATATGTGCACTTGCATAAGGTCGATTTCAATCTGACACAGCTCATATATAAGGTAACATTAGTTTTAGTGTTTTGTAAATGAACTGAACTTTTGGATTTAACTATAATTTTGTAAGAAGCTGTTCATAATATACGATAACAAATGACAATTTACAAAGTATTATGTGAAAGGTTTAGAATGCCTTATCTTTGCTGCAAAATTTTTCATACTTTTTCTTGAAGAAGAGAATTGTCATTTTCCAAATTCCTAAAGTCAGATTTCAGGTGTAGAATTTCTCCCTCTATTTTAGTCTTCTCTTGTATAATGTTGCGTAGAGCGACATCAGTTGACCCTCGTCCTGGACTGGGCGGTCGACCACCACTAAAACGTGGAGTAGAGGATCTAGAATCTAAAATGAAAACAGAATGCAATGTTATTTCTTGATGCTGAAATTTTTGGGTAGAATGTAATTTATTGTTTATTTATTTTATTTTTTTGGGGGGGTTTGATATAAATGACACAAATTTTCAAAGTTTTGTATTGGTTTTTCTGGTTGTATATCAAAACCAAACAAACAGAATATATTGCATTCTGCATTGATTCTAGTTTACAACAGCATATCTTACATATATATATACAGAGATAACATCAGAATAAGTGATTTTATAGAAGGTCTACTTCATAAAAAATTGGAACAATTGAAACACAGACTAAATAAACACGTTATTTTGAAAAGTTTTTGAAAATTGTTCTACAAAAATGTACACTTATATACTGTTCTTTAATAATTATACGCAAGTAAAACTTAGGTTATGTGTGAAAAAGGGGAATGGAACCAAACATTTATTACCAAGCTCTGCAATCTATATAGGTACATGTCAGAAAAGACAACAAAATATACACTAGGAGAAAACAAGGTTATACATGTATCTTTGACAAAAATATCCATACAATTCAAACGACATGGGTATTTGCAGGACAATCACATAATCACACAATACATCACAATTTACGAAAAAGTCTATAAAATTCAAAAAGAAACTTTGTTATTGTATATATTGTACAATTGTTATATATGGAAGGTGTCACACCCCTCTCACCTGATGTGCCATACATATTTATTTCCATAACTTCTACAAACACACACATATGTATAATATTCAGGAATAATACAACACATTGCTATTAATTGGGACTCAAATTTTCATAAATACAGTAGGTAGAAGAAATTAAATTTGAAGGTCTTAACAAAATACAGTTTAAACTGTCTTTAAAAAAAAATCAGAAAATTAAAATCACAAATGCAAAAGTTTTTGTCAGAACACAAAAATCAATACATCACTTGGTATGTGCAGGAATTCATTATATTTTTCCCACCAGTTTAATTTGAGTATACTTAATACTTGTTAGTGTATATATTGCGCAATAAATATCTGCATGCACTGTCAACATATCATAAAATGTAATAAACTGCACTTATCTCAATAAGGACCATATGCTATTGACAATTCAAGAACCAACACCTCAATGACATTAATGTTAAATAAACTGTTGATACAGAGATATGTCTTTCCTGTATGTAATTTTGATAGTAAAATGCAAATGTTAAAATTTAAAAGGCAAACAACTTTCTTCATATTTCCACACTCAGTCACAACTGCATCCAAAATACCATTGACTTATCATTAGTGGTTCCCCTTAAACTGACCTTATCACAAACTGTTACAAATAGTTGACGCTTTAATTGAAACCCTCACTGAAACAGCATGGCCTAAATTGTCTTTTTACATCCAGTTACAACGTTATCAATTACAGAATTTTTTATTCTTTAAAGTTTACAACGCTAATCTTGCCTTTGAAATATTTCAGATGTCCATGGTGCTTACTACATTAAACACAATAGTCAGCTTGTAGATTATACAATATATTTGACATAAATTAGGATTGAGAAATTAGCCCTTCAAGACAAGGCATGCTATATACTAGAAATATGATGAATATATATTTTATTTAATACATTCTGTTTAAATTAATATGTCTACACTTACAAACATTTTCTGCAAAGTAATATATACATGGTATATATAGAGGTTAAAAAGATATGAAATTGAAATAAGAACAGTAGTTAGCCAACATCTGTAAAATCTAAGTTTTTCAAAACTAGAAACTTTGAATTCCATTTTATCCACTGCATCCATGGCCATTTTTTGCTGTTTTGATATCAAGACTGATTTTATAGGGTATAGGATTGCTAATTGCATTTGAAGAGGTTCCTTGCCAACCTTCAAAATTATCTGTCTTAAAAAAAGACAATAACAGCTTTGTTTACTGCATGAATATGAGAAAAACAAATATTTGGCAAATTTAGTAGTTTTTCATTGTTGGAAATAATATTTCACTGCTTTTTATATATGTTCAAATTTCATGACATTCAATTTTTCTGTAGAGATTAATGTGGTGCATGATTTACAGCCGATTTCATTGAGTGTGTAGGCAAAGGTAATATCTTTGGTTAGCTTGCTTGCTAGCTGAACCGTGAAGTCATTATTAGGTTAGGTAAACTACCCTCCGTTGAGAGTAGACTAGTCCGACAGATAACCAATCTATCTGTCTGTTGGACTAGGTTACTTGGAAAGAAGGGTAGTATACCTGACCTAATAATGACTTCAAGGTTCAGCTAACAAGCAAGCTATCCAAAGAAATTACCTTTGCCAACACACTCAATGAAATCGGCTGTAAAGGCTGGACTTTGAAAAGTATTTTACAATCTTTGTAATATAGTAGTAGATGGTGCAAGTCTCAACAAAGAGGTAGTTGGTTGAATCTATCTGAAAAGGTAGATCTTTGTAGTTCTAGTTGTTTCGTTTCAATCTTTTTGATAACAAATTTTCAATATCCAAAGTCTCTGAGGACCCTTAAGTTACTCCTAACAGACTATTTTCATATCACCGACTTTTGACTCCGGATTATATAATTTGTCGATTGGTTACCTTGGACATCATGGTACCAAGTCAGGTAAGAGCAAGCTAAAGAAGTAAAACCAAGCTTTCAATCGGTACAATTTTGGGGGAAAATTATCTGGTTAATATTTTTTTTTCACTACAAAATCATCAGAAAACAGTAAACTTTCCCCTCAAATTATACCGATTATATGTTTGATTTTACTGATTTTGGTTGCTCTTACTTGACCGAGTACCATGATGTCCAAGGTAACCAGTTGACAAATTATATAATCCGGAGTCAAAAGTCGGAAATATGAAGATAGTCTACTATATACCATTTTTGGTAAATTGTTATCTTTATGACATAATTTTAAAATCGAATGTTAAAATATACTTAGATTTGAATTGACTTTTTAATAAGTGAAATCTAAATCTTTTACCAAGAATCACATCAGATTTAAACTTTAATTGATCGAAATTACAAATCCCCTAGGTTTATATTATACTAGCTTTTCCTTTATTTATAGTAAGAATTAGTTTGAACTAACATTATAACATCAATAACACAAAGCAAATTGTCAATAAATCCTCTTTTATCATAACCTGGGATGTTTACCTGCAAATTTTACCTATAAAATCATTATAATTACACACCGCTGGGGGCAGTTTACATAGCAGGAGAAATCGTTCAAATGACCCGTCTAACTGCTATTAGTACATCCTTACAAAATATACATTGTTATAGAATTAACAAAGTTTATGTTTGCCGATCGCTCTAAATTGTTTGGTCAAATAATCAACTAATATTGCTACTGGTCGTCACTTAGCAAATCTGATAACGTAACTAGATAATGTGTGAAGATTGCAATATTGTCAACTGCTGACTGTTAAATTATAACATCCAAAGGGTTGACTGGGGTATTGAAAATTGGTCTTTCCTGGATTTTTCAGGTCTGTTCGTAAAATCCTTTCTAAAATTGGGTATCCCGTTAGAATGGCAACGTTAAATATGATGTTTCTTGTAGGGAGAGTGCCATGCTACCTTCAGGTTAAAAAACAACTCTTTGAGGAGTTCGTATGTGGCCTGTTGCAAGGCAAAATTTTAGCCTCGATCAAACATACTCTCGGAGCGGTCCATAGGAGGCCTTTTGAAAGGCAAAAATTTCTGCCTCAATCCAACATACTCTCGCTTTCAAGTTGCAAACTAAATTTCCCACCATTCATCCTGTCAACCTAGCTACTTATCATTAAAGGATGCTAGTGACTTGCACTACTTATTTAAATTTTTCTAGCATGTCAATCTGGTTAAAAGTCAAAAACATTTTGAAAAAACACGAGTTTAACGAAACTACATACTAGTGTTTTACTAATATTGTTGCTAAATCTTAAATATCTTGTTTAATTGGGCTACAATATGTCTTGTATCAGTCAAAACTGTAACTCTTATACACTCATTAAATCTACTATCCATACATTAAATCAACACCATATGATATTTTGTGTAAAGAATATATTATACAATCAATCTTATTTTAATCAGTTCTAAGTGACTGATGTTTATCCACCTTTTTAAAGATTATGACTTGTATGTAGTCACAGTGGTCCTGCCTTATTGATGGACAGTAAATTATCCAGAAAATTTGTTGACACATGTCCATATCTTAGATAAACACAGACCTGACATATCCAATAAAGACCGGATTAAAATTTCTACATGATCTGACCATTTATACCTATGTTTAAACCATACGATCATTCAATATATCGAAATTCAAGTTTCAACAGTCACGGCACAATACTTTAGACTCTGTCTAACTGAATCAAAATTTTTACTTTTTCTGCTATTTGTTCATCCTAAAATTCTATACTTTTCTGTCTGATGGTAATGTGTCTAATAATGGTCCTACTGTATTTCCCACTGGCTATTTCAAAGCTGACTCAGTTAATCTATGTAAATCGATCTTAAATAAGGCAGGCCGACTTTTTAATTTATTTCAAAACTTTGGCCTTTACATAAGGGACAAAGATATATTGTAAACATTTCTCTCTTCAGATTACTGCAGTCTATCTTATCATTTTCGCAGATAGAGTTGTTCCAGAAATTAATTCCCTGCACATTTTCATCTACCCACAATGCATTAAATTTTGACTGAAAAATACAACATTACTTTAAGAGGAGTTTCCAGCCTTGATAACTTATATGAAGTGACATATAATGCAAGCATATCGGGTAATCATTATTTGAACCGTTTAAAGTGCACAAGGGTTCAAATATTTCTTAACATGAACATTAAGAACATTTGAGCATAACCACCCTTATGCTAGAACTTATATTACCCAGCTTTAGGGAAAATGATGGGGTTTCCCAACTATAAATTGCATCATAAAACACAGGTAAAATATTTAAAACAAACAATATTCACTGTCTACAAATATTTACTTATTTTATTATAGTACCTTTTTTGCCTATTATATAATGCTTAGTAACACTGGGTACTTTTTAAATGTTGAAACAGTGGTCTATATACTTTATTAGTACTAAACCTTATTTTATTTAAAAATATTTCACTGTCAAGAGCTAATTCATCTTTTTGTGTACACAAATGTCCGTTGTCAATATCTTATGTTGATAAATTATCACCAAAACCTCAATGCCACTTAATCAAATCCTTAGATCCTTGGAGTGTTTGACATGCTAGGAATTTACTGCTTTATTTTATTCATATGAAAGACAAAGATTTAGAAAGACTTTGCTTCTTATTTGAAATCAGATTCAGAAGATTTCACCTGTAAACTTTATCAAGTTTAATGTGTCTTCACATATTTCAGACAGAATAGTGACTAAGTTCTCAGAGAAATTAAACAATGGCCCTTTTTGCCATTATCTACACATGTATAACAAAACAGGCTTAAGATTTACTGATTTGGTGAGCATAAATTCTACACTGAGAAATTTAGGTTCTGTGTAGGACAATGGATAAAATAGAGGCAGATCACAATATGGAGTTTATAGTTTTCTAAATAACTAAAACCATGAACCCCTTTTTTATAGTTTACAAATTTGGTGCCAAAATATGAAGACATGGTGACCCTGATATTCCCTATACCAAAATTTGCTTCTGCACAGAGTATCTAATAATCCTCTGTTTGATAGTGAATTTTCACTTGTTATTTAATGAAAAAAAGTACAAGAATGATTCACTCCAACCTTTGTTACAGCATTTAAGTGTTTTTGGCAAAAAGATTTTATTTATTTTATTGTTTATACCTGAGTCTGATTTTTCCTTTTCCCTGAGATCTTTTTCTTGTTGAAGTTCATCTCTGAGCTTTTTGATTTCAGCTTGAAACTCTTCCATCTGAAAAAAATCCAAAATTGTTTATCTTAATTTTTTTCCCTGTAAAAAAACATCAAGATTTATCAAGATCATTTCAATATCAACCAAGGGAACGAACAAGTATCAGCTAACATCTCAGTATCACAGTCTCTTCTTTCCTAATAGATCATTTTTATTATAAAGAATGCATTATAATATAATTGTATGTATAATTAAAGGGGCATTAGCTGTCAAACTCAGGTTCACAGATTTGGCTCAAATTCTCATATTTGATTTATAACATACTAAAACGTATATCCAAATTACAAAAAGTCTAAAATAAACAATTAACAATGCATGGACTTGATAATATGTATCAACATTTCATGTGTATTTTTGTCTAGACGGCATCTAATTAACCATCGAGATGACCTCCGAAGACTGCCGACGGTCATATAACCCGATATAAACATAAATATAAATTTAAACAGATAGTGACTACATGCAATTGGATTTTTCTTAGTCTGTTTGACTTCATACTGTAGGTTAAAAAGTATGTTTATTATCGTTGTTATCTGTATATAAGAATGATTTTTTGTGGATCAAATCAGTCAACCAAATGGTTCATTCTTGTTTCACTTTCAATGTAGACATTAGCTGAAAGCATGCGTAACCCATGTCCAGATAAGGGGTTAAATTGAAGGTCACATGAATAAGGATTCAATGAGGTCGAATTATTCACTTGCAAGTGAATAATTCATCAGCGATGTTTCTTAGCTTATTTTGACAAAACTGAACCAAATTGGCTGCTTAAAGCGAATTATTATTCCACTATTTCACTTTCGTTAATGATTGAACAAAAAACATAATATTTTGATTTTTTTTCATATCTCGTAGCTTATGCCCCTTTAAAGTGTCATCTCATAGATAGGCATGGACATGTTCTGATTATTTATATCTTTTTCTTATGTGAATGCTGTTCTAAAAAATATTCTTTTTCCAAAAAAAAAAAAACTTCCATCTTCTTAAACTAATATAGTCCATTCTCACTGCCGTTGCAAATTAATAGGAGGAAAACCAATGACCAGAGAACAATAGAAATAAAACACTTCTTATGAAAAAGTCGATAAAATCAATAGTAAAACAATGCAAGGTCACTTTTAAAAATAGACTCAGGTCACTAGGTCACTTTTAAAGGTCACATGTCACAAGTTCTTTTATATGAGACTTCAGATCACAAGGTCGTCCGCCAAACTCCTCAAGGTTGCAAGTCAATGTTGACCATGTTGGACCCCCTACTAGTAGCAGACAGTTTAAAGTTTAAACCTTATAAGCCCTATCAAGTTTTGTTTGATAAGGCCCAATGACGATAAGACAAAAACTGGAAAGAAACATTTTTTTCATGAAAAGGTGTGCCATTCTATAAACATTTTGTACTACCGGTATTGTCTAACTTTCACAAAATCAGATCATTAGTATGTATAGAAGATATATCCATTAGGTATATGCAGTATTAAATAAATTCTTCATTGATATCTGGATTAAAATCTTGAACCCCAGACTTGTGCCTTGTCTACAAAAGACTCATCAGTGATGCTCGAATCAAAAAGTTAAAAGGCCAAATAAAGTATAAATTTAAGAGCATTGAACACATGGCTTTTAACATTTCATTGAAGTCATTACTACATATACATTGTACAAGTAGTCATTTAAACAGGTTTTGTATAATGTCCATTTTTGGATTACATTACTTTTATTAATAAAACTGTTATCTGAGGTACAAACATCATATCAAAGTCAGTTAAATTCTTGTTAAGACTTTCTCAATAGAGCAGAACAAAGCAATCAATATATTGAATTTAATTGGTTGCTTTTGGTCTAAACTAAACTATCAGGCCATAGTTTTTGTTGTGTTTTCACATCTTGACAAAGCTTTATCTTCCTTGAATTTATATGACCACAGCCTCCTTCACATACTAAAACACAGGCTTAATCCAAATAGATTTTTTTGGGGTTTTTTTTAGGGGGGGGGGGGAAGAAAAGCAGTTGCTGTTTACTTACAATCTCAAACTACTTCACACGTAAAAAAATTAATATGAATCAATCTAATTTTTAGTCTGAAACTTCTATGACATCTGACAGCCTTTTTTTTAAAAGACTTGCAAGGCCTAGGGGACTGTTCTTAACATAAAGGATTGTGTACCGTTTAGCAACAATTCTTTACAATCAGGTTATAATGCAAGAGCAAAGGGAGGTGTGTTTGGTTAACATACGTTAGAATGCAAACTTGACTCTGAACCCCCAAAAAATGTTTATGTTACAACTTATAAATATATAATGCTTAGAACAGTCTTCTTCAAATGGGTTTTCAAATTTGCAAATGTACCAATCTTCTCAATTAATTCATGTCAAACAGGAAAAGTCTAAAATTCTGTTTATAATATTTTGTATTCTCTTTCAACAAAAAGCGATTTTTGTTTGGATGACAAGGAAATTCTTTCAGTAATGTGCATCGCAAGCAAAATGTTCAGATTCTAGAAATTGATCACGAGTTAACAATAATACTTTTATATTGCATTTTGATACAATTAAAGTAAGTTTAAAACACTTGATATAGTAAGAAATATGAATAATGCAGTAACAAACCTATAATTTGCATAAAAAAGAAATAGATCAAATAAATTCCTTCTTTATAAGACATCATAAATTTATCTTTAAAATAACAATGTATTCCCTTTTATGTTAGAGCAGTATCCATTTTTTTCTTCTTCAGAAAACCATATGATTATTTATGTATAAACATAAAATTAAATACTAGCAACATTCCTTGACAAAGAGTTCAATTTCAGATACATTTTCGAATTCTTTTACAAACTGACAATGCTACTAAAAGTATGCAAAAAATGCAGTGCATAATTCAAAATGCCTTTTAAACTTACAAAAACCGCATAGTTATCAGTTTGATCAATTTTGTCTATGTTTTGTTACTTACCAAAGCACTTAAAACTTTAAAAGTCCTTTTCTAACTTTTTCTCACAATGATATCTATATTAATATTACAAAACTTAAAATAATAATTTATTTAAATGTTACCTCGAGTTGAATTACCTTCACTTTAAATTTTCCACAGAGAATTACTCTTCTAAAACAATTTAATTACTAACTTCACATGGCTGGGCAAAAAGTCACTATTATTACCATTAGAAAGTATCCATTTAAAAAATTGCATGACCAATTAAGTATTCCATTACAAAATGTATCTTTACTCAATTACAAGTCATCATATATCTAAACTTGTTAAACTTTAAAATGTAACTGAAACATTAGAACATTCTGTCAATATCTGACATACCACTCAAATTTCATTGTAATCCGATGTGCCTTGTTGGCCAACAATTGTTGACAATTTGGAACAAAGGCAATACATCCGATGTGTAAACTAACCGGGGCTATTTGACGCTACTATAATATGTGTTTACATTGCTCATAATCAATAAAGCTTTTCTTATGTCCTCTGAATATACAAATGAAGATTCAAATTTTTCTAGGCTTTTTGGATTACGCTCCATTAAAAATAAAATTGTAATATAAACAAAATAAAAAATTCTTTCTTTTTTTACCAAATATGAAGATTGTAATTGATTAATCAAAAATAAAAGTTTGTGTAATCGGTTCACTTAATGCATTGTCCAAAATTTTACATTTCATTTAAATCACCCTTTCTGATCAATTATTACACCTCTGGAGTAAAACCTTTAAATTTAAACCATATAAAGCAATTTCTATACGACCATAAAAACTTAATAAAAAGTCAAGTATTAAGATTCTCATTAGAAATTCACATGTATTCAATGTCTATATTAGGGATGAACGATATTTCAATATTAAAATTTGCATTGATATTAACATTTTAAGATAAGATCAGATAAAATTTCTGTCAATGGATTTACATGCCAGAGTAATATTACCCACTGTATGCAGTTTTAAGTTTCTACATGTAAAACATAAAAGTTATATCTGTAGAAATAAATGTTTATGTTACTTAGATGAAGCACTTAAAAATCTTATTCTAACATTATCCAACAATGAAAAATACATGACTGCTGCTTTTTTAGATATATGATGATTTTTTATTGAGTAAAGATACAATTATCCAACAATGAAAAATACATGAATGCTGCTTTTTTAGATATATGATGATTTTTTATTGAGTAAAGATACATTTGTTATGGGCTGTTCTACATTAATAATAAATGATTGGGGGATGGGAGGGATTTCTATAAGATCTCGACCACCCATAAAATAAAAATTTTCATTTTTAACAAAATTCTAAGGAAAATGCAACAACCAATATCTAGATTCTTTATTACGGAACCAGTTCAAATTGTAAGTATCTATTACCATGCATTTTTTTTTAACTTTAGATTCCAGTAAATCTATATTTTGCTTTGTACATCTAATCCACAATTAAAAAACCTTTTTAAGAATTATATATACATGTATACTACAGTCTATCAGCATTTTACTATGTTCTATTTCCTAGTTCAAATGTTTGTTGTCAGCCAAAGGGTTAAAGTACTTAGTTTGGGAAATTTTGGAAATCTCTCTTCTTTTCTGACATATGCAATTCTTTTTCCTGTCTCTGAAACTTTTTTTCAATGCACGTATATATAATACAAGTTCTGAGAGTGGAAACAACAATAAATAGTACGATCAGGTCCCATTAAAGGCTTCGATTTAACTAAATGACAAATCTCAAAAGCAAACACCTTCTTGTCAAACGTAACTGACAGTTCAGTGGGAATAAAAAGCATTTCAATACAATTCATTAATCATTATTAATCAGTCGAGGACACTTCAAACAGCTGAAAAATTAGTGGTGGCATGCATCAACGGTGCTTACGATTGAAAAAGTATTTAACCGAACAATACAGATACCCCCACTCCAGGTGTTGAGATCAATAGAACGTGCAGTATCCTTCTGTAATACCAAAAGGTTCTGTTGATTTAACCAGCACTTCAAATATCTTACATTTATCAATTATGTACACACCGTTCGATATAATATATATACATTTCCTATCAAAGGGCACTTAAAGTTCATGTAACCAACCGGTACTCAACTTTCGAGTATGAAAATATTTTTTAAAGGTTTTAAGTTTAGAAAATTTTGTTTCAAACTGTGTGTAACATATGCATTGTCTTGCAAAAAAAATCATTTCATATGCATGACATCATCTTTGAAAACATTTAAATTGAACAGTCATAGGTAATTAAAAAATCTACTTGTATATTTATATATTATGAAAATTCATCATGATAGTGCATGTCTTCAATCAAGTAATCTTAAATGTCAGAATTTGTTCTTGGTTGTTGTGTATAAGAGACAAAGGATACACCATGGTTTAAAAATATGAAATTTTTCTTCATTTATTTTTCAGTATTTTTATCATACTTTATGAAAATAAGGAGATGTGGTATGATTCCCAATGAGACAATTGTCCACTAGTTTGACCATCATCTGGAATAAATGCTGTCTAAGTACATCAATATTATAACTTTTCACCTTCTGGTGCTTCATAGTTCCATATGTGTATTCAGAGACATATAAATACTCTGTTTAAAGGAATGCATCATCAATAAAAAAACTGAACCAAGACATTTGTATTGAAAATTGAAGAGTATTTTTTTTTAGATGAGAATTTTGTTTCAGACTTTGATGAGTACATGATTGTTTTACCAATTTATATGCTTAAAAATTACAGCAAATTGGTTGTGCAATCACAGATTTCCCATGTTATTTAGCCTAAATTTAATGTACTGATACAAAAGTTCAAAAACTTATTTTAATGGAGTTGTCAAACAAATAAATTGAGATTTAATTTTTGACCAAACTCTGAAATATAGTCAAATACAGTCAATTTGTCTTACCCTTTCATACTGTTTCATAAACAATTTTGTAATATTAGACTTGTAATTCAAACTTTTCTCTTCCCTCTGATTTTATTTATATATACATGATAAAGGTATAACTATAAACTTTGATCTATCAACAACTTCTTTCATAGATTTTAAAAGTACTTAATAAAAAGTTAGAGTAAAAATTAAATAAAATAAGATCATTAGTTTTAATTTATAGCTCTGGAATTACTTTACTATATAGAAAAATAAATTCTGTTGTAGATACATTAAAATCATTTTCTCAACGTTTTTTCATGCATGTTTTAATGAATTTTTACAATTTATTAACTGTATATCAGTCCTTAAAATTAAATTTAATACTTCATAGTAAGCTTTATTTATAATTAATTGTTGTTTACTGGAAACATGATAAAAGACCAGATTGAAAATTTGATAATATATCCCACCTTTTCCTTTGATTCTACCAAATCATCTTCCAATTTATTGTTTTCTTCCATTAAAGCATTTATTTCTTCTTCATGCTGCTTTTTCAACTGATCTTTTACTTTCTTTATACTGTCTCTGTGTTGTGTTATTTCCTCTTCAAATTCTGTCCTTTCCTTTTCCAATGTTCGTTGAAGATCCTCCGAGGCTCGACCATCAACAGAAGGTGTTACTGTTCTATTTTGTTCTGCTTCTAATTCATCAAGAAGTCTCGCTCGCTCGACAAGTAAAAAGGCAATCTGTTCAGACGTCGAGACATTTGCAATTTCTTCCAGGCCTTGTTGGATAAGCATTTCAGCTGTCTCCTCACGTAATGCACTTGCTGTAATGCCAAGAAAAAAAATGTCAAAATCATACTTTTGAAATCTGAAGATGGATATTGGAAACTATTACTGAAAATTATTGCGAGGTTTTTATTAATGCGAATAATGCACCCTTGTAAGTATTGCAATAATAAGAAGTCCCATTCTGATATCTGATGCATATATCTGTACGCAGCTTTTCCTGAAATTGCAATAATTAATCTCACATTATTGTCCTTTCTTCAAAAATCGCAATAATTTCTGAATTTACAGTACCTAATATGCTAAAGATTTATATGACTAACAAAGAGTTTAGACATATCTGAAAGTGCCTGTACCAGGTCAGAATTTTGACAACTTTTACTTATTCCCACAAACAATCAATTATATCTAAATAATAATACAGTTACTGAATAAAATACACAATAGAAATATGGATGACATATTAGTGTTTATATAAGCAGCAAAGGGTTAAATGGATATTGTACTATTGCTTGATGAAAAAAAACATATGAAAACATTTTTTGTTTTGTCAAGAATTGTAAGAATAGTTTTCAATGGTTTGGAACAGCACGATCTTTCCTTTGCTCACAATCAACTAGAAGCTATTCAATGACAAGTAAGAAACATCAGCTGTTTTTTGGGTATCACAGATTCTAATTGTTTATAAATAGTCATAACTATCCAAATGCAAACTAATTTTGTATGAAGTTTGCCATGTATATTGTATATTGTGGGTAAATAAAATGCACTGATCGTGCAAATTTAATAGTTTTTTAACATAACTATGCATTTTTTTTAATTCATAACTTTTTTTAATTTAGAAATGAAGTATATTGATCCTCTTTCCTGTCTTGTGACTTTCAGAGGAGTAAATATGAGCAGTAAGTTGACCTTGTAAACAATGAGGTTTTAATGGTAAGGTTAAACTGAGTATATTTCAAAGCACAAACCATTTTGTTCTTGCTTCAGTTGCTCTATTTCTTGTTTCAGGCTATCATTTTCTGTTTCTAATTCTTGGATTAGAGCCTCTCTTTCATCAGACAGATGGCGTATGTGTTCTACATAGTTCTCAACTTCCTGCATTTCAGCTGTCTGTGCCATCTTGAGCTTCTCCTCATTCTCAAGAGCCTGTTGGAGATCAGTCTGAAAAAATAGCATGAATTACTAGTTAAAGATTAATTCATTTCTGTTAAACTTTATCACCAAAGCAATAATCAATTACATTGTATATGTGCAGTTATTTTATCAGAGGTCTGGTACGTTGTAAATAGTTTGGTTACAAAGAGTGTAGCACTGTCTCATGTGCCAATTCAGCATAGATATAAACAAAACAAAAACAGCAGATTTATTCTAAAGATAGAATAAATTGTTCAAACAAAAAAGATGAAATATTTCTATACCTTACCAAAATTATAATATAAGACAGTGTTCCAATGTCCCACACCCATGCACATATGTTATGTGTCCAAGGGTAATAACTCCACAATATTTTATTTTGTTCCATTAAACTTTTTGAAAGAAATCTAGGCATGAAATTGCTCTGAATTCAATTTTCCATGCCACAGGGACAAAAAAATGTATGACATTTAGTCTCTTTTATTTTCAAAGTTTAGGTTATTCAAAATTCTACTATTTTTGAAGGATTACAATATCTGAGTTATCTCCCCTCATAAATCAGACAATCTTTACATTTCTATATATAATGCATGTAAATAAAAAATAAAATGCTCCGCAGGGCGCAGCTTGATACGACCGCAGAGGTCGAACCCTGAACAGTTGGGGGAAGTATGGACACAACATTCAAGCTTGATACAGCTTTGGATTTGGATTGTGATTAAATATTTGACACAGCATAGGTTTCTAACACAGATTGAATGTGGTCTAAGAACTTAAAAATTTTAAATTGGACATTCACCTATTATGGTCCAATATCCAAAATCTAAATACATGGTTAGATTCAGCATATCAAAGAACCCCAAGAATTCAATTTTTGATGAAATCAAACAAAGTTTAATTTTGGACCCTTTTGACCTCAATGTGGACAAAGTTGATAACGGGGCCCAAAAATCAAAAATCTAAATACATGGTTAGATTCAGCATATCAAAGAACCCCATATATTCAATTTTTGTTGAAATCAAACAAAGTTTAATTTTGGACCCCGATTTGGACCAACTTGAAAACTGGGCCCATAATCAAAAATCTAAATACATGTTTAGATTCAGCATATCAAAGAACCCTAAGAATTCAATTTTTGTTAAAATCAAACTAAGTTTAATTTTGGACCCTTTGGACCTTAATGTAGACCAATTTGAAAACGGAACCAAAAATTAAGAATCTAAATACACGGTTAGATTCGGCATATCAAAGAACCCCAATAATTCAATTTTTGATGAAATCAAACAAAGTTTAATTTTGGACCCTTTTGACCTCAATGTGGACAAAGTTGATAACGGGGCCCAAAAATCAAAAATCTAAATACATGGTTAGATTCAGCATATCAAAGAACCCCATATATTCAATTTTTGTTGAAATCAAACAAAGTTTAATTTTGGACCCCGATTTGGACCAACTTGAAAACTGGGCCCATAATCAAAAATCTAAATACATGTTTAGATTCAGCATATCAAAGAACCCTAAGAATTCAATTTTTGTTAAAATCAAACTAAGTTTAATTTTGGACCCTTTGGACCTTAATGTAGACCAATTTGAAAACGGAACCAAAATTTAAGAATCTAAATACACAGTTAGATTCGGCATATCAAAGAACCCCAATAATTCAATTTTTGATGAAATCAAACAAAGTTTAATTTTGGACCTTTTGGACCTCAATGTGGACCAATTTAAAAACGGGGCCCAAAATCCAAAAACTAAATACACGGTTAGATTCAGCATATTAAAGAACCCCATGAAATCAAGAATAAAACCCCATTGAAATTGGTCAAGAAATAAGCAATTTATAGGAAGTATCTTCTTTTGCACAATCATGTGCTATTAAATATTTCTTGCTATTGCGCAATACTGTACAATTGACAATTTCTTGCTATTGCGCAATATTGTGCTATTGGATATTTCTTGCTATTGCTCAATACTGTGCAATTGAAGATTTCTTGCTATTGCGCAATACTGTGCAATTGAAGATTTCTTGCTATTGTGCAATACTGTGCAATTGAAAATTTCTTGCTATTGCACAATACTTATTATATAATAATTTACACATCCTGTTTGGTGTGTATCTCCTACCATATCATTATTATTTGATTTTAAATATAAATCAGAAATAACCAACTTAAAATGGAAAATTTTAAAAGAAACAAAAAAGGAAAAAAAGAAAAAAAAGGAAAAAAAAATAAATCCCCCCCAAAATTTTTTGAACCCCCATTATGATTCATCACCCCCAAACTCAATCCCAGCCTTCCCTTTGTGGTATGGTACCTTGCAGTACAATTTCAGAGAGATCCATACACTTGAACACAAGTTATTGTCTGGAAACTAGAAAAAAATGTGTTTTTTGGCCCCTTTTTGGCCCCAAATTCCTAAATGTTTAAGGCAATTACCCCCAAACTCAAACCCAGCTTTCCCTTTGTGATATGGAACCTTGTAGTACAATTTCAGAAAGATCCATACACTTACACACAAGTTATTGTCATGAAACTAGAAAAATGCTTGTTTTTTGCCCCTTTTTTGGCCCCTAATTCCTAAAATTTGGAGGCAATTACCCCCAAAATCAATCCCAGCATTCCTTTAGTGATATGGAACCTTGTGGTACAATGTCAGAGAGATCCATACACTAACACACAAGTTATGTCTGGAAGTTACAAAAATGCTTATTTTTGGCCCCTTTTTGGCCCCTAATTCCTTTACTGTTATTACCATAACCCCCAAAATCAATCCCAACCTTCCTTTTGTGGTATTGAACCTTGTGGTAAAATTTCATAAAGATCCATTCACTTAAACTAAAGTTAGAGTGCGAAAACCAATGTGTCTTCGGATGACGCCAAACGACGACGCTGGACGACGACGACGACGACGCCAACGTCATACCAATATACGACCACAAAAATTTTTTTGCGGTCGTATAAAAATTGATGAAAATAAAAGTAATTTTCATTAGATATAATAATATTATTGTCATCATCTAAAAGAAAATTAATGCAAAAAATAATGCAAGCTAAATCAATATTTGTAATAGCAGTAAAAATCTATGCTTCTCAATTTAGGTATGTCATGTATGCAATGGCTGTCACAATCTTCTACTCTTATACTACCATAATGTATTGAATGTTGAACAAACTTGTATACAGTATTTATTCACATTTTTTGTAGTATCTTTTTGATCTAAGTGATTGACCCTATCTTAACAAATGTTTCAAAATTATTCCCTTCCAAGCAATTTCAGCATAGATAACATTGCATTGTAAAATCAGATAAATTATGGTCTTGAAATTATTAAAGTGTTTGTAAGTATTAAATGAACGTAATTTTATAGTCGCTTATATACAATGTAATAAAACCCTCCAAAAGTTAGCTCTTTAATTATAGTAATTGGAAATAAATTTCTGATCAATCAGATATGGAAAAATAAAAACGTAATTCACACAGTAAAACTCTTAAAAACTTACATAAGATCTAACACTACTCCATAACCAATAATTAAAAGATAATTTAATCCAATCACGATCTAATCTATTGAACAGCTTTTAGTTTTCAATGGGCTATCCTTTGATCGCTTATCCAAACGTTGAAAAGTATACCGAAAATAAGTTCACATTAGAGGAATTGAAACGAAACTGTGAAAAGTTTTTGTGCCGTAATTTACATGTAATTGCTCCGAAATATGTCTATTCGGTTAGGTGACGATCAAACGATATAGTTAAATGCGTCTCATGTACAGTGATATAACCATGGGCGCACATCTAGATATCGGCAGATCTCACAATTAACTTATTGAATATACTTTATTATCAAATCACAAAATCTATAATAACAGTTGAATAATAACAATGATTTAAGATGTCCAAATATATATAGTCCTGATAAAAACTTTAAAACATACTAGCATGGAATTTACAAATTGACAATGAGAATAATCAAAAATACAATTAGTTTCAAAAATTGAATTATTCATTATTAAAATTTCATTACAATTTCATTTGAAGTGTCTACATGGGAATCAATGAACATACATTGAAAAATAAAAATTGGGAAAAAAATTATTAGGCGACAGTATGCTTTTAAAATCCATAAAGGTTACTTAGTACAGGGAGCTGACTTCATTGTTTTGTTAGATGCAATATTTACATTCCAAATCAGCTTCAGTGTGTGGAAATATATGTATGACAATGAACAATGAAGAGGTTTTACTGCATGTGGGGCTCATTTAATTTTATATTATGAGCTTCACGTCATTGGATTAATGTTCAACAACCAGTTAAGTGGGGCAGGAGAAAGTGAACTTGCAAATTTTTCGTCTGAATCAGGTTTATAAAGAGGTTTAACTGCCATCTTGGAGCTCCAGTTACTGCGGATAATAAATAACATTTGTTTTCATTTCTGCAGATATGTTGCTTATCTATAAATGGTCTAAAACTAAGCTTCTGTACATACACTGCCATGAACAGAAGAACTATCCTCTCAAATAGCACTTGAGCAATTTGTCATGCCTTGGCCTTTTATAGCTGACTTATGGACTTTACTTTGCTCATTGAATTTGTTCAAAGCAGTGCTGTGAAAAATATTTGCTTAAATCCACATCATATGCACTCAGGTGGATAATTTTCTAATTGGCAAACAAAATACATTTCCTTATTTTTATTAAAAATAAATTAAATTCAACTGAATTATATTCATACATGTGTAAATTATAAATTACTAGATATTTATATAGTTGAAATCAGAAGACATACAACTGGTTTTTTTTTAAGATTCTAAGTACAAACAGAATAAAAATTTAGTTTTAGAACCATGCCAAGAAATTGCCTCCGTTGAAATTTTGCAAACATCCCATAGAGCAAATTACACGGATGATTAATATTGACCATTTGGTATATGGCTGTGTTCTAAGCGACACGTATATGCAGGTCATAAATTAATTTGTTGAATGAAATCAAATCTTTAACTACTACTGGGTGCCGTAGGAGGTCGA